CAGTTGAGTCACACCAAGGGTTCGCCCCCAGTTGAGTCACACCAAGGGTTCGCCCCCAGTTGAGTCACACCAAGGGTTCGCCCCCAGTTGAGTCACACCAAGGGTTCGCCCCCAGTTGAGTCACACCAAGGGTTCGCCCCCAGTTGAGTCACACCAAGGGTTCGCCCCCAGTTGAGTCACACCAAGGGTTCGCCCCCAGTTGAGTCACACCAAGGGTTCGCCCCCAGTTGAGTCACACCAAGGGTTCGCCCCCAGTTGAGTCACACCAAGGGTTCGCCCCCAGTTGAGTCACACCAAGGGTTCGCCCCCAGTTGAGTCACACCAAGGGTTCGCCCCCAGTTGAGTCACACCAAGGGTTCGCCCCCAGTTGAGTCACACCAAGGGTTCGCCCCCAGTTGAGTCACACCAAGGGTTCGCCCCCAGTTGAGTCACACCAAGGGTTCGCCCCCAGTTGAGTCACACCAAGGGTTCGCCCCCAGTTGAGTCACACCAAGGGTTCGCCCCCAGTTGAGTCACACCAAGGGTTCGCCCCCAGTTGAGTCACACCAAGGGTTCGCCCCCAGTTGAGTCACACCAAGGGTTCGCCCCCAGTTGAGTCACACCAAGGGTTCGCCCCCAGTTGAGTCACACCAAGGGTTCGCCCCCAGTTGAGTCACACCAAGGGTTCGCCCCCAGTTGAGTCACACCAAGGGTTCGCCCCCAGTTGAGTCACACCAAGGGTTCGCCCCCAGTTGAGTCACACCAAGGGTTCGCCCCCAGTTGAGTCACACCAAGGGTTCGCCCCCAGTTGAGTCACACCAAGGGTTCGCCCCCAGTTGAGTCACACCAAGGGTTCGCCCCCAGTTGAGTCACACCAAGGGTTCGCCCCCAGTTGAGTCACACCAAGGGTTCGCCCCCAGTTGAGTCACACCAAGGGTTCGCCCCCAGTTGAGTCACACCAAGGGTTCGCCCCCAGTTGAGTCACACCAAGGGTTCGCCCCCAGTTGAGTCACACCAAGGGTTCGCCCCCAGTTGAGTCACACCAAGGGTTCGCCCCCAGTTGAGTCACACCAAGGGTTCGCCCCCAGTTGAGTCACACCAAGGGTTCGCCCCCAGTTGAGTCACACCAAGGGTTCGCCCCCAGTTGAGTCACACCAAGGGTTCGCCCCCAGTTGAGTCACACCAAGGGTTCGCCCCCAGTTGAGTCACACCAAGGGTTCGCCCCCAGTTGAGTCACACCAAGGGTTCGCCCCCAGTTGAGTCACACCAAGGGTTCGCCCCCAGTTGAGTCACACCAAGGGTTCGCCCCCAGTTGAGTCACACCAAGGGTTCGCCCCCAGTTGAGTCACACCAAGGGTTCGCCCCCAGTTGAGTCACACCAAGGGTTCGCCCCCAGTTGAGTCACACCAAGGGTTCGCCCCCAGTTGAGTCACACCAAGGGTTCGCCCCCAGTTGAGTCACACCAAGGGTTCGCCCCCAGTTGAGTCACACCAAGGGTTCGCCCCCAGTTGAGTCACACCAAGGGTTCGCCCCCAGTTGAGTCACACCAAGGGTTCGCCCCCAGTTGAGTCACACCAAGGGTTCGCCCCCAGTTGAGTCACACCAAGGGTTCGCCCCCAGTTGAGTCACACCAAGGGTTCGCCCCCAGTTGAGTCACACCAAGGGTTCGCCCCCAGTTGAGTCACACCAAGGGTTCGCCCCCAGTTGAGTCACACCAAGGGTTCGCCCCCAGTTGAGTCACACCAAGGGTTCGCCCCCAGTTGAGTCACACCAAGGGTTCGCCCCCAGTTGAGTCACACCAAGGGTTCGCCCCCAGTTGAGTCACACCAAGGGTTCGCCCCCAGTTGAGTCACACCAAGGGTTCGCCCCCAGTTGAGTCACACCAAGGGTTCGCCCCCAGTTGAGTCACACCAAGGGTTCGCCCCCAGTTGAGTCACACCAAGGGTTCGCCCCCAGTTGAGTCACACCAAGGGTTCGCCCCCAGTTGAGTCACACCAAGGGTTCGCCCCCAGTTGAGTCACACCAAGGGTTCGCCCCCAGTTGAGTCACACCAAGGGTTCGCCCCCAGTTGAGTCACACCAAGGGTTCGCCCCCAGTTGAGTCACACCAAGGGTTCGCCCCCAGTTGAGTCACACCAAGGGTTCGCCCCCAGTTGAGTCACACCAAGGGTTCGCCCCCAGTTGAGTCACACCAAGGGTTCGCCCCCAGTTGAGTCACACCAAGGGTTCGCCCCCAGTTGAGTCACACCAAGGGTTCGCCCCCAGTTGAGTCACACCAAGGGTTCGCCCCCAGTTGAGTCACACCAAGGGTTCGCCCCCAGTTGAGTCACACCAAGGGTTCGCCCCCAGTTGAGTCACACCAAGGGTTCGCCCCCAGTTGAGTCACACCAAGGGTTCGCCCCCAGTTGAGTCACACCAAGGGTTCGCCCCCAGTTGAGTCACACCAAGGGTTCGCCCCCAGTTGAGTCACACCAAGGGTTCGCCCCCAGTTGAGTCACACCAAGGGTTCGCCCCCAGTTGAGTCACACCAAGGGTTCGCCCCCAGTTGAGTCACACCAAGGGTTCGCCCCCAGTTGAGTCACACCAAGGGTTCGCCCCCAGTTGAGTCACACCAAGGGTTCGCCCCCAGTTGAGTCACACCAAGGGTTCGCCCCCAGTTGAGTCACACCAAGGGTTCGCCCCCAGTTGAGTCACACCAAGGGTTCGCCCCCAGTTGAGTCACACCAAGGGTTCGCCCCCAGTTGAGTCACACCAAGGGTTCGCCCCCAGTTGAGTCACACCAAGGGTTCGCCCCCAGTTGAGTCACACCAAGGGTTCGCCCCCAGTTGAGTCACACCAAGGGTTCGCCCCCAGTTGAGTCACACCAAGGGTTCGCCCCCAGTTGAGTCACACCAAGGGTTCGCCCCCAGTTGAGTCACACCAAGGGTTCGCCCCCAGTTGAGTCACACCAAGGGTTCGCCCCCAGTTGAGTCACACCAAGGGTTCGCCCCCAGTTGAGTCACACCAAGGGTTCGCCCCCAGTTGAGTCACACCAAGGGTTCGCCCCCAGTTGAGTCACACCAAGGGTTCGCCCCCAGTTGAGTCACACCAAGGGTTCGCCCCCAGTTGAGTCACACCAAGGGTTCGCCCCCAGTTGAGTCACACCAAGGGTTCGCCCCCAGTTGAGTCACACCAAGGGTTCGCCCCCAGTTGAGTCACACCAAGGGTTCGCCCCCAGTTGAGTCACACCAAGGGTTCGCCCCCAGTTGAGTCACACCAAGGGTTCGCCCCCAGTTGAGTCACACCAAGGGTTCGCCCCCAGTTGAGTCACACCAAGGGTTCGCCCCCAGTTGAGTCACACCAAGGGTTCGCCCCCAGTTGAGTCACACCAAGGGTTCGCCCCCAGTTGAGTCACACCAAGGGTTCGCCCCCAGTTGAGTCACACCAAGGGTTCGCCCCCAGTTGAGTCACACCAAGGGTTCGCCCCCAGTTGAGTCACACCAAGGGTTCGCCCCCAGTTGAGTCACACCAAGGGTTCGCCCCCAGTTGAGTCACACCAAGGGTTCGCCCCCAGTTGAGTCACACCAAGGGTTCGCCCCCAGTTGAGTCACACCAAGGGTTCGCCCCCAGTTGAGTCACACCAAGGGTTCGCCCCCAGTTGAGTCACACCAAGGGTTCGCCCCCAGTTCGCCCCCAGTTGAGTCACACCAAGGGTTCGCCCCCAGAAAGACCGTCCGCATCGCCTCCCATCCTCCACCTCCTCCTTCCTCCCGTCCCGCGCAGCTTTACGGAGTGTGGGAGGGCGTTTGTGTACAAGGTGGACCTCACACGCCACCTGCGCACACATTACGGCCAGCCCGCACGGTAGCAGCCGCACAGGCAGTCACGCTTTGGCTCCGGTGCTTGAAGTGCCTCACACGCCACCTGCGCGCGCTCTATGGCCAGCCCACGCGGTAGCAGGAACACGAATTCATATGGTAGCACACATGTGCGCAACCGCACAACGAGGTATTGGGGTATGGTAATTAGGGAATGAGGTGAGGTGCATATAAGGAGTCTTGGGGGATCTTGTTAAGATCCTGTTCTGTACCGTGCACGCAGCTAGCAAAGCAAGTGCGCATGAAACACTAGTATCCGTATGTGTATATATGCCCATCGATGAGTAAGGTATTGGTATCTGAGCAGTTGAGAAGAGTGACTGTGGTACTTAGACATGCATTGCTGCACTGCAGGGAACATTCTTCTCTGTTCCTAGGTAGCCTTGCAAACCTTTGGTCAATGCACCATAGGCTGTGGTGCTGCAGACATACAGAACCAGCCCAAGAGTAAAGTTGGTGTTTGCTGGCCTACAGGCTACATCTCACATTCTGGTTTACCCAACGTGGTTCTTTCACCCAAACTTTCCTTCCAGTTCCACTCATCAGGGTGAGTTTTGGGTAGTCTGGGAGAGCCACATGTACTGGTGAGAGCTGCTGATGGGTGGTCTCACGAAGTAGGGTAATCCTAGCTAGCATTGAGGGCAATGCAATGGGGCAAAAAAAGGGTGGGAAAGAAAACGGGGCGTTCCGAGAATTGAACTCAAGACCTCTCGCACCCTAAGCGAGAATCATGCCGATGTGTCTGAAGACGCTTTATACATCCACTTTACTCGAATGACTGCCTCTTGTTGTCCTGAACTTGCATTCTATGGCTTCCCCAATCTGCGGCGCATTGCCGCGGGATGCGCATTGCCGTCCCCGCCCTGCCTCGTCCCCCGCGCGCTTCGAATCCCGCTGCACTCACACTCGCACTCTCACTCTCTGCCGCACTCTCCTCCACAGTCACACTCGGAACCAGAATGCGACCCACCGTTTTAGTCACAACAACGTTGCACTCGCCGCCCCAGCGATCCGCAAGACCGTGGGAGGGCAATGCGCCTCCTATCGCCACGTGGAGCAACCTTATTGGTGGACGGGGATAAGCCGACCACAGAAGAACCGCCTGAACAATCCGTTTGTTGAAGGCCAATCCTGGAAATTGCTGCCACGTGGCAGCTTCGAGGCAATGCCACGTGTCAGGCAACCTGGCAGCGCCGTCCTGGTGCGCGCGTCCACGTCAGCAGCTGAGTCATCCCCTCTTTTCCTGGGATTTGACTTCGGCACGTCCGGGGCACGTGCTGTTGTTATTGATGGCGACGCCGCAATTCTGGCTGACATCAAGAGGAAATACCCTCCTGCCGCCCATGCTGAGTCAGCATCCGAGTCAGCAGTCGGCAGCAGCAGCGATCCGGACGATGACGTGTCAGCAGCGGAGGGGTGGCGGGTGGCGTTGTTTGGACTGTTGCGCGACATTCCCGAGGAGTTGAGGCGGCGAGTGGCTGCAGTATCGCTGGACGGCACGTCCGCCACCACCATGGTGGTCAACCGGTGAGAGGGCATCTGCATCCATGGGTGCAGTGCGGTGCAGTGGGTGCAGGTGATGTGGGGACAGTCGACACGGGAGTTGAGACGGCGAGTGGTGGCAGTATCGCTGGACGGCACGTCCGCCACCACCATGGTCGTCAGCCGGTGAGAAAGCGCTGCTGCCGCAGGGGTGTGCGGTACGGTGCGGGGCGGCGCAGGTGACATGATGGACGGCACATCCGCCACCACCATGGTCGTCAGCCGGTGAGAAAGCGCTGCTGCTGCAGGGGTGTGCGGTACGGTGCGGGGCGGCGCAGGTGACATGATGGACGGCACATCCGCCACCACCATGGTCGTCAGCCGGTGAGAAAGCGCTGCTGCTGCAGGGGTGTGCGGTACGGTGCGGGGCGGCGCACGTGACATGATGGACGGCACATCCGCCACCACCATGGTCGTCAGCCGGTGAGAAAGCGCTGCTGCTGCAGGGGTGTGCGGTACGGTGCGGGGCGGCGCAGGTGACATGATGGACGGCACATCCGCCACCACCATGGTCGTCAGCCGGTGAGAAAGCGCTGCTGCTGCAGGGGTGTGCGGTATGGTGCGGGGCGGCGCAGGTGACATGATGGACGGCACATCCGCCACCACCATGGTCGTCAGCCGGTGAGAAAGCGCTGCTGCTGCAGGGGTGTGCGGTACGGTGCGGGGCGGCGCAGGTGACATGATGGACGGCACATCCGCCACCACCATGGTCGTCAGCCGGTGAGAAAGCGCTGCTGCTGCAGGGGTGTGCGGTACGGTGCGGGGCGGCGCAGGTGACATGATGGACGGCACATCCGCCACCACCATGGTCGTCAGCCGGTGAGAAAGCGCTGCTGCTGCAGGGGTGTGCGGTACGGTGCGGGGCGGCGCACGTGACATGATGGACGGCACATCCGCCACCACCATGGTCGTCAGCCGGTGAGAAAGCGCTGCTGCTGCAGGGGTGTGCGGTACGGTGCGGGGCGGCGCAGGTGACATGATGGACGGCACATCCGCCACCACCATGGTCGTCAGCCGGTGAGAAAGCGCTGCTGCTGCAGGGGTGTGCGGTACGGTGCGGGGCGGCGCACGTGACATGATGGACGGCACATCCGCCACCACCATGGTCGTCAGCCGGTGAGAAAGCGCTGCTGCTGCAGGGGTGTGCGGTACGGTGCGGGGCGGCGCAGGTGACATGATGGACGGCACATCCGCCACCACCATGGTCGTCAGCCGGTGAGAAAGCGCTGCTGCTGCAGGGGTGTGCGGTACGGTGCGGGGCGGCGCAGGTGACATGATGGACGGCACATCCGCCACCACCATGGTCGTCAGCCGGTGAGAAAGCGCTGCTGCTGCAGGGGTGTGCGGTACGGTGCGGGGCGGCGCACGTGACATGATGGACGGCACATCCGCCACCACCATGGTCGTCAGCCGGTGAGAAAGCGCTGCTGCTGCAGGGGTGTGCGGTACGGTGCGGGGCGGCGCAGGTGACATGATGGACGGCACATCCGCCACCACCATGGTCGTCAGCCGGTGAGAAAGCGCTGCTGCTGCAGGGGTGTGCGGTACGGTGCGGGGCGGCGCAGGTGACATGATGGACGGCACATCCGCCACCACCATGGTCGTCAGCCGGTGAGAAAGCGCTGCTGCTGCAGGGGTGTGCGGTACGGTGCGGGGCGGCGCAGGTGACATGATGGACGGCACGTCCGCCACCACCATGGTCGTCAGCCGGTGAGAAAGCGCTGCTGCTGCAGGGGTGTGCGGTACGGTGCGGGGCGGCGCAGGTGACATGATGGACGGCACGTCCGCCACCACCATGGTCGTCAGCCGGTGAGAAAGCGCTGCTGCTGCTGGGGTGTGCGGTACGGTGCGGGGCGGCGCAGGTGACATGATGGACGGCACATCCGCCACCACCATGGTCGTCAGCCAAGCGCTGCTGCTGCAGGGGTGTGCGGTACGGTGCGGGGCGGCGCAGGTGACATGATGGACGGCACATCCGCCACCACCATGGTCGTCAGCCGGTGAGAAAGCGCTGCTGCTGCAGGGGTGTGCGGTACGGTGCGGGGCGGCGCAGTTGACATGATGGACGACACATCCGCCACCACCATGGTCGTCAGCCGGTGAGAGCGGTGCAGTGCGGTGCCAGTGACATGGTGACATGGGGCAGTGTTGCATGGGTGCAGTGCGGTGCAGATGGCATGGTGCTGGACGGCACATCCGCCACCACCATGAGCCGGTGAGCCGGCATGGTCGTGAGCTGGTGAGAAAGCATCTGCATGCACGGGTGCAGTGGGTGCAGTGAAGCCCGGAGGTAGGTAGGGAGTCAGGCAGTCCAAACTAAGAGAGTGATCGACTGCTGCTTCCCCCCACCTTCTTTTCGTTACTTCCTCCCATCATCAGCACCACCCGCAAGCCCGCAGCCCGCTCCATGATGTACAGCAAGGTGGGCAGTGCAGTGTGGTGCGGCAGGCAGGCAGGCAGTCCGATTCAAGAGAGTGTTTGACTATCTCCCCTCCCTCTCTTGCCTCTCCACCAGCTCTACCTGTGAGCCCATGACCCGACCCATGATGTACAGCGAGGCGGGCAGCGTGGAGGCAGGCAGTCAGTCAGGCAGTTTGATTCAAGCGACTGAATGACTATCTCCCTCCCTCTCTTGCCTCTCCCCCAGGTCCACACGTGAGCCCATCGCCCGCCCCATGATGTACAACGAGGCGGGCAGCCCGGAGGTCGTGTATATGAATCAGCCAAGAGACAGATTCACAGCTGCCCTTCCCCTCCCTCTTCCTCTCTTATCTCCAACCAGCTCAACACGCGAGCCTGTGACCCGCCCCATGATGTACAACGAGGCGGGCAGCGCTGAAGCCAGATGCACTGCTCTGCTGACTCCCTCTCTCCCTGCCTCTCTTCCCCCCCCCCCCCCCCCCCCCCCCCACCCCTCAGCTCCACCCGTGAGCCCATCACCCGCCCCATGATGTACAACGAGGCGGGCAGCCCTGAAGCCGTGGCTGCCGTGGCAGCAGTGGCGCCGGCCAATCACACGGCGACAGCTGGCACGTCCACGCTGTGCAAGCTGATGACGTGGTGGTTGAAGCAGGGGGCCGAGGTGGGGGGGAAGGCGGAGGAGAAGGCAGAGGGGGAAGGGGAAAGGGGCAAAGAAGAGGAGGTGGTGATGGTGCATCAGGCGGACTGGCTGTTGGGGCAGCTGTGTGGAGCAGCAGACGTGCATGTGACTGACTTTAACAACGTGCTCAAGGTGAGACGGGATGATGAGGTAATGGTGCTGGTGAGTGGGATGGTGCTGGTGAGTGGGATGGTGATGATGAGGTTCGTCCCCATCAGGTTCGTCCCCATCAGGTTCGTCCCCATCAGGTTCGTCCCCATCAGGTTCGTCCCCATCAGGTTCGTCCCCATCAGGTTCGTCCCCATCAGGTACGACCCTGAGAGCAGCGCCTATCCCAACTGGCTATCGTGAGTTCTCTCATATTCAGGAATCGCCTCCCCCATCTCCTCTCTCTGTCTCCCACACGCCCCACCAGCTGGGTTACGACCCTGAGAGCACCACCTATCCGGACTGGCTGCTCGCGCTGCCCTTGGCGCCCATGCTGCCACGCGTGCTGCCGCCCTCCCATACCCCTTCCCCTTCCCCCCCCCTCTCACCCCTCCTCCCAGCTGGGTTACGACCCTGAGAGCAGCACCTACCCCGACTGGCTGCTCGCACTGCCCTTCTCCCACATGCTGCCGCGTGTGCTGCCGCCCGGCTCCCTCATTGGCAATGTGGAGCCGCAACTGACCACCGAGTTTGGTGAGTCGTACGCTCAACTCACTGCTGCCCTTTGCGCTCATGCTGCCGCGTGTGCTGCCGCCCGGCTCCCTCATTGGCACAGTCGCAGCGCAACTTACCACCGAGTTCGGTGAGTCACGGCTGCCCCTCTCCACCATGCTGCCACGTGTGCTGCCGCCCGGCTCCCTCATTGGCACTGTTGAGGCACAAGTCACAGCCGAGTTTGGTGAGTCGTGCTCTCCTGTCATGACTGCCCCTCTCCACCATGCTGCCACGTGTGCTGCCGCCCGGCTCCCTCATTGGCACAGTGGGAGCAGAGCTCACTGCCGAGTTTGGTGAGTCGAGGTGGGCAGTTCAAAGCTATGAGCAGTCATATGAACGTACACCCGCTCACACAATCTGCTCGCACTGCCAACTCTGCCACGCGTATTGTCGCCTGGCTCTCTTATCGGCACTGTGCTGTGTGGACACAACTCACAGTCGAGGTGGGGAGGCGATGCAGCCCCTGTGAGTTGTCCGTTGCTTCGCCTCCCCAACGGACGCTCACGCGGTGCTATGAATGTCCGTTGCTTGTTCCTGAGGGCCATGCTGTCTCTGGGGCTGTCGCCTGGCTCTGTCATGGCACTGTGGGGACACGTCTCACGGCTGAGTTTGGTAGTCATATCACCAGGCCAACCAACCAACCAACCACCACCCGCTCCCTCCCTTCGCTCTCTCCCTCCCTTCCTTCTCTCCCTCCCTCCTCCCTCCCTCCCTGCCTCCCTGCAGCCCTCCCGTCTGACTGCATCGTCACCACCGGCAGCATTGCCGCCTTTCCCCCTCTCCCCCATCGCACGCTCCCCATCTGCACCTGCTCCCTCCGTGCATCCTATGCCTTCCTCCATGCTTTCCCCCCTCCTTCCCTCCCGCCCTCCCTCCCCACTGCAGCCGTCCCGTCTGATTGCATCGTCACCACCGGCACCACCGACAGCAGTGCAGCGTTTCTGACCACCTTCCCCACGCTTTCTTTCCTTCCTTCCCTCCATCCCTTCTCCCCGCCCTCCCTCCCTGCCAGCCCTCCCGTCTGATTGCATCGTCACCACCGGCACCACCGACAGCATTGCGGCCTTTCCCCCTCTTACTGCATCACTTGCACTGAACACCCGCTCTCCACCCGCTCCCTCCCTCCCTCCCTCCCCCCCCCCCTCCCTCCCGTCCTGCAGCCCTCCCGTCTGATTGCATCGTCACCACCGGCACCACCGACAGCATTGCAGCCTTCCTGGCCGCGAGGGTAACTACCCCCGGGTATGCCGTCACCTCGCTCGGGTCTACCCTCGCCGTCAAGCTCGTGAGCACTGCGCGAATCGACGATGCTCGCTTCGGCGTATACAGCCACCGCTTGCCGCCCGGAGATTGGGCTCCGCCGCCCGGAGATTGGGCTCCGCCGCCCGGGGTGGAGAACGAGGGGGAGACGGAGCAGGGAGGTGCGGCAGAAGAGGACAAAGAATGCAAGTGGCTGGTCGGCGGGGCGTCAAATACGGGCGGCGCAGTGCTGCGGGGGTATTTCACAGACGAGGAGTTGCGGGAGCTGAGTGAGAAAATAGACCCGAGTGTAGAGAGTAAACTTGACTACTACCCACTTACTCGACCTGGGGAGAGGTTCCCTGTGTCCGACCCTGACCTGCAGCCCCGGTGAGTGTGCAGGCTCGGTTCCATACCTAGCTACGTCCTATCACATGCTTTCTCTCAGAGAGCTTTTGCATGTAACTGAGAGTCGTGCCATTTGGTCTTGTCCCTGTGCACCTGTACATCGCATTCAGTGGCACAATCCCTCTGTCTTCCGTGTCCAGCCAATCACTGGATTGCAGAAGTCATGCCTTTCCTTTCCTCTCTCTCCCTCCATGCAGCTTGACTCCTCGCCCTGCTGACGACGCTCTCTTCCTGCACACGACATGGTCTTGCTCCTGTGCACCCACGCATGGTATTCCATGGCCCTACCAGCCAATCACTGGGTCGAATTACTCACACCTTTCCACTCTCTCCCTCCGTGCAGCTTGACTCCTCGCCCGGCCGATGACGCTCTCTTCTTGCACGGCATCCTTGAGTCCATTGCTATTATTGAGGTGAGCTTTGCTCCCTCCCTTGTGCTCGTCATTTCCTTGTCATAGAAAATGTTCCTCGTCACGCTCTCTTCCTGTGTGGCATTCTTGAGCCCGTAGTCCTCATTGAGGTGCGCCTCTGCTCCCCACTCTCGTTCTCCATTGATTCCCTTTCATTTCTATCTTCTTACGCTCACATGCACTCACAAAAGCACCTTGATGACAAAAGCACAGAGAGGCCTATGACACCTTGATGCTCTACTGCATCTGCTACTGCGCACGCAACATCACAGCATGCCCACACTCACATGCGACCCAAACCCGTACTATCCACCCGACTCACCCCAACAGGCCAGGGCATACTCGTTGTTAGCTGACCTGGGAGCATCGCCGCCAGTGAAGCGGGTGTACACTGCAGGGGGAGGCGCAGGGAACCCCACATGGAGTGCCATCAGGGAGAGAGTGATGGGCGTGCCCGTAGCCCCATCAGGCAACACGGATGCTGCTTTTGGCTCTGCACTGCTCGCAAAAGAAGGGTTCTTGAGACACACGGCGGAATAACTACCCATGGAAGAGTGCTGATGGGAGTGCCTGTGGCCCTATCAGGCAACACGGATGCTGCCTTTGGCACCGGTATTCAGCACACACCTGTATCGGTACCTTCTTGCCAAGCTGCTAACCACTCAACTTCAAGATAATCTTACGGTATTACAATGTGAACCAGTGTATAGAATTCCATAGCAGGCTGGTAGCTGATGCAGTACCAATAACAACACTGGTGGAGAGAGGTACTGTACAAACAGGCCACATAACTCAATGAATCGAAACTTGTACAGCAGAACCTAATTGACCTGTGCTGGCCAATCAAATGCAGCCACGCGTCAGACCAGGAACCCAGAGAGTCGTTTCTGTAGCTGCCAAGTCAACCAGTCACGCCACACCACATGCCGCCACGTGCCGTGCCAAACCAGGCAGCTGCGAAGTCAACCTGTCACGCTACATGCAGCCAGCCACGTGTCAGACCAGGCAGCTGAGAAGTCAAATGACATGCGGCAAACACAAGCAGCCACACATGCAGCCACGTGCCGTGCCAGACCACCAGGCAGCTGAGAAGTCAAATGACATGCGGCACACACAAGCAAAGCAGCCACAGATGCAGAAAATGGTGCGGTGAAGGCAGGCCTGAGAGTGTCACACAAACAACGAAATTCACCCACACTCGTGGCTGGGTTGTGGACGAGTGGAGGGGTGTGTGAGATGAGGGAAACGAGGGGGCGATGGTGAGGGAGGGGAGGGAGTTTAAGGGTGGATGAAGGGAGGGGGGGAGGGGGAGAGGAGGCATCACCAGGGGGGAAGTTGAGGTATGGGAGGGGGAAGGGGATGAGGGGTGAGTCTGAAAGCGGGGAACGGGGGAGGGTGGGGAGAGAGGGGGAACGGAGTGAGACGAGGGGAGATGGTGGGCGTGAAGGAAGAAAACAACAGAGCGCGGCAGTGAAGGGGGGGCTGGTTGGATGAAGGGAGAGAGGGGGGGACGATGGGAGTGCGAGGAAGTGAGAGAGAGCGGGGGAATGAGAGGAGAGCAGGAAGATGAGGGGAGAGCGGGGCGGATGAGGGGAGAGCCGAGAGGATGAGGGGGAAGGGGGAATTAGGGGGGCGGGGGGGAGAGGAATCAAGGGGAAAAGGGGCTGATTCGCCTGTGACCTTTCGCCAATCCTTTCCGTCTTCAAACTTTCATTTTATAGGCGTCTCAAAAGACGATTTTGAGGCGCCTTTTTTGAAGTACCGTCGAGTGGGCGCGTGCATCTTCCCCTCATCGTCCTCCCTCTTCTCGCCTCCACTCACCCCCCGCACTCCGTGTTTCCCGTCGTCCGTCCAGGCCACCATCGACGCACTCTCAAGGCCAAGAAGAGAAGGCTGACAGCGGCAAGGGGAGGGGGAAGGGGGAAATAGGAGGGAAATGGCCGTTTCGTCCTTCCGCCAGTCCTCTCCGTCCGCTTCCCCCTTCTCCGTTCCACTCACCTCCACTCACCTCCCAACCTCCTTTTCCGCGTCGCGAATCCAAGATACCGTCGACGCTCCGAAGTCATGAGGGGGAAAGCGGAAAGGGGAGGGGGAAGGGGAAATTGCCGTCACCTCCGCTCACCTCCCTTACCGCGTCTTGCGTCCAGGCATTCGACGCTGTGAGGTAGACGAAACGCGCTGTCTAATCGACGAAACGTACTGACGTTACTGACGCTTACGAAATCGACGATAGTAACTCGTCCGCCGACGACGTCATAATTCCGTCATTACGCAGGTAAATTGAAGTCAGATCTGGAGCGCGCAACTTAAAAGTGGCTTACCAAGACTGCGACCTTTGATCATACCTAATACTGCTAGGCGCGCCAACAGACGCGTGAAGCGACTAACTGTACGTACGACCGAGGAGTGAGCGGCACTTGCTGCATCGTCAAAGAATTCTACTAATATCGGCTACCGCGCTGAGACCTGAAATAGCGAAACTACTACCTAACACAGCAAGGGTAAGTCAGACCCACGATATTATGTCGGCACAATGACAGCTGAGGACGACTAGGTGTGGCAGGTTCGGAAGATCGAGGTTCGGGATGTTGATATTGCCATGGTGGTTGTGCCAGGGTGTCAAACCACAACTCATTCCCATTGGTTCGCGCAAATCTCTTCTCATCCACCCATTGTTTTCCCAGCTGCCCGAGTAAGGATGAAAGGGAGTCACAGTGCCACGGACGAATACCCCCAACCCAACCAAAGCCGCCCCGCAACTCACGCCGAAACTAGAAAAAAAACTCACTCATGCTGACCCAACTAAAATTAGCGTGTCGTCAAACCACCTCCTAGAAAGTTCGAGCCTGCCCCATGACACCAGCACACCCAGCAACTCCCCCCAGTGGATATACTCGCCCTTAGCAAATTCGCTTGCATACTAACAATTGCAACCAGTAATCATATTTAACCCAACTGTGTACAAGAGCGATGAATGTACAACAAGGTGTGGGCTGGGTGGATAAGGCGGGGGCACATTCGAGCCGCCTCAACATGTTCACCACGCGCCTTTGGGAAATGTCCGCTGCCGCTTAGTCGGCGGGGCATTGCATTGGCCAATGACAACGGCCACCACCACGCCTCCATCCCATGCCACAGCCAATGTAATCGTCACCGTTGAGGGTGGTTACACCACCACCATCCACCCATTCACAACACTCTCTGTTTACTATCGCACCGCGCACCCAGGGTGGTGTCAGTAATTCCCTCCCACCGCGGCATAGAAAGAATCTGGCAACCCGTCCGACCGTACTGCACCTAGGTAAACTTTCTAGTACCCACATATATTGTTGAACCATCACATTTGGTTTGAAGTCGCGCTACGACATGCCGCCGTGGCTCGCTGCCGTGGTTGAACCGCTGACTTGATTTCATTAACCCATTCATCACCACCACCACTTTCTGTTTCAGCGGCAACCTCCGCTACCTTGCTGAGCATAAGGGCGTATTCCTAAGCTCGTGTCATCCGGTGTTGGTGTCATCCGAAAACTTTGGAACTCACGCGATTGACCCAAAAATCACAATTGATCAATCACATGCATTCCAAAGCTGTCGGATGACACCAACTCGGGATGACACAAACTCAGGAATACGCCCTAACTATCGAAGTTGTGGCCTCAAACTCACGGACGGAGGATTCTTTGAAAGCTCCAACCTAATGAGCTTAGACTTCAGGCTAGAAGCTCCACGGAGCAAGCTTTGCTACCTGAAGCGACCCGGTTACTAGTACACGGAGAAGCCCATGGCACAAGGCGGCGTTGAGTTAGAATAGAGGTCGGGTGTGGGGTGGGTGGGTAGAGTCCTGTAAGGAGCGAGCTGCCAAGTGCCTTGGGCCAAACCGTGTATGAAAACCTTTCGCGACAACCTTTTCACCGCGAGTATTCTATGATCTCTTCCGCGAGATTTACGTGGCGAGTCTTCGCGAGTTTTCTTTTAGAGATCTTCTCGCCACGAAGCTTCCACGGCGATATTTCTACGGCGCCAACTTCCCGGCAAATCATAGCGCCGACGCAGCCATGATCATCTCTGCGATATCTTCACGGCGAAAATTTCACAACGGGATCTCCGCTCCAAGCTCGTCTCGACCAGAGCTTCAGCTTCAAATGCTTCAGCTTCAAGATGCTGTTGTCGGCCTTCCCCCGTCGCTGCTGCGGGGAAGAACAAGCCTCACAACCACAGGGACCATGACCGCTCCCCGGCGGTCTTCACCGGTCGAGTGGGGTAAGTGCAGAGTCTTTTGACTGATTTCTGTAACCGTTTTGGCCAGTTAAGTTTTTAAACATTTTAACTTTGTTCAGGTACTAACATGCTACTTTCGTCCCGCAGACCTCGTGGCGACCGTCTTGGCGAGACATGAAGTGCCGCCGTTAAGATCTTCAATACGGCGAAGAGACGGTCACCCCCGACGCGGCCACCCCCGTCGCTGCCTCCAAGGGAAGTCGCTGCGGTCACCAACACGGAGACGGTCGAGTGGGAGGACGCTTCAAACGCGAGTTGCGCTTCAAGCTCTGGACCGGCGATATCTTCGGCGTGAAGATCCGATATCTTCAAGCTCCACCTGCAAAGTCTTCCAGCACAATGACTATCGAGTGGAGGTAAGGACTTTTTTTTCTTTAGTTTTCCAGATCCGCTAAATTGAAATTAGACTTTTTTTAAACTCCTTTTCACCTTTTAACTCGCTCTTCGTTTTTCTGCAGACAACCGTTTCTGGTCGCACTTCAAAACCGGATGAGAGGATCTACCGTTGCTGGCGCTTCGAGCTCACTCAAGCCCAAATTGAAGCCCAAGTGATGAAGCTCAAAATTTTTTAACGGGTTAAGATGCTGATTCAAGGTGCGACCTTCCTCCGACCTTCCTACACGGAGACGGTAAATTCTCTTCAGCTTCTTCATCGTTTTGTTACGCTCTGAATCGTTCTTTTTCCGTGCTTCTGAGAATACTCCTAACACGTTCCTTTTTTTCCTACAGATGTCAAGCTCAAGCTTCTACAAGCTGAAGTTGAAGTTTGAAACCCGAGTCAAGCTGGACGCCGATTGGCCAACCTGATCCGAAGCCTACATCCCAACCCGAAGTCTATTGGCTCTCGCCGTCAACTTGCCGTCGCCAACGGCGGACAGGTCGGCCGAATCGGGGTACGCATCTCAAAGTTTAACTTTTGATCACCTTTTCCCTTACTCACTCGTCATTCAGTAACGTTGATGCTTTGGTTGAAGTACTAATTTGTTGCCTCTTCTTTTTCAGGCCTCGGCGACCGTCCAACGATGGCCACTCGAAAGCGACGACCAGCAACGATCGCCGACGGAGCAACGCGGCCGACGCTAAGTGCAGCATTCTTCGACGCTGAAGCGCCGTCGTTAAGACCTGAAGCGTCGTCAAGACCTGACGCAAGTGCAGCGTTTTTCACTTCTTCCTGTGCCGGTTTTTGGCCAGTTAAGTTCTTAAGCTTTTTAGCATTGTTCGGGTACTAACCTGTTGCTTCTCTTCCCGCAGACCTCGTGGGAAGGCGTTGCACTTCAATCGCGGGATGCTTCAAGCTCCGGACACGAAGTCTTCGCGGCGAAGTCTTCCAACACGAAGACTGGCGAGTGGACGCACTCAAGCCCAAGTGATGATCGCCGATTGTCACCACGCTCCGGTTGCAGATTGCGAAGCCTCACGTGTGCATATCGCCGACTGATGTTGTGAGTGAATATCAGTCTTTTCGGCTTTTCGTAATGAACGTATCTTTTCGGCAACTTGTTTCTCTTGTACTAACTGTTTTCTTTTCCTATATCGCCCCGCAGACCTTGGCGATCAAAGGTCGTGCTTTTGCCGTCGGCGACGAACGATCTACCGTCAACCACGCCGATCCTACCGTCAACCCACCGTCAACGACGACGAACCTACCGTCAACCACCATTGGCTCACATACTACGATCCCGGCGACCCTACTACCGCACGGCGATCAGTTGCAAGCGGACGGCGGGGATGTCAAACGCTCGGCGACGCGGCTAGCGGACGACACAAGCGGACGACGACGAAAGGTGACGACGGACGAATCCACTCGCGAGGCCTTGACGGACGGACGGACGGACGGTAACTCGTTTCTGTCTTGGCGCCTTCATTTCGGTTTTACCACCTGTCGCTTTTCGTGCCGTTTCGTCTAATGCCTTTTCGTACCGTTCATTGGCTGGATCTAACATAGGCGCTTTCTTCCTGCAGAGCGCACGAAGCACGGCGGACGCCGAGTTGTGACGCTTCTTCGGGCGTCACGGCCGGACGGCACGTCTCGCGGCCGGACGGCGCGTCTCGCGGTCGGACGGCTCGTCTCGCGGTCGGACGTGGCGGGTGGATGGCGCGTCTCGCGGGCTGTTGGCGAACGGCGCATACCCCGATTTCTTGGTAAGTTTCATTTCCGGTTCTTTTCTTTTATTTTCCAGATTCTAACTTCTATTGTTGTGTGCTCTCTTCTTAGCGAGGAGGAGCGGGAAGAGCGGGAGCAACGGCAAGCTACGAGGACTTTTCTTTCTTGGTAAGTTTCAGTTCTAGTTCTTTTCTTTTATTATCCCGATTCTAACTTCTATTGTTGTGTGCTCTCGTCTTGGCGCAGGAGGAGCGGGAAGAGCGGGAGGAACGGCAAGCTACGAGGACTTCTTTAAACTTGGTAAGTTTCAGTTCTAGTTCTTTTCTTTATTCTTTCCCGATTCTAACTTCTTGTATTGTGTGCTCTCTTCTTAGTGCAGGAGGAGCGGGAGGAGCGGGAGCAACGGCAAGCTACGAGGACTTATTTTAAATTGGTAAGTTTCAGTTCTAGTTCTTTTCTTTATTCTTTCCCGATTCTTACTTCTTGTATTGTGTGCTCTCTTCTTAGTGTAGGAGGAGCGGGAGGAGCGGGAGCAACGGCAAGCTACGAGGACTTTTTTTAACTTGGTAAGTTTCAGTTCTAGTTCTTTTCTTTATTCTTTCCCGATTCTTACTTCTTGTATTGTGTGCTCTCTTCTTAGTGCAGGAGGAGCGGGAGGAGCGGGAGCAACGGCAAGCTACGAGGACTTCTTTTAACTTGGTAAGTTTCAGTTCTAGTTCTTTTCTTTATTCTTTCCCGATTCTTACTTCTTGTATTGTGTGCTCTCTTCTTAGTGCAGGAGGAGCGGGAGGAGCGGGAGCAACGGCAAGCTACGAGGACTTCTTTTAACTTGGTAAGTTTCAGTTCTAGTTCTTTTCTTTATTCTTTCCCGATTCTTACTTCTTGTATTGTGTGCTCTCTTCTTAGTGCAGGAGGAGCGGGAGGAGCGGGAGCAACGGCAAGCTAAGAGGACTTCTTTTAACTTGGTAAGTTTCAGTTCTAGTTCTTTTCTTTATTCTTTCCCGATTCTTTCTTCTTGTATTGTGTGCTCTCTTCTTAGTGCAGGAGGAGCGGGAGGAGCGGGAGCAACGGCAAGCTACGAGGACTTATCTTAACTTGGTAAGTTTCAGTTCTAGTTCGTTCCTTTATTTTTTCCCGATTCTTACTTCTTTTGTTGTGTGCTTTCTTCTTAGCGCAGGAGCAACGGGATCGGGATCAACGGCGCTGGCGGCGACGGGAGGTCAAGTACGAGGACTTCTCATTCTTGGTGAGTTTCAGTTCGAGTTCGTTTCTTTGATATTTCGAAATTCTAACTTCTCTTTTCGTGTGCTCTCGTCTTAGCGCAGGAGTAACGGGAGCGGGATCAACGTGGCAGCGACGGGAGGTCAAGCTACGAGGACTTCTCTTAACCTGGTAAGTTTCATTTCTAGTTCGTTACTTTGATATTTCCAGATTCTACTATTTTCGTGTGCTGTCCGTTGGCGCAGGACCAGCGAGAGCGGAAGCACGAGCAATCGCGGGCGCCAGCGGCAGCGAAGTAACACGGGGGTGGTCTCCCTTGCATGGTAAGTGCCGTCTTCATTTCGTTACGTTTATTCTTCGATTATGAAACTAATCTATTTTTATGTGCTTTCTTCGTTGGCGCAGGCGAAGCGGGGATGGGAGCTCGCGTCGCGGGGTCGCGTGGCGACGCTTCTTCGGGGGAGGCGTTACGCGCGCGCGGCGGAGCATCGGAGCGCGGTGGGACATCAGAGCACGGCGCACCGCCGCGGCGGCTCACGGTGCGTGACTGCGCTTCTCTCTGTTGTGGTGGTCTGTTCGTCCCGTCGTCTCGTCACATTTCCGCTCGTCGCCTTTTGCACTCCTCTCTCTGACACCTTTCTCGCTTTTAGCGCGCTGTTTCGTTTTCAAGATGACTAATGTTTTTTTTTTCTCGTTTGTGGTGCAGGTAAGTTGGTCCCGAGGGAGGCTCCACATACGTGGAGCGCGGAGTCGGCTGGAGCGAGGAGTCGGAGCGAGGTGCAAGGAGCAAGGAGGAAGGAGCGAGGTGGAATTTGACTTCCCCTTCCAGCCCGCCCGTCCTGCAGTTTTGGCGGGGGCGGGAGCAACCAGCGCAAGCGGGAGCAACCAGCGCAAGCGCCAGGCATGTAAGAGGTGCTAGTGGGTATAGAACGATTAGGAGCGTTAGACAGACTCGATTAGGCACGGACAGACGGGCGATGGTATGGGTGGTAAAGGTCAGGTATGCCTTTGGACGGCTGGCCGTCCTCTTGACGGCTGGCTGTCATTCTGACTAACCCTCAACGGGGAACCTATTGTCAAATTCGATGTGTTTATTTTCATCTGCCCGTCACTAATTTTAAAGCTCAAGGCCCAAATTGTTCAACCTTACTAAGGTTGCCCTTTGGGTAGTTGGGGAGGAAGGTTGACTTGTTTGAAGTTGGTCTGTTTAGTTTCGCTCAACTTCTCGCTACACAGTCAGAATTTTCGCTGACTCAGCAAACCCCAGGAAGCAACTCGGAGTTGGTTCTCGAGTCCCAAATTGCACTCACAATATTCTTGGTGTTTCCTGCTTTCCGGTTCGTCCAAAAATTGATGGCCAATCAAATTGCATCGCACTTCACGTAACCACAATTCGCACCCAAAACAACACTCAGAAAGCACTTCGATCAACTTTAGTAAGCTTGCCCCGCGCGCTCTGCAATTTGGGCCTTGAGCTTTAACCGTTCCCCCCCTTCCAAGCATTTTCCCCCCCCCCCCCCCCCCCCCCCCCCCCCCCCCCCTTCCCTCCCAAGCAGGAGGCCCCACGCGAATGACCCTCACCTCATCGTGGTGCGTGGGTGTAACGTCAGGGGCTTTTGCCTCTGACGGCCAAGAGGGGTCAGAAGAACTTTCAAGCTGCCGCTGTGGACGCGCAAGTGGAGCTGCCCTGGGGATGAAGAAGAAAACAAGATGCAAAGATCAGAAGACTAGAAGACCAGAAGATATTCAAGCTGCTTTGAAGTCGAGGCGCTGATAGCTTAGCAACGACTCTTGTATCTGACTTATAGCTCTCTATTTAATATTGTTTGTACTTTTCAACTTTCGTATGAATACGCACCTGGTACCTTGAACAATAGTTCTGTCGCGAAAGAAACTATATTACTCTGCTGTGCAGTTTGTAACAAACTTAGACACCTTAATGACTTCAAAGATTCGACGGAGGTCATATATACTGATAATCGACTGAGACTAGGTGATGGGGATCGTCATTGTTACGTTAGTCATTCTTAGAAGCTCGGTCAGTCACTTCGTGAGAGGTGTGCAACGATTAGAGCAACTATCAGCGCAACGTTTAGCGCAATATCAGTGCAATTATTAGCGCAAGCAGCGGAACGATCAGCGCCGCGATCAACTCAACGGTCGGAGCAGCGATTCGCGAAACGGCTGGCGTAGCTGTCCGCGCGGCAATCCTCGCATCAGCGCAGCAATCAGCGTAGCGATCAGCGCAATCATTGGCTTGACGGATCAGCGCAACTAGCATATCAAGGATTCGCGCAGCGAAAGAGACGTTCGACGGTCATCCGCTTCCCGCTAGATTAATCTCCAACTCTTGAATCTCGACGATACCTCTTGAGGCGCCTCACCGGTCGGCTAGTCTAGTCTCCGAATCGTTACCTGGAAGTAATCCATTTCTAATGGTATTTATGCCAAGGAGGAAAGGGAAACGCAGAGCGAAGGGATATGTATGGGGATGGCGAAGGGGAGATGTAAAGCGAGGAGGAATGGGAAATGCTAAGCGAGGGGGAGCGGGATATGAACAGTGAAGAACCCCAAGTTGTCGAGAGGAGTGAGGATGGGTTGAGCGACGATGACTCTCCTGTGCCTGGCCGTGGTGGTAGAGCTGATGCGTTCCGATCCGAGGGGACGAGGGTGAGGAGGCAGAGGGTGAGGAGGCAGAGGGTGAGGAAGGTGAAATTGAGAAAGGGACTTATGGGGAAGGGGTGGACGAGGAAGGCAGTGACTATAACGAGAGCCCCAGGGCTGATGGAGGGCGTGGGACAGTGAGGGAGGAGGGGGACGAGGAGGTGCGAGAAGAAGAAGGGAAGCAGGAGGATGGGCGTGTGGATGGGCTAGCGAGAGATGAGGAGGATGGCGAGAGATGAGGAGGATGGCGAGAGATGAGGAGGATGGCGAGAGATGAGGAGGATGGCGAGAGATGAGGAGGATGGCGAGAGATGAGGAGGATGGCGAGAGATGAGGAGGATGGCGAGAGATGAGGAGGATGGCGAGAGATGAGGAGGATGGCGAGAGATGAGGAGGATGGCGAGAGATGAGGAGGATGGCGAGAGATGAGGAGGATGGCGAGAGATGAGGAGGATGGCGAGAGATGAGGAGGATGGCGAGAGATGAGGAGGATGGCGAGAGATGAGGAGGATGGCGAGAGATGAGGAGGATGGCGAGAGATGAGGAGGATGGCGAGAGATGAGGAGGATGGCGAGAGGTGAGGAGGATGGCGAGAGATGAGGAGGATGGCGAGAGATGAGGAGGATGGCGAGAGATGAGGAGGATGGCGAGAGATGAGGAGGATGGCGAGAGATGAGGAGGATGGCGAGAGATGAGGAGGATGGCGAGAGATGAGGAGGATGGCGAGAGATGAGGAGGATGGCGAGAGATGAGGAGGATGGCGAGAGATGAGGAGGATGGCGAGAGATGAGGAGGATGGCGAGAGATGAGGAGGATGGCGAGAGATGAGGAGGATGGCGAGAGATGAGGAGGATGGCGAGAGATGAGGAGGATGGCGAGAGATGAGGAGGATGGCGAGAGATGAGGAGGATGGCGAGAGATGAGGAGGATGGCGAGAGATGAGGAGGATGGCGAGAGATGAGGAGGATGGCGAGAGATGAGGAGGATGGCGAGAGATGAGGAGGATGGCGAGGTGGACGAGGGGACCGAGAGGGGAGGGGCAGGACCTGATGTTGAATCACCCGCGATTCACTATCCTTTTTGCCTTGTCGAGTCCTGAAGTGCAGTGTCCTCTTCGTGCAGTGCACTCACGTCACTCCTGCCGCTGTGTTCATCCTTCTTTCTCTCCCTCCACCCCCTCGTCTTGCCTCTCCTCTCCCTCTACCCCCCAGCAGCACCAATCGTCATCACAAGCGCGCAGCAGCATATCTAGTCAAGGCGGGGTCATGCCACGCTGGTGCTAGCATATCTATATTTAAGGTGCCTCAAGTTTAGGCGCTGAGCTGGCAGAGGCGGGCGTGCTGCCGTTGCTGACAGCGTGTCTCTTGAGTGCCATGCTGGCAGTGCGGGAGACTGCTGTGTGCTCATTGGGCCACATGGCGAAGAAGCGGTGACATGGCGATGAGAATGGTTGAGATGGGTGCAGTGCGGTTCCTGGTGACATGCCTTCAGTCAGGTGGGGTTCATTCCCAACAGCATAGAGACCTGGTGAGGTGAGCAGTAACTTATAAGGAACAACCTGTGTTCCGCCCTTTGCCCCCTCTATTTCATGTCCTGCGTTCTGCCCTTTGCCCCTCTATACTCATGGTAGGCAATGATGTCTTTTCTCATCAACTCACTGCCTCTCCACACCTCCTGTGTTCTGCCCTTTGCCCCCTCTATCTCATGTTCTGCGTTGCTAGCACGCTCTGCTGCGTTGCTAGCACGCTCTGCTGCGTTGCTAGCACGCTCTGCTGCGTTGCTAGCACGCTCTGCTGCGTTGCTAGCACGCTCTGCTGCGTTGCTAGCACGCTCTGCTGCGTTGCTAGCACGCTCTGCTGCGTTGCTAGCACGCTCTGCTGCGTTGCTAGCACGCTCTGCTGCGTTGCTAGCACGCTCTGCTGCGTTGCTAGCACGCTCTGCTGCGTTGCTAGCACGCTCTGCTGCGTTGCTAGCACGCTCTGCTGCGTTGCTAGCACGCTCTGCTGCGTTGCTAGCACGCTCTGCTGCGTTGCTAGCACGCTCTGCTGCGTTGCTAGCACGCTCTGCTGCGTTGCTAGCACGCTCTGCTGCGTTGCTAGCACGCTCTGCTGCGTTGCTAGCACGCTCTGCTGCGTTGCTAGCACGCTCTGCTGCGTTGCTAGCACGCTCTGCTGCGTTGCTAGCACGCTCAGCCGTGTCTCTGTTGGGATCTCCTGACGCCAAGACAAGACGCCAGGTGCTGTCATAATACCTGTTGTTTCACCTGTTGTTTCAACGCACTCATTGTATTTCCTTTCATCAGCACCTATATGCTGCTCATGCATCCCCAACGCCCACTCCCAACCCCGAAATAATCACTTCTGCCATCCTGCAGCTCTATCCTTGCTCCTTTCCTCGTCTTCGCCCTACAGCTGCCCATTTCTTCTCTCTGCCAACCATTTAGACCTTTGCGTGCCTCCAGCACCTCTTATGCGCGCTTCTGCACCACTCTGAACCCCCATTTGTTCCTTTCCTCACAAACCTCTTAACACCCCTGTGTCCCTTTCTGCTTCCCTTTTTCCCCACCCTTGTGCACCGCTCTGCACCGTTTACAGGTCTGCACCTGCCTCTCTATCATCGCCAGGCACTCTGAAGCCCTCGCCCTCGTAAGCACCGCTGTAAACCATCCCGAACCATCCCAACGCCCAAGCCCGCCAGAGCAGCGGCGCCTCGCCCTCACAGCCCCCCAAAGCAGCGGCTTCCCGGGGGGGGCTGTGAGCGGAGTCGACGCGAGTCGATGCTTCCCGGGGGGGCTGTGAGCGGAGTCGACGCGAGTCGATGCTTTCTGGGGGGGCTGTGAGCGGAGTTGACGCGAGTCGATGCTTTCCGGGGGGGCTGTGAGCGGAGTCGACGCGAGTCGATGCTTCCCGGGGGGGCTGTGAGCGGAGTCGACGCGAGTCGATGCTTTCCGGGGGGGCTGTGAGCGGAGTCGACGCGAGTCGATGCTTTCCGGGGTGGCTGTGAGCGGAGTCGACGCGAGTCGATGCTTCCCGGGGGGGCTGTGAGCGGAGTCGACGCGAGTCGATGCTTTCCGGGGGGGCTGTGAGCGGAGTCGACGCGAGTCGATGCTTCCCGGGGGGGCTGTGAGCGGAGTCGACGCGAGTCGATGCTTTCCGGGGGGGCTGTGAATGGAGTCGACGCGAGTCGATGCTTTCCGGGGGGCCTGTGAGCGGAGCCGACGCGAGCCGATGCTTTCCGGGGGGGCTGTGAGCGGAGTCGACGCGAGTCGATGCTTTCTGGGGGGGCTGTGAGCGGAGTCCAGTCAAGCGAGCTCCAGTCAAGCGAGCTCCAGTCAAGCGAGCTCCAGTCAGTGAGCTCTAGTCAAGCGAGCTCCATCCTGCGCTTTCCTCCTACTGTTCGTTTCTTGTCGTGACCTCTTTAAGCTCTTGCCTTTGCGTTGCCTTCTGCCCTTCATTCCCGGTCTGTCTGTTTGTGCATTCTGGCTGGCTTGCTCTCTATGTCCCCACGCGTCTGCACCACCTCACCCAACATCCTACCTTTACTCTGGGTGATTCTCTCCTGTATTTTGCTTGCAGATAAGCATTCAAGGAGCACCAGCAGTTCGTGGCCACCTACAGAGTGGGACGTTCTGTTTCCCCACCTCCACCCCTCAAGTTTCGAGCTTCTTGCGCTCGCTCTCCACTGCTTCTACTCGATTGGCCACTTTGACCTGCTTGCACGTTTTGCTTTCTCCTCCATTCCTTGCTGCTCTTTCTGCTGCGTTCATTCCGAGTTCATTGCCTGCCCTCTGCCCTCTGCCCTCTGCCCTCTGCCCTCTGCCCGAAGCCAATCTCTTCAGCCGTTCTCTCTTTCACTCCTTCATTTCACTGCATCTGCTCTCTCCTTCGCTTCTCTTCTGTCTGCTGCTGCTGGCTGCTCTATCTGCTACACGGCCTGATTGCTCTTCGTACTGCACATATACTGATTTTCCCTCACTGAGCTGTTCAGTGCGTCTGGAAGTTCAGAGAACTGTTATTCCTCCCACCCTCTTGTCATTTTCCCTGGTTGACTTGTCATTTTCGTGTTGTTGCCTTTGCCCTTCCCGTCTTGCCTCGTCCCTTATTCGTTTCCCTCCTTTCCTCGTCCCTTTTTCCTTGTCCTTATGTCCTTTTTCCTTGTCCTTATTCGTTTCCCTCCTTTCTCCTTGTCTTCTCGCCCTCATAATCCCCCAGAGCAGCGGTGCCTCTCCCTCACAACCCCCCAGAGCATCGGCGGCCTCCCTCACAAGCCCCCCAGAGCATCAGCATCAGCACATCAGCATCAGCATCAGCATCAGCATCAGCATCAGCATCAACATCAGCATCAACATCAGCATCAGCATCAGCATCAGCATCAGAATCAGCATCAGCATCAGCATCAGCATCAGCACATCAGCATCAGCACATCAGCATCAGCATCAGCATCAGCATCAGCGCATCAGCATCAGCATCAGCATCAGCATCAGAATCAGCATCAGCATCAGCATCAGCATCAGAATCAGCATCAGCATCAGCATCAGCATCAGCATCAGCACATCAGCATCAGCACATCAGCATCAGCATCAGCATCAGCATCAGCATCAGCATCAGCGCATCAGCATCAGCATCAGCATCAGCATCAGAATCAGAATCAGCATCAGCATCAGCATCAGCATCAGCATCAGCATCAGCATTAGCATCAGCATCAGCATCAGCATCAGCATCAGAATCAGCATCAGCATCAGCATCAGCGTATCAGCATCAGCATCAGCACATCAGCATCAGCATCAGCATAAGCATCAGCATCAGCATATCAGCATCAGCATATCAGCATCAGCATCAGCATCAGCATCAGCATCAGCATCAGCATATCAGCATCAGCATATCAGCATCAGCATCAGCATCAGCATCAGCATCAGCATCAGCGTATCAGCATCAGCAGCATCAGCATCAGCATCAGCATCAGCATATCAGCATATCAGCATCAGCATCAGCATCAGCATCTGCATCAGCATCAGCATCAGCATCAGCATATCAGCATCAGCATCAGCATCAGCATCAGCATATCAGCATCAGCATATCAGCATCAGCATCAGCATCAGCATCAGCATCAGCATCAGCGTATCAGCATCAGCAGCATCAGCATCAGCATCAGCATCAGCATCAGCATATCAGCATATCAGCATCAGCATCAGCATCAGCATCTGCATCAGCATCAGCATCAGCATCAGCATATCAGCATCAGCATCAGCATCAGCATCAGCATCGAAATCAGCATCAGCATCGGCACATCAGCATCAGCATCAGCATCAGCATCAGCATATCAGCATCAGCATCAGCATCAGCATCAGCATCAGCGTCGGAATCAGCATCAGCATCACCACATCAGCATCAGCATCAGCATCAGCATCAGCATCAGCAACAGCATCAGCATCAGCATATCAGCATCAGCATCAGCATATCAGCATCAGCATCAGCATCAGCATCATCATCAGCATCAGCATATCAGCATCAGCATCAGCATCAGCATATCAGCATCAGCATCAGCATTAGCATCAGCATCAGCATCAGCATATCAGCATCAGCATCAGCATCAGCATATCAGCATCAGCATCAGCAACAGCATCAGCATCAGCATCAGCATCAGCATCAGCATCTGCATCAGCATCAGCATCAGCATATCAGCATCAGCATCAGCATCAGCATCGGCATCAGCATCAGCATCAGCATCAGAATCAGCATCAGCATCAGCATATCAGCATCAGCATCAGCATCAGCATCAGCATCTGCATCAGCATCAGCATTAGCATCAGCATCAGCATCAGCATTAGCATCAGCATCAGCATCAGCATCAGCATATCAGCATCAGCATCAGAATCAGCATCAGCATCAGCATCAGCGTATCAGCATCAGCATCAGCATCAGCATATCAGCATCAGCATCAGCATATCAGCATCAGCATCAGCATCAGCATCAGCATCGGCATCAGCATCAGCATCAGCATCAGAATCAGCATCAGCATCAGCATATCAGCATCAGCATCTGCATCAGCATCAGCATCAGCATCAGCATATCAGCATCAGCATCAGCATCAGCATCAGAATCAGCATCAGCGTCAGCATCAGCATCAGCATCAGCGTCAGCATCAGCATCAGCATCAGCGTCAGCATCAGCATCAGCATCAGCATCAGCATCAGAATCAGCATCAGCGTCAGCATCAGCATCAGCATCAGCGTCAGCATCAGCATCAGCATCAGCGTCAGCATCAGCATCAGCATCAGCGTCAGCATCAGCATCAGCATCAGCATCAGCGTCAGCATCAGCATCAGCGTCAGCATCAGCATCAGCATCAGCGTCAGCATCAGCATCAGCGTCAGCATCAGCATCAGCATCAGCGTCAGCATCAGCATCAGCATCAGCATCAGCATCATTCTCGAGGTCCCCCAATCTGAGTGTAGCGGTCGGCCATGGCGCCATAGCCCTCTGTGCCCCCGGTGTACTACGTAGTTCTTCTTTCCTAACTTTGCCCCACTCGCAAATGTGGGCAGGGCGTTCACTATGAACAGAATTCCGCTTATGGTACTGGTACCGGTAGTATATACCGTGTGCAAGTCACAGAAAGGTACACCACATTGCACAAGACTCCTAACCTAATGGCCCTCATCGCCAGACTCCCTCCATCTGGGAAATGCTGGTCATACCGTAGTACCGTACTTAGCAGCATTTGCAAGGTCGTCAATCTCAGTGTATAAAGGTAGATCACATTTCACATCATACATCATATTTCAGAACGCCCCTAATGGTCCTCATCGTCAGAATCCATCCGGTTAATGTACCTATAAGGTCAAAGTATATTCGGCAGCAGTGTTCTCAAGATTCATCGTCAGACTCCATCCTGGAAATGTACCGGTCATAGTACTTAGCGGCATTCTCAAGGTCACCAATCTCAGTGTAGCAGTCAGCAATGGCGCCATAGGCCTCTGTGTCGCCTGCATGCTCGCCGGTGCTCGCTGACTTGTCCAGCACCCTCTGGTGGTATGCTATCGCCTCCCGATACTTGCCCTGCCGCTGCAGTGATGCTCCTGGGAAATGGCGGAAAGGGAACAAGCGGGGGGTAGAAGGGGAGAGGGAAGCATGCAGAAGCATGAGAAGGAGAGAGGAGAGAAGGTGGTGGGAAGACAAGGAGGGAAGCACATGCGTGTGCCATAGGCCTCTGTGACGCCTGCATGCTCGCCCGTGCTCGCTGACTTGTCCAGCCAGCACCCTCTGGTGGTATCGCTTCTTCTCCTCCAAGCAATCCCCCATGCGCTGCGCCTGCTGCAGCCTTCTGAGACGCCTCAACAGACGTCAAGATACATGACCCAGATGACCCAACACCTAACACCCGCCCACGACCAACAAGCCAGTGCACTCACCACAGCCACGCGCCGCTTTCTTCTCCTCCAGGCAATCCCCCATGCGCTGCGCCTGCTGCAGCCCCTTCTCAAACTCCACAAACGCCGCGGCGTTGTTCCCCTCGCGCAGGTACCTCTTCCCCTCCTTCAGCAGCCGCAGCACCGCCCGCTTCTCCTCCGAAATCGCCGCCCCCCCCTCCTTCTTCACAGCCTCCGCGGCCTCTGTTGGTGCGCTCACGGCGGCCACAGCTGCCGCGGCGGCGGCAGCAGCGGCGGCGGCGGCGGCGGGTTGACCGACGGGGGCGTAGGAGAGGGAGGGCGCGTAGGACTCGACGCGCGCCTGCTTGCGCAGGCTGATGTTGATCTGCCTCAGCTGCGCGTTGATGCGCTCTACTTCCGCCTTGCGCACTCGTGCCATCCAACCTGAGGTGGGACCGGGATGGGCATGGGGTGGGCCCGTGGGGATGAGTGGGTGGGCATGTGTGAGTGACCCTTGAGGCGCCTCAGGAGTGCTTGCGCAGGCTGATATTGATCTGCCTCAGCTGCGCGTTGATGCGCTCTACTTCCGCCTTGCGCACCCGCGCCATCCACCCTGCGCCATGGAGGATGGGGATGGGGTGGAAATGGTATGCGTTAGCTCATCTACGGGGTAACGACATGGGTGTTTGCTAGTTTTTCAAGATGTCGCAAAACGGGTGATTCAAGTGGGTGATTTGAAACGGGTGAGTGATTAGTGGTGATTAAGTAGTAAGTGAGTGGTGAGTGAGTTGTGGCAGGTGAGAGGAGCGGTGGGGTAATTCCAACCCCTTCAGTCATGAAATTTACTTATCATGCGTCTGGTTCAGGTTTGAGGTGAAGTTCAGATTTAGCACCTCCCAACCTCCCACCACTCCCCGCGCTTCCCTTGTCCGTCCAACGCGGCCCCCTCACCTCCCGCATACCACAATCGATCCCAAGCACGTCCCATCTAGCTCAATGCTGCCACCCATTCCCCCGCGCCGCTTGAGGCCTTTCAGAAGTAAAACCTATGTATCTCACTGCGGCGCGGCACTCACCTCCGACGCCCGCGCCGATGAGCGCGATGAGCTGCACAACGCACGCCACGGCGATCACCGTGTTCAGGTCCGCCCCGCCCAGCTCCTGCGAACACGCGTCCGCCAACGCCGCCGCAGCTGCCGCCGCCGCCGCGTCTGCATCCGCTGCAGTCTCCGCCAGGGCAGCAGGGACGGGGAGAGCTGCGAGGAGAGCCCACAAGCCGCTGCCTGCTGCTGCTATTGATGCGGGTGCTGCTGTGGTGGTAGTGGCGGTGGTGGTCTCGGTCTGAAGTGAGCGGAAGGGAAAAGAAATTCGGGAGACGGGAGAGAGAAGTGCATAGAGCGCACGGGGATAAGGAATTGCAGGCGGCAGGGGTGCATAGCGATCGTATTGTTGGATCCTTATGCAGGATCATAGTCGTAACTTCAAAAGGGTCGCATTCACGCAAGGTGCGGGCTTGCGACTGATGATTTACAATGCGTTTTCCGTAATGGCTCGCGCATTGAGGGAGCCTTGTGGCTTACGTATGCTTTTGTGTGCGCTCATGCCACAGGGACAGTAGCCAGTAGAATGACGACGTTTCACATTTTTTGTAAATCGATCCCCGGCATGCCTCTCACCTTGCTGCGGTGGCTGGCTTGGCAGACAGGTCTCGCTACATGCTGCTTGCGACCTGCGGCACAAGGATGAGGAAGAGACGAAACACGAAGCAATACGCAACGCAGTCTTTATCAGCTGAACTTTCTCGTTTGATCTACTCGAAAACATTGGAATCCGGCAACCTTCGGAGACCGCGTCGTCGAAGAACGAACCTTGTAGCAGCGACACTTGGGAGTGCGCATGGTGGCTCTTATTGGCGGGTATTCTGCACGCCACGGACAGCGCGTGGGCCGACGCTACGCGCGCGGAGGCCAACATGAGTGCGGATTCGGAGGTCCTGGCTCAAGTATTGTGCCTACGATGCTTGAATGAGAGCGGACGTAACGGAGGAGCCACGTAGTTATGGCTAAGCACGATGCGATCAACAAGTGGTTTGAATTCTGATGCCTGGAAAAACAGATAAATTACAAAATGCAAATACAGTCCTGTGGGGAAGGTGCCTTGGGCTTGGTTCAGTGAGCTGTCACGATATTCTGATGTATCATCATCAGAGTGTTGTGCTTTGCTGGACCAATCTGCTGTGCATTTCTCCCGGACAGTGGGACCATATCGTGGGAGCGCTCTGCGTGGATTCGTATGTATCCTATATTGACCATAGATGGTACGCCATGTGGACGGCAGGGAGAGGTTGACTCACAGCTGTACTGGGAATACGGCATGGCATGTGCAACGTCAACACACACACTACACGAACAGAACCCCCACACCAACTCCCGCCCCGACATTCTCGATATGTGTTTGAACTCGCTTCTGGATACGACTGTAACGAATAATGTCAATTGAAGTGGTTTGCGCGATATGTTTGGTGTACGGAAAAACAACCGAACGCGTCGCGCAATTCCAGCACGGATTTGTGGGTGCCACGGGCTCCAGCCTGGCTCCCGTCAACCATACGTCACCATTAGGCTCGAATCTCCAAATCAGTAGGTCTGAGAATATCACGGCTAGCGCTACGTCTCACTTCCGGCTCGGGCAAGCATGAGCTGGCTGAGCTGTGGGGGTGTGCCGGGCTATCTCGAGCTTCGGAGCCGAAGCTGAATGTTCCGAGGCTGCGCTAGGCCCGAACGGCCCCTCACGTGCGGCAAAAACAAAACTTTCCCCCAGCCTCCCGCAATGCTTCGGCTCCGGGCCTGTACTTCCCCACCTGAACCCCGTCACGAGACTGCGGGGGGAGTGGTGTTGAAGCCAACAGCAGGGGGAACAAGAGCAGGGAGCGACAGCTACAGCTAGTGTACTGTTTCCAGTCAGTGTAGAGGCACTGACGGACTTCCAATCGGAGCGTCGGAACGGAAGGAAGCTGAAAGGAATATGCTTTGATAAGTTAGTAGGTTCGTTGACAAACGACCAAAACGCCTATTTTAGTTGCTGGCCATGGCTAGATAATCGCGTGCTACTTTTTAAGCAGAGTCTTACGCGTGTCGCGAATAGTTTTCTTAAATATATATATTTGTAAGCATGGGAAACTGCTGCTCGCAAGGGAAAGGCGGGGAGGCTCCCTTCCCTGACGTTCCTGAGTCGGTGAAGCAGGTGTTCAAAGAGTATGCGGACGAGAACGGCGTGATCACGAGCAAGGCTCTGCTTAAGTTCTTCCAGGAGTACCAGCAGGACAAGGTATTGTCGCTCGCCTGTGGTAACCATCTCGCATGGCCTCGCTCGCGTGTAATGCCAATCTCGTGTCAATGTACTTCTTTGAAAAATAAAAGTGACTTCTTGAGTCGACTCGAAAGCTGACAGGACGAGGTATAATCCCCCCCTTGTGATGCTTCTGCTTATCGCAAGAAAGCAGTGACATTGACGTGTATTCAGCACCCCGTCTCTTCCGGATCGGCAATATCTAAATCGTTTGCCTCCGCCTTTGGTCGAGGACTCGCAGTCAGCCTTAGAAGGCTTCGAACGCTGTTAGTAAAAGCAATGAGGTGTTTCGAAACTTCGACTAAGGTCTGCATTATGTCATTCTGATCTCTTTTTTTTTTTGGCAGGGGGTGCTCCATGGACCTATCGCGAACCTCCTCCTCTCCTTCCCGAGCACCGGCGGCAAGGAGGATGCGGCAGCGGCGCCGGCGCCCAAGGAGCGAATGTACCGCAGCATGACGTTCAAGGGCCAGGGCAGCAAGCTCGCGCATGCGATGGAAAAAGTGTCGCACACCGTCGGCAGCAAGTTCAAGGGCGTCTCAGGGGAGCCCAACGAAGACCGCTTCTTTCGCTTGCTCATGAACCCCTCTGCGACTGCGCCAATCATCGCCCGGGTAAGTGCTTTTTTTTTAATTATTATTACAATGCAATATGGCGATCCACAAAGTCTAAGACAGCCAGAAACAGATAGGCATACAGAGAGTATTTATAACGATCATTTTAAGTTAAACAATGTGAGCGTTTCTCGACTGTGATGCGTCCCATATTCCAGGACTCACATGCGCGCTTTCCGCAAACCGTTCTTTCGTCTAGTTGAGCGTTTCCGTCTGCCTCATAGCCATCTTTCGCTTCTGTTCGTTTATGGTCGCATGCTTGCTTGCGACGTCGCAGGTGTCGCACGACATGAAGCAGCCAATGTCGCACTACTTCATCTTCACGGGCCACAATTCGTACCTGAGTGGTAACCAGCTCACCAGCGACAGCAGCGTCAAGCCCATCATCAAAGCGCTGCAGCGCGGCGTACGCGTTATAGAGCTGGATCTGTGGCCCAACAACGACAAGAATGAGATCGTCGTCATGCACGGCGGGTACGAGTCACAACCAACCAACCCGCCCTTCCCCCAACATTTCCCATCACACCCGCGCGGAACCCCCCCCCCGCCCTCTCCCTTCTCCCCTCCCTTCCCCCCCTCCTCCCAGCCCCCGCCTTTCCCCGCACCAACCCATCTGTCCCTCCCCACCTCCCCCCTCTCATATTTCTACCCCCTTTTCCCCACCCGGCATTTCCCCTTCTCCCCCTTCCCCCGCCCCTCCCCCGCCGTTTCCCCCCGCGCGCAGCACGCTGACGAAGCCGGTGGGGTTCGCGGATTGCATCGCGGCGATTAAGGAGCACGCGTTCGTGGCGTCCGAGTACCCCGTTATTATCACGCTCGAAGACCACCTCACCGCGCCGCTGCAAGAAAAAGCCGCCAAGGTGAGCGAAGCCAAAGGAATGGAAGTTTGCGGATCAGTAATAGTGTAAGGAATAGGGGACATGGAGTTCCCGTCGCCCTCCCCCGACCAACCTCGTTCACTCGTTCTATGTGAACCCCTTCCCCCTCCCCACCCCACTCAGACGCTCACGGATATTCTCAAAGACACGCTTTACATGCCTAAAGATGGCGACAAAGAGTTCTCCTCGCCTTCTCCCTCCCTGCCTCGTTCACTCGTTCCATATATCCCCCTCCCCATCCCTTCCTCCCTTCTCCCTCCCCCTCAGACCCTCACGGAGATCCTCGGCGACACGCTCTACATGCCCAAGGACGGCGAAAAGGAGTTCCCGTCGCCCTTCTCGCTGCGCGGCAAGATCCTCATCTCCACGCAGCCGCCCAAGGGCCCCAAAGAGCTCTCCACCGTCGTCGCCACAGACGACCCCGCAGAGGAGAAGATAGACGGCCAGCCGGCAGACGGGACGGCCGGCGGCGCGGGGGGGGAAGGGGGGGTGACGGCGGTGGCGAGTGAGGAGCGGCGCGCGAAGGCGAAGGTGCTGGGGCTGGGGGACGCGGAGAAGGTGCGCGCCAAGGCGGAGAAGGCGCGCGAGGCGGCCAGCGCCGCGCTCAAGGAGGGGCGGCTGCATGAAGTGAACGAGGCGGAGCTTATCAAGGTGAGAGGATGGGGTGGGAAGGGGAGGTAGATGGGTGGGGGGGAGGGGGAGTGAACGGGGAGGGCCGTGGGGGAGGGAGAGTGGGAAGGGAGGGGTTGCTGAAGGAGGGGCTGCGAAGGCAAAGATGCTGGGGATGGGGGATGAAAGGGGAGGGTATGTGAGGTGGGGGATGGAAGGTGCTGGGGCTGGGGGACGCGGAGAAGGTGCGCACCAAGGCGGAGAAGGCGCGCGAGGCGGCGAGCGCCGCGCTCAAGGAGGGGCGGCTGCATGAGGTCAACGAGGCGGAGCTTATCAAGGTGAGAAAGGGGGAAAGGGGTATAATATGAAAGGGGATAGAAAGTGGTGCGGAGGAGTGGAGGTGCTGGGACTGGGAATCGTGGGGCTGGGATCGTGGAGCTTGTGACGTGCTCCAAGGGACTCGTGCGGCAAGGAGTCGGAGCTTATGGAGGTGAGAGGGGGGGTGGGGGGACGTGGTGGTGGGGAGGGGAGGGGAAATAGTTAGGGGAGCGTGGGAGGAGGTTGATGCGTCAACACAGCCAGAGCAGCTGGCACCAGAGTACCACCACCAAGCCACCTTCCCCCCCCTTCCCCTCCCCGCCCCCCCCTCCTTCCCTCGACCTTACCTTCTCCCCTTCCCTCTCTCCCCAACAGGAAGCAGGCACGTGGGAGGAGGAGGACGAGGCGGCCACACAGCCGGAGCAGCTGGCCCCGGAGTACAGAAGGCTGATTGCCATTCCCCCCTCTCTTCCTCTTTCTCTTTCCCACAGGAAGCAGGCACGTGGGAAGAAGAGGACGAGGCAGCCACCCAGCCGGAGCAGCTGGCCCCGGAGTACAGACGGCTGATTCCGCCCTCTTTTCCCTGTCTCTCTTTCGCCCACAGGAGGCGGGTTCGTGGGAAGAAGAGGACGAGGCGGCAACACAACCGGAGCAGCTGGCCCCGGAGTACAGACGGCTGATTGCCATTCCGGGCGGCAAGCTGACAGCAGGGCAGACGGTGGAGGACGGGCTCAGGGACAACGGCGAGGGGCCGCCCAAGCGCGTCAGCTTCAGCGAATCACAGCTCACCAACACCGCCAAGACGTGTCCCAAGGGGCTTGTCAGGTGAGGGAGCGGCAGAGGTGGATGGGCTGAGAGGGATGGCTGAGGGGCTTGTGAGTTGAGTTGAGCGGGAGGGATGGGATGGGGAGAGGTTTTTGGGCGAAGGAGAGATTAGGGGAAGGAATCGACAAAACAAGTGCAAAGTCTGAGTGAAAAGAAGAATCAAACATACAGAACGAGGAGGTGGTTTTGGAAATGAACTGAGATGAGCTTGACGTGAAGTGAAGCTGACGTGATAAGTTGAGGCAAAGATTGCTGGTGAGAAGCGATGAGCTCTTGCTTGACATCCACCCGCCACTGACGTGATGTGTTTCCCCCCTCGCCCACGCTCACTTGACCATACCACTCCCCCAACCCCCACCCACCCCACCTCCTTCCCCCCGTCCCCTGCCAAGCCCTCGGAAATTGTGATCACACGGATAGTACCTGTCTCATCTGATCACTTTCCAGCCCGCTCACCTCTGTTCCGCCCCCACCCGCTGCTCCACTGTGCCGCCCTTCCTTCCTGCTCTGCCTTGCACCCTTCGCCAGCTTTTCAACCCACCTCTTTTCCCCACCCTGTGCCTATTATGTGCCACCCTGCACCTTTGTCCAGTCCCTTACCTTACTCTTACCCTCCACCTTTCTCCTTTACCCCCAACTTAGTCTTGCCTCCAACCTATGTACCCCTTACCTCTGCCCTGCCCCCACTTCGCCCTCTGCTCCCCCCTTTCCCCACCCCCTCCCCCCCCTTCCCCCCCACCCCCCCCTCTTCCCCCATTCCCCCAGCTTCACGCAGCGCAACCTGCTTCGCATCTACCCCTTCGGGCTGAGGGTGACGTCATCCAACTATGACCCCATGCCGGCATGGCTGCATGGCGCTCAGATGGTGGCCATGAACATGCAGGTGAGCATGCATGCTGACGTCATGGTGGCCATGAACATGGAGGTGATGCATGATGATGTCATGGTGGCCATGATCATGGAGGTGAGCATGCATTCTCATTCAACCCTCCTCATTTTTCATCCAGTCGGCCCACAACTAGGGATGAGCAAGGGGCGAACACGAACGTGTTCGCGTTCGCCCATGCACGAACACCCCTGTTCGGCGAACCGAACACTGTTCGGTTCGGCGAACACCTTAAGCAAAAACAGGTGTTCGCCGTTCGCCTATGAAGGCGTGTTCGGGCGAACCTCGAACACGTTCGTGTTCGTCTAGGGGCAAATTGCAGCAGCGGCCCGAACACGAACGTGTTCGGGCGAACCTCGAACACTGTTCGGCGAACGATTTAAGCCAAAAAAATTAACCTGTTCGGTTCGCCTCGAACACGTTCGAGGCGAACCGAACAGGTGTTCGTTTTTTTGCTCATCCCTGCCCACAACTATCAATGTTTCTACCTGATCCTCCTCTCTCTCCCTTCCTCCCATTCTCCGACTCCTCTGGATGGATCATGCATCGCTCGCTGCCTCCTTGCCAACTGTACTACCTTCCTCCCCCTCACATTCTCCTGTCCTTTGTCTTGTTTCCACCACCTGGTTCCTCCCTCTCCCATCACCAGGGCTACGGCCGGCCCCTGTGGATCGTGCACGGCTTTTTCCGGGCCAACGGGGGGTGTGGCTACCTCAAGAAGCCAGACTTCTACCTCACACCTGCGAAGAAGCTGGAGGGGATCTCGGAGGGGGATGAGAGCGCTGCAGGGAGCACCGAAGGGGTGTATGACCCTTCTGTTCCTCGACCCGTCCAAATGACCCTCCGGGTAATGTGACTACTTTGAAGGGTTCCTCATTTTTGTTATTGCCAAACTCGCTGCTCCTTTTCTTCTATTCTCTCGTCTTCCTCATCCCCCCCTCCTCCTTCCCTCTAACCTCCTTATCTTACCCTTCCTTACTCTATCTTCTCGTTACCCCCGTCTGTCTCCTTGCCCTCACCCTTGCATGGCCTGCAGGTGCGGGTGGTGGTTGGCACGGGGTGGTTGGAGCGGTATGGCAAGGGTCACTTTGACACCTACTCCAAACCAGACTTCTATTGCAAAGTAAGACGGCGCCCCCTCTTTGAGTTTCCAGAGCAAACCACACTGCAAGCAACAAGTTTTTATCTGTCATGAAAGTACACGTGACATGACACGCTGTGTGGGGTCCATGTAACATGCTCAATGTCCATGTTCCATTCTCCATGGTGATAAACGAGTGCTGCTATTAAGAGAGTGCCAATCCCCCCTGATTAATGCTGTTTTGCTTTACCCCGCCCATAACCAGGTGAGCATTGAGGGGGCACCATCAGACGCAGTAGAGAAGAAGCTTGATACGCGCAGCGACGACTGGTGCCCCTCCTGGGATGACACTACCTTGGAGTTCCCCCTTGTACTGCCTGAACTCGCTCTCCTCTGCATTGAGGTACGTTGATCATCTGGACTGACTCCTGCGACTTTTCTTTTCTCTCGATGCTGATTCTTATGTTTTGCAGCACACGTGCCTGTCTCACCTGTCTCACACCTGCCAACCCCCCTGCAGGTTCTAGAGAAAGATCAGTTTAATGACGAGTTCGCAGGGCAGGTAGTACTGCCTGTGGCATCGCTCAAGCCAGGTTTCCGCTGCGTGTCGCTGTATGACCGGAAGGGTCATCCTCTTGTGGAGGTTGCTGGCGAGGAGGTTGTGGGGCCACGGTTGCTGTGCCATTTTGAAATGGTGTCGTCTAGTGAATCAAACCAGGACAAGGCGCAAGAGCCTGATCTTCCAAAGGGGGCTCAAAGAAGTGCAGGTGGTAGCTACGAGGTTTGATGTAAACTATGGCCAGGCCAGTGTAGGCTGTATTGTTCAGCGGTACTGTGGTTGTCCTTGCATTCACTCGTAGGTAGCAGTATTTGATGCATGCAGATGTGTAGATAGTCTGTCTCCAGTCTTAGCTGTTATGTTACTTGTATAAGCTTATTGATTCACTGTCATTGACAAAAATGAAACTTTCCAGCTTTTCAAAACATCAGCTCGAACAGAGGTCTACCGTAAGGTATTGCGCACTTGTTGGAACTACCGGTATTAATTATCATTGCATCCCGCCAGCCAACGCTCAAAATGATAAACATTAGGAACCCCCCTGCTTCCTGCTCGACAAGGTAGCATATATGCAGCCTACGATGTTGGGTCCACAAGACATTCAGTGTTCTCTGATTAGAAGACTGAATTTCAAAACCCATCTGGGCACAATAAAGTCTTCAGTCTTCTTCGTCTGCTTCTTCCAACCATTTAACAAAAGGCTCAAGTGCCTTGACAAACAGCTGCCTGCAAAGAAAAAAATGAAATTCAAGTTAGTCTACAATCAGAGCAAGCTCAAACATCACGTTCGACAGTGCAGGCCGTTGTACATACCTTCCTTTTGGATTGGAACCCTTGCGGAACCAAAGCATGATGGTGTCCTCCGCGAGCACATCACAATCATAAAGGGTCCTGACGAACTCAGGAAAGAGGCGCTGAATCTTAGCATCCTCATAGCACTGCATCTGAATGTGGTAAAGCAGCTCTAGCTCCATCTTGGCAGACGAGCACACTGCCTCCAATAGTTTTGCCCAGGATTTGAGCTGCCAAGTAGACCAAATAAAGCCCATGAGACGAGACCATGTCAACACCTTTCCCAAACCAACTGCTGCATGGATGAACATGTTCCATACATACCTGTCGCAAGGCTGTATTAGAGTTCTGTTGCACGTTCTTGCCTGACCACTGCACGGCGCCCATGACTGCATCCCAAACTGTGCGAACAACATCACCATCCGCCAGGCCGCCCTCTTTCTTTCTCTGCTTAACCATGTCAATCACGTCACCCACATCTGTGTGCTCTTCCTCGATCATGTCAGAAAGAGCTGTGTGCAGCTCTTTCAGCTTCACATCAAAGACCACCTTCTTCTGGTAATCCGCCAATGCCTTCAGGCCTTCATTGCTGCAGCAACAATAGCAGACAGTGGGTTCAGTTTTACAAGCAGCAACCCTATACACATAAAAGGGCTTCATGCGATCTTCAATCGAAAATCAGCTGCTAGAAATGTGCTTTCAGAGTTCGTGCTTTTGATAACTGGTCTCGAGTTGAGAGGTCATACCTGAAGTGTTGCGAAAATGCGTCTGGAGTCCGCTTCTGGGAGGGCATGAACTCGATCAGACGCTGATCGACCTTTCCTTTCTTGAGCAGGCCCACAAGGTCATCCATGTTGGTCTCCACCAAATAGACACGGAAAAAGTCCGTGATGAAGCCCAGCGAGGTGCCTTTAGTAACGAGCGTGTCATTAAGGAGGGCGACGAAAATGACATCAGGTGCCAGGCCGGTGAACCGTTGTGAGAAGCAGAGGGCTGTCAAGACAGCAAGGCGCTTCCTCTCCTCAGGCTCATACATTTCCTGCACCCAACAGCAGAAAGACAATGAGACTCCACAACACCAAACTAAACAAGCACCAAACTGCAACCAGGCTCGCACCAGAGACTGCACCCAGCGGCGCAGCACATTCTCCAAGGATTTGATCATGAATGGCCGGCGTCGCAGGATCTTCTGGATGAAAAGGACATGTTTAAGAACCCCCTCCTTTGTGGGTGGGGAACTGAGCACATTCCACGGCTGCCGCTCTGCCCCCTCCTCTGGCTTGGTTGTGCCAGGCTGCATACGACCGCCGCTAAGGACCACCTGCGGAGAATACCAAAAATGTTATGACTAAGAATACGGCCCAGGCAGCGTTCGCCGTCCGCAGACAAGATGCAGGGGTTTAAGAATTAATACCTCGAAGAATGTCTCCCCATATCGAGAAAAATCGAGTTCAGAAGAGTCAATATCCTTCGCTATAAGCTCCTGGAACACACAGGGAAAGAATGTCAGCTCTGAAACCCTTGTTATCGATCAGCTAAGCCGACACAGCTATGCAGCTCACCAAATCCCCCTGGTGATCCTTGTAGATGTGGACGATCGCATCTGCAAAGCTGGTCGGATCTAAAGGAACCGCAATGTTCCTTTTGCGGGTCTTGATCCGCGTGCCACTGGAAAGCAAAAAAAAACGAATTAGCACAAACAACTGCAAAGCGAAAGGAGAAAAAAGATGACAGAATCACGCTTACCCGAGAGTGGGCTTCTCCTTGGAGCTGGAAAGACACAAAAGCGACAAAAATGTACAGAAATGTTTCCCATCAGGGCTGAATGCGGAGCAGCGAACAGGACAACAACTAAGGCCGAACTTGAAAATTTTACGAACCTCATAAACCTGCCGGAGATGACAAGGAAAATAGGCCGAATTCTATTGCAAGCCAATATCTGGCTTGCGTATGTGGTTCTAGGAGAAGGTTGTTCGGAGCAAGAGATCTCAAAAGCTGCGTAGTTGCGGTGACAGCAGGCACTTGGATCAGTTGGGTTGGACAGGACAGGGCAGATAGGTGTTTCTTGCCATGACCAGTAGACAAATCCCACTTTCGGAAGCCGTTTGAAAGTGCATCAAGACAAGTGTGCTAGTGACAGAGAAAAACAATAGCAAATTCTATGAAACATTTGTACAATAACAAGATCATCCTACAAATGTCTTCTACAACCATCTTGTAAAAAATGCTACAGCCACCTTCCCCTAAGAAGTCCCCTTTTTCGTCCTTCCCCCGCTTCCCCGGCCTTTTCCACCCTTAGTCGTACCCTTGCTTGAGTTGCCTGCAGATCTTCCTACAAGTCTCAAACGAACAGCTGCAACACACACACATGCACAATACGAACAATATATTGAGCTAATCATGGAAAAATATAAGAAAATTTACATGTAACGAGAGTGTACAGTTGCAAGTACCTTCGTCGTCGTCATCTTGCTCACTGCTTGCATCCTCAGCGGCTGCATCTTCATCATCTTCTTGCAGTGTTCCATCTGTTTGCAACAATACCAGAACTTCAAACACTGCCACAGATATGGTTAAGGCAAAAAGCAAACAGAAAACACCTGTTTAAGGCAACTCACCTTCATCAACAGCCACAGGAAGATCAGTGTCAGCCTGCAAAAGAGAAGCCTCATCCACGCCTCCACCACCAGACGGTTTAGTCGTCTTGCCTCGACCACCTGCCTTCCCACGCCCCCCTGGCAGCTGGAGAGGCGGCAGGGTGGCAGCAGACTTGGCCTTGTGTGCCTGCTGCTCCTTCTTGTACTCCCGTGTCAGCCGAGCCTTCACTGGCGCTGGCACACCCTCCATTGCACCAGAATGACCCTGGTAGCACGGGAAAGTGGAACACTTACTGAAGCTACATGAACAGATGGAGACAAATGCGGAAAATGAATTGGGACAAGGGAAGTGCAGGGTGAGGGGGGTACAGCGTTTAAAAAAAAAAAAACAGTTTGGCGTTTGTAAACATGCTGGAATGAAACCCCTTGCCTTGAAGTGTGAGAGCTCCACGGCTGTGTCAAGGTCGTCGAGTGTGAGACCATACTCCAGCATCTCCTCTACCACAGTCTCCACCCCGTCCTGCATTGCACATATTGTAATGACAGCAAGGACAGGGAAAGGGATGCAGGGTGGGAGTTGTGAGTGTCAAAACTGGGGAGTGGAAGGGGGCTGAAGGATGCTTTGTAATTGAGGGTCAAAACGAGAAGCACACCTGTGCGTGTTTGTGCAGAGGCCGTGTGAGGGAAGAGACGAGGGGCTCCAAGTAGTCAAGGCGAACAACTTGCCTGCACCACAGGGAAAGAGAAGGTACGGGTCAGATAACAACCTTGCAGGACAGCAAACGAGGAATGGAGTAGGACAGGGAGGAAGGGTTAGGAAAGGATGCCCAGATGGCATGGTGGGCAGGAGGGGAAGGGGCGGAAGGGGGCAAAAATACCTTGATGGGTTGGGGAGCAGATGGGAGGAGAGGAGGTGCAGGTGCAGGTCATCCAGCAAGCGGTAGTTCTTGCCCAGAGAAGAGTTCTTCCCCAACCAGCCAGGGAAGCGGTTGAAGTTCCGCTCGCCCTGTACAGGGAACGGTCAATGGATGGTAAGGTATTTGCAAGCAAGATTGAATGAAAAAGCTGTTAGTGAAACATGGCATGGCAAAGTTGACTTACGTCTAGAAGAGTAACCCTTCGTCCGGAGACCAACAAACCCCTGGTCACATCACACCACACCAACATGGTTAAAGGTCAGTGTTAATTGGAACCAGCGGAAAAATGCAGATCATGAGGTGTGACTTGTGTGAATGAAGTGTGACTGGTGCTGGCTTGGCACAAGGAAACTCACGGTGTGATGCAGGACATGACAGCAGCGAACTGCAGGTGCTGCCACTGCTGGTATCTGCGCACTTGCACGTTCACCAGGTCCCCACTGGAGATGGCATCGGCCGCTTGTGAGAGGCGAGAGAGCAGGAGAGGAGAAGACGGGTCGTTGCCAGGCACATGGTTCAGGTAGTTCTCCTGCACACAGTGAAACCGGAGGCAGGCAGGTCGAGTCAAATGGATGTCAATCCAATACACCGCTTTAAAAACACAGAAAGCAAACAGGAGCAGGATGGCTGTCATTGATGCAGTCCTGGCTCGTGTTTCACAACAGAGTAACAAGGGCCTGTGGAGTGATGCAGTCACAGCCGTTTATGTGCCAAACTGTGGGGCGAGCCCATTGGCTCAGACTGATGTTGTGGGATGGTGAGAGTGGGAGGCGGTGGCACCTGGATGAAGAGCGGCATGAGGTCAATGTCTGACATGGCTGCATCAATGAGAATGTCCAACTTCTTGCCACGCGCTCCATACCCCATCAGTCTGCACCACCAGAAAATGGTAAATGGGGAAGCCGATGCAGAGCAATGAAAGAGCAGCCCGTGCAGTGACTTTGGACGACAACGAACAGCTCGAGCTGAACTCTCTCCAGTACAGTCATCGCCCACTGCCCCCTCACAACATGTTTACTTCTTCCCCTGACGCTCCTCCCTTCTCACCCCAACCCTCCCCACACTGAACGCACGTGTCAGCAGCGGCCATGGGGCGGATGTCCTCGTCCTTGGCGTTGGCCTGCATGCGCTGCTTGACCTCCTGGTACGACAGCTGCCGGCAGCTCAGCGCCATGTACTGCAGCTGGTTCAGCGCCAGCCGCATGTCCCCCCCCGTGCGCTCCGCCAGCTCCTCCAGGGCATTCTGCAGGCAGAGAAAGATGTCAGCTGAGGAATTTAAGAGACTCTTGGAGGCTGTTGCATGCGCTAACAAGAACTGAATCGTTTGTTGAAGAGATACGCTGGTGCTCGTAAAAGTGGGTTGATGTAAAAACGAGGGTGTTGTTGAGTGGGTGAAGCTTGAACCACTCACATCAGCGATTTGGATCTTCTCAGCATTTGCCACCTGGCGCAATCTCTTGGCCATCTGCAGTGAAAGCAACACCATGACTCAGAACCCATACAAAAAAGTACAGACAATCTCGACTTGCATGTGCAACCCTTTTAGCTTCACCCAGGCTTAGCCGCCAAGGAGGTGCGACGCTCACCTGCTGTCTGGTGGGCTTCCTGTAGTTGAGCAGCAGGCAGTGGTTGATGAGGCTCTTGAGCTTCTGGCTGTAGCGGTCGTTGCAGATGCAGATGATGGGCACGCGGCTCTCCTTGATGCTCGCAATAAGGTCCGCCACGCCACCCCTGTCACCGCCTGACATGCCATCCACCTCGTCCATGATCAGAGCGGCCTTATCCACCTGCTGCTGCTGTTTCTGCTTGCCCCTGCAACAACCCATATGCCACAGCGCTCAGTCCACCAAAGCAACGTATGGTTGTCATAGTAATGAGACTTCGCGTTTGTACGCAGGCAGGCACATGTGCTGAATGGAAAAAAAACATGAACGAGCAGGTAAGGGGATTCTTTGAAGGGGCTGCAGAATGTTACTTGGTGGTGGTGGAGGCGGGGGAGAAGCGGAGGGTGGTGTTGGAGATCATCTCCTTGATGGTGTTGGACGTGGCGCCACCCATGCCATTGCGAATCTTGGCGTCCGACTTCCCTCGAGAGTCACTGGCGTTCACCTGGTGGGAGAGGGGAGGGTGGTGGAGCAACCGTGATGCCATAACACACCAGAAGGTGCACACCAAGGGATTAAATCAAGCCACTGCACAGCAGACCAGCAAGCCACTGTGAAACCACTGTCCGATATATGCTGCATGACATTGGATATAATTGATCAGTGCTAAGGCACAGCACTGCAAATTTCAGCAGGTTACAGGGCACACCTCAAGAGGCGAGAAGCCAAGAGCGGCACAGACAAGGCGAGCTGTAGTGGTCTTGCCAATGCCCGGTCCTCCACTGAGCAGCACGGCCTTCTTGTTCATGTCCCCCCCTGCCGCCCCCCCTCCGCCACCTGCTCCACCCTTCCCGCCCTTTTTGCCCTTCTTGGCCCCTCCGTGCCCCAGATGCCTAGCCTCCCAACCTGCTAGCCAGTCATGCAGCTGCTTCACCTGCAGGGGGCAGCACGACAGGGCAGGAGAGGAAGGAGCCCAGTCGAGGAGAGTGAGGCAGAAGCAGAGGAAGCGAGTGAATTCTGACAGGCTACAGCAGAGTCTGTAGCAGGAAGACGCACCAGGCTTTGGTTTGCGATGATGTCTGCTGTGCTCTTGGGAGCGTACTTCTGTGGCCATGACTCCACCTCCACTGGCCCTGATCTCGCTGCAGCTGCAGGTACCACCACTGGCCTCGCTGCACCAGCGTCCGCCCTGCTCGCTGGGGTTGCTGCATCAGCTGATGCATCTGTCTTGAGCTTCTTAGGGAGTCGGTCAGCATCAGGCTTGATATCGTCAGCAGGGCGACCCTTATCTGCAGAAACCAGTGAAGCGACATAAGTGTTTATATTTTCCTGTTTAGACTAAGAACCCGTACAGGAGACGGCCTATGATCAAGGGGATAAGAGCACCTGCACCCAGAGGCTGTTTAGCCGGGGGTAATTTCGCTGGTGCAGGTGGCTGCTTCTTTGCCGCTGCACGGATGAGGTCAAAGAGGCCATCCTCAGTGAGGAACTTCACCCTGCACCAGCAGCAGCAGCAGCAGCAGCTGCACGCACAGATGTAATGCAGTTCGGCCTCACGAGACGAGAACCATAATGCAGATGGGACGGAAGTCAGAAAAAACGGCTGTGAAACTGCATTACCCAAGCTCTTTTGCCTTGGTAGACTTCCTGCCTCCAATGTCTTCATCAGCAAGGAGGTAAGTCTGCCATCCAAACACGAAGGACAAAAAACGGGCTGCAGGAGTTCAGAATTCTTACATTCTTTTTAATGTCACACGATTCTGTCAAGTCTACTCCACATTGTAGCAGTAACACCTGACCTGTCCATAGCCATTCCAGTACTTGGATACTGATGGCATGGTCCATGGCTTTACCACCACGGGTTGCTGACTAGAGCAGGCACGCATTCCCCAACATTTCACTGCAGTCTCAACAGCATTCTCCCTGATGGAGCTTGATGTCGTATTGATTCCATCGCTATAAGTTGGCAACATAACATTGGCGGCATTGCAGCAAAGAGGAGTCTGCTGAAACAACTGTGTGACTCAAACTCTTTCAGCAAGTCTTGAGCTTCCATAATGGCAAGCACAAAAAGCACACCCACCGTTTTTCCACTGACAGCGCTAGTGATCCGACCACCATGCCTCTTGATCAAGTCCTCAGCCTCCTCCCTCTCCAAGCTGCATGTCATGCATTGTTAACGTGAGAAAGTTTCGAGGAGATACTCCTGGTTGAATGCAAATATCACGAAGGTAACTCACCTGTCAAGAGTGCCACTGATAACGAAAGTGATCCCCGTCAAGGCATTCTCAGGACCTTCAGGTACTTCCTGCACGAGCAACAACATGTCAGCACCTATCTTGTGAAGAAAGACCAGCATTGACACAATTAATGTAGCATACCTTCTCTCCTTTGTGTGGGGGAGCAGCTCTTTCCCCGAAGAAGCCCCCTCGGCCTCCCCAGCCTCTTCCTCGGCCTCCACCCCCACCTCGACCCCCTCCAGCCTCACCACCGCCTCTACCCCCACCTCCCCCTCCCCTTCCTCGACCACCAGAATCCTTTGCCTCTGCAGCAGGTGCAGGCTGAACCTTCGACGGCGTAGCCTTCTTCGTGGTAGGTGCGGCCTTACCCCGCTTCCTCTTTCCAGCAGGTTTTTCCTCTTCTTCGTCTTCCTCCTCCTCGTCTGCTTCGTCTTCATCCTCCTCATCAGCATCATGATTGCCTGAATCCTTACCAACAACGAAATCCTCATCATCTTCATTGTCCTCCTCCTCATCATCCTCGTCATCTACGACCATAGCCCTTTTTCTTGGCTTCTTAGAAGGCGTTGAGGAGGCTTTGACTGCCTTAACTTCTCGTTTTGGCTCATCCTTAGCAGCTGATGCCTTCTGTAATGCGCTTGCTCGTTCTGGCTTCTTGAGAGGCTCGCCCGTTTTCGTAGGAGTTGGAGCATGCGACCCTTTACGCAGGATAGAGCTTGACGGGGACTTTAACGGAGAGGTCGAAGCTGCAGGTACGACATCCGTCTCCTAAACAGCAAGTCGGAAAATATTAGCTAAGTATGAATCGCTAGGTACGGCGGAACTGACGAAATGAAAGCTTACCTTCTTCTTCTCAGCATCAGATACTTTAGGTGAAGGTTTCTTTGAGAACCATCGACGAATGTCCCCTTTCTGCATTCTGCTAAGTGTGAGAAGAACAAAATCCTTCCGCTGTTTCCCTTTCACGGCGCTCTTCAAATGTTCAGACGCCTTTGTGCTACTCTCGGATTATTTGTGCCGACCTTCAGTACTCCTTGCTGGACAATGTAAGGAATGGACACGCAGCCATATGCAGGATGGAGTCAGGGTCAGGGAGAAGCAACAATTAGAGAGGGTGACAATTTCTGTGAGCATTTGGGTCTAGCCAACATCCGCGTTACGCGAATGGTCCTAGACACACCCGCAAAGCCACTCCTATATTGAGCAAATCAATTTGTTTTCCCTGTGCCCAGACTACATGTTCAATATGTCGGACAATGCTATTCATCATGAGTGACCACCTAACCTCACCTTCACATGTCCATGTTAAAAAAACAGATGATTTATTCCTGTAAAAAAAATAACGCACAAAAAGAGGGGTCATTCATATCAGAAACATGTGGCTTGCATGCTGTTTACACTTTCATTTGGAAATGTGGGTAGTTTCCATGTCATTGAATGAATACATAATCATAACGGTTATCAGTATTCATTAACTTTTTCTGCAAAACACTTACTGCAAAAAAATGTTAATTTTCTAGTTTCTGGTCTAGAAATTCCTGTCATATATTCATGGGGACCTCAAAAGTGCAAAATTTTTAAAAGTAGTACTGCAGGGGCTTTTATGCGGTATTACTGTTTGGTCCGTATCGAGTCACCTCGTGAACGTCTTGGATGACTGCATGCGGTGAATCCACGCTAGTACATTACGGTACACCTGATGCCTGTTTGAGCCCCTCCCGGTTGCCTTGTGAAGGGGGCGTATAAGCTGTCACGAGCATTTCGCATAAGTTTCGTCAATTCGCAGCTAGCTAAAAAGGATTCGCATGTGCTTATAAACAAGATCTGTAACCTAGTTTGACTTCAGTCTCTTCTGCTTGACTTCGGTCTGTACCTAGTTTGACTTCGGTTTGTTTGTTACTATTGGTTGATAACCACGCGACGCGCTTGTAATGTAGGTGCATGAGGCTGGGGAAACAACCTCGGGTGCAGCGTATCCATCTGGCGCAAGGCAAATTCGCGTGCATGGGGTGAGCATCAGCTGTACATTTGTATGTGGACAAGACACTCCGAACATTCCGATTGGCGCTTTGCATCTCAGCTGACGGCTAACCGCCCAACTGCTGAACCGACACACTACTGAAACTTACATTTCAGGCAAGAATTGTGAGAAAAGGGGGCAGCCCTTGAGAGTTCCAAGTGACGAGTCGCGTGCCTTGACGACGAGTCGCACATTTGCTTCACATAGAAATTGGGTTGAGCTGCAAATGCAACATCAACGCCAACCCGTCTCACCAGCAGCCCCTCCCCACTCCCGCTGCATGTGTAGAGTGTGAGTGCAAGTCGTCACATCACAAGTACTCACACACCTCACTGCCTGCTACTGCCTACACGCATTCGACTCACCTTGTTCAAGCGTGTTTGTGAAGGTTCCACTTCGGAGATACCAAGGTGGACGCACGCTTCGGCAGTGCTGGACGTCGTCAAGGACTCCTCCCATCAATTCCCTGACGGTGTGGATAAATCGTGGTGTAAAATCACACCATGAGTCCAGATTTGGCTGTCGAGAAAGAGAACACGGCGAGTCTCATGGATGATCAACTTCTGGCGATGAGCGGCGAGGAGAATATGTCGGTTCCCAAGCTCAATTCGTGCTCTGCGAGCGGAGGGGGATCCTGCGTCGTAGAGAATGCCAAGAATCCGACCTCTGCTCCTGGTTTGTCGCCTGCGACCACATGCGTCGCATACGATGCGTGCGACAGCAATTTCGCGGAGCAGAGCGCGCTTCTCGCGGCGGGAGGCAAGCGAAAGCTCGCCGAATCCGGCGCCGCGTGGGCGAAAGCCACGGGAAACACCGCGGGGGACTACACCGACGGATCCTGGGACCCCGTCACCTCTCTCGCGAGCATTCGCCACGAGTTCGGCGAGCATGGCGGTGTGAACATGTCCATCGAGAACAGCGCGACGTTCACGGTGATGGAGCCGGAGAGCATGGCGAAGATCTTCACGGGGCAGCTGGGCCCTGAGAACGACTTCTTCGTGTACAGCCGGCACTTTAATCCAACCGTCATGGCGCTGGGACGGCAGCTCGCGGCGCTGGAGGGCACAGAGTCGGCTTACTGCACGGCCAGCGGCATGGCCGCGATTTCCGCGGCAATTTTGCAACTGTGCAAGCACGGCGACCGCATCGTCGCGTCTAACAGGTGATTAGTTTTCTTTTTTTAAGGATCTCTTTGACTTGTCGTGGCTGATTGAATAATGTCACGTCCGCGTGTTCGAATCTCTGGGTCTCTTTTTCATCAGGCTGTACGGCGGCACGTTCGCGTTCCTGGACTGCTTCCTCCCGCGCATGGCGGGCATCCGCACCACCTTCGTCGACATCACCGACCTCGCGGCAGTCGAGGCCGCTCTTAGCGGGGACGACGTGGCCCCAACATGCGAGCTCGTCGGCAGCACAGCACCAGGCGCGGCCGCCGCCGTACGTCCCGTCGCACAGGAGTCCACTGATGACCTGACCGCCACCGGAGTATGCACCACTCCGCTTCCGCCAGCTGCGGACTCGCTGAATCATTCCGTTGGCGGAGATGGTGGGTACGGCGGGGATGGCGACTCGCCAGCCGCTCCAGCAGGACCGCGGCGCGCGGGGCCGGCGCGGGTGCTGTTCTTCGAGACGATTTCGAACCCCACGCTGGTGGTGGCGGACGTGCCGGCGCTGGCGGCGGCGGCGCGCAGGCACGGCGCGGCGGTGGTGGTGGACAACACGTTCGCGCCCGTGCTCGTGTCGCCCGCCAAACACGGCGCGGACGTTGTCGTGCACAGCCTTAGCAAGTTCATCAGCGGTGAGCGCAGAGAGAGTTGCGCTGATGCCTCCCTTCGCCGGGGACACATGCTTTGACTGGCTTCCCTCGCTCTGCTGCACTTGAATAGTATGCGGCCTTTTGTCTATTTCTATGGTTTCTCATGCTGTTGTACCCAATAACGACCTGTCCATTGATCAGGAGCGTCGGACGTGATCGCTGGGTGCGTGTGCGGCTCGGCTTCCTTCATCGCGTCGCTCATGAGCCTCACCTCTGGCTCGCTCATGCTGCTGGTGGGTCTCTCATCACACGTGCACACATCCACACACACACACATGGCGTACACACAGGGCGTACACACAGAAGCACTTACACCCACCTCCTGATTTATTCTCGGTACTCATTGTATGCCCCTAATTTCCCTCTCTGCTACCCGATGCTCGTACCCCTACCCCCCCAGGGCGCCACCATGAATCCGCAAGTTGCATTCAACCTCTCGGCCCGCCTGCCCCACCTACCGCTGCGCATGCGAGAGCACGGGCAGCGAGCGCTGCTCTTCGCCTCGCGCCTGCACGCGCTGGGCCTGCCCGTGTGCTACCCCGGGCTTCCCTCACACCCCCAGGCACACGTGCTTGCACGCATCTCCAATGGTTCCCGCCCTCACCTCCTCCCTTCCGCTGCTGGAAAGGCCACCGCTGCGGCAGTTGGTGGCACTGATGCTGGTGTTGCCGGTAGTGATGGTGGTGGTGGCGTGGGAATGGGAGGGGGGAGTGGTGGGGCTGAATGGTTAGGGCCGTATGCAGGTGGGGGCATGTTAAGCCTGGACCTAGGGAGTACCGCCATGGCATACGACTTTATGCGGCACCTGCAGAACAACGCTGAGTTTGGATACATGGCCGTGTCGCTGGGGTTCCATGACTCTCTGGTGTCCTGCAGTGGCGCCAGCACCAGCAGTGAGATGCGCGCAGAGCAGCAGCAGGCTGTGGGGATATCGCCTGGGCTGGTGCGCATGTCAGTGGGGTATACCGGCAGTGAGGAGCAGCGTTGGACGCAGCTGCTGCAGGCTGCTTCTGCTGTGGGGCTTGTGGTGGGGGAGGGAGGAGGGAAGAGGAGGAGGGTGGTGGGGGAGGCGGAGGGAGAGGGTGTGGTGATTGGAGAGTGAGTGGTGGTATGAGGTTTGAATGGAGGGTTATTAAGATCAGAAAGAGCTTCCTGTGATTATTGTTCATATGGGTGGGGAGAGATGTGTACATAGTGGGCAATGCTTGTTTTACTCTACATAATTTGTGTGGGGCACTGCTTGCCAACTTATCATGACCACCTCAGACTGTGGCTTGGTCCAAGCCAGTGCTACCCTGAGTTTCACCATGGAACATGAGGAGAACATATGTAGACATGTTATAAACTGTCTCAAATCGTGAGGCTGCTAAAACCTTACCTCTTATCATATTTGATTGTAGATTTTGGGATTCTTTGTTAAGTTACAAGCGGTTTATTTAGCACCTGGAAGTATTGGTCAATCACTGTTTTTGCTAGCACACTAGAAGCATTCATTCATTGACTTTCTTCAATATTTTACTGTTTCAGTTATACAGCTGAGAGCTGGTTCATATTGGCAATGACCTCGGTATTGGCAATAATAGTACGGTGTTCCCGGTTTTACTGTAGTACTGCATTCTCAGCCCTTGTGGGAAATCCCAAGGTCCCGCTCGCCTCTCTCCCCTGCTCATGTATCTCCTTCCAAAATCCAGATTCCATCTCTTCATTCATCCAAGCTCTCAGCTTTCTCCTCTCCAGTCCTTGCATACCATGAGCCATATGTCAGAATATGCTGATCGTTCGTTAGTTATTGAGGTCTACCTTCGAAGCTCGCAGCTTGTGTACTCCACTTAGCAGGATGACGAAAGCAACAGGAAGCACGCAGAGAGGAAGTAGGAGAGCTGTAGATCCAACAGCGTCGCTTATACCGAGAGTCTTAACGAGTGTCAGGAGTCTGTCGCGTCTCACCATAGGAATAGTTTGCTTTCCTCCAATGTCGCCAATACCGAAACGATTTCTCGCCGGCATTTCTTGATTTCATTCGACCCGCTCTCTTCAGCCAGAAAGCTGACAGCCCTGGCGACACGGTGCTTTGATTCTTCAAAACGTTTCTGGGCGTGCTGGTCGCGGAGGGCAGCGAGGGCGCCAGGGAGATGATGGAGGAGCTGCTGTGTCTCTTCTCGCAGTACAGCGACGCGCGCAGCAAGGCCGTCAGGGTCAACGTCACTAGAGTGCCCTCGGAGGTATGCCACGCCCTCCCTTTCCGCTCCAGATGCGCTCTCAGTGTGTCATGTGATTATAAGCGCTTGTACCCCTCACGGGTGCTGGATTCGTTTAGCCCGGCAGCTTCAGTCTGTCAGCCGACGCCATCGTGATCATCCGCGAGTTCTCGGCAGGACTACCTGGCACTGCTGGAAACGCACATGCAAGCAGGTACGAGGCGAACCTTACAGGCTATTTGCACCAACGACGGGTACATTTTACGCAAGCGCCATGCTAATTCTTGCTTGTAGCTCTCGCAGGGTCGGAGGGTCGGTTCGCGGCGCGGCGGCTGATGCAGCTGGCGGCGGTGCTCCACTTCACCGACGCCACCATCCGCGCGCACGCCGCCGCGCTCGTGCACCGCCACCTCGTCGGCGCGCAGCCGGCGCGCGCAGGGGCGGGGGAGGCTCTGCTGGGTCTGGCGCAGCGCGTGCACGCTTGGAATGCTGACGTGCTCGCTGCTCTCGTGGACGCTCTGGCTGACGTCAGGCTCTGCTACAGCTGTGCTGCGAATCGGCAGGCGGCGGCGCGTTCAGGGCGTGGAGGAACCTGCGCGTGGAGGAGCCTGCGCGTGGATGAACCTGCGCGTGGATGAACCTGCGCGTGGATGAACTTGCGCGTGGAGGCGCAGGAGGCGCTCAACTGCATCCTTGTCCCCGCGGTACGCGCGCGCGCTGCCCCCACGGCCTCACTCCGCTTGCCCTCAAGCATTCGCCAACACCCGTGCCTTCACTCATTCGATGCCCCGCCTTCGTGCCTGCATTCGTTAACCGTCACCCGTGTGCTCAAGCATCATCCTTCCCCTGTCCCCCTCCCCCTCACGATCTGTGCCGGCAGGCAGCTCTCCCGTCGCCTCTGGTGCGCGCGGAGGCCGTCGCCGCGCTCCAAGCCTTCGCCTTGCTGCATGCGCCGTCCTCGCGCTCCCATCTCCCCCTGCTGCACGCCGCCGCGCGCAAGTTCGCGCACCCTGGCGTGCAGATGGCGGCCGTGCGCGCCCTGGCGGACCTGCTGCTCTGGCACCGCCCCGCCGCGCTGCTGCTGCCTGACGTCGCTGCGCCCGGCCTCAGCGCTGATGGCGAGGGGAGTGCGGTGAGCGGATGCAGTGCCGGGGGAGAGGCGCAGCGCGCAGGAGGGGCGCATACGGAGGGGAGCGTAAACTTATTGCTGGGCCTGGTGCCACTGGTGGGCGGGCAGGTGGGCATAGATGCGGCGAGGGAGGATGTAGAGCGCGCAGGGCGAGAGTCGGAGGGGGAGGACGGGGGGGAAGCGGAGGGCGTGGTGGCCGTGGTGGGCGAGGGGCTGTGCAAGCTGCTGCTGGCGCACGCGAGCACGGGCGCGGGGAGGGGCGCGGGGAGTGGCAGCGTCGCGGTTACTGCTGCCAGTGCTGCTGCAGTTGTGGCCGCGTAAGGCGGCAGCAGCACCGAGGCAGCCTGCAGTGCGCGCCTCGCAGCTGCTGCTCTCCCTCATGCTCGCGCATGGCGCCCACGGGGTCGTGCCGCCCAAACGGAGTGGAGAGGGCGAGAGGGAGGGGGAAGGAGAGAGATCGGAGGAGGGAGAGGAGGAGGCCGAGGGAAGAGTAGCAGGTGGTGATGGCTAGAAGGTGAGGGGAACAGGTGAGAGCAGCAGCATACGGCAGGCAGTGGGCTTTAAGTATCTGGCTCTCGACCTTGCTGCTGAGGTGGGTTCCTTCCCACGCTGCTGCCCTCTAGGCACCTCCACCAGGAAAACATTCGTATCTTATTCACTCCCTTGGCACTGCCGCATGCTGTGCTGTGACGTTGAGCCCCATCGTGTTCTCCGCAAACGTGCTGTGCTCCACGCCCCAGCCATATCATGCTCTTTCCCCTTCCGCCGCAGGTGCTATCCTCCCCACTGACCTCGGCGGGCAGTGCGAGTGGGAGGGCGTACAGAGCGCACGTGGTGCGGCTGCTTGTGGTGCCGCTCTTGGAGTGGTGATGGGGAGGCGGGCAAGGGTGGTGAAGTGGCAGTGGGGGCAGAGAGTCGGCAGCCTCGCGTCGCACTGCCTCTGCCGCGTCGCGCTGCCTCTGGCACGTCGCACTGCCTCTGGCACGTCGCACTGCCTCTGGCACGTCGCACTGCCACTGGCACATCGCACTGTGCTGCAGCAGCTGCAACGACACGAGGAGGGGGCTGACAAATTATGCTCGACTGCGCAGTGATGCGCTGCACAAGTGCAGTGACAGGAGGAGGGGCAAATTGTTATCCACTGCAAGGGCGGACAAATTGTTCTCCACTGCTCAGTGATGCGCTGCAGCAGTTGCAGCGACAGCAGGAGGCAGATAACATGTGCTACATTGCTCGACGGACCACTGCTTGGTGCTGCGCAATATGTCTATTGTTGATCAACTCCACAGCTCACTCTCGAGTTTTTAAATTCTGTTATAGTTGAGAATGTATTCAAAATGTAGTTATTAGAGATATGATAACACTTTGGTGCAGTTTGACACTTGATTGTTGGCAAACATTCAGTTCTTTAGTCTGTGGGATGTTTTCAACAATTTTCTTCAATGATAGTGAAATACACCCTATTAGAAATGTAGCATTCATATCAATTGGTCTGGTCTGACTAGGCATGCGAGGTATCAATTGTGCACAGAAGATGCAACTGGAGGATAACGGTATCTCCAATTGCTGATGTGGCGATTCCATCGGAAGGCATCTTTTCCCAACCAGTGTGTCACTGTTTGTATTGGCGCGGAACTTCGATTTCGTGGTCACGTGTCGTCAGCAAGTGGGAAGCTTCGAACGTTTTTGTACTGTACAGTGCTGTGGCGATGGTTCCCTCGCCGACATCCCTCGTCTGACTGTACATCCCCTTTCCCGCTTTTTTGTCCCCCAACTTGAACTACCGACGGCGAAAGCGCCTCGGATTGACGGGTGGATATGGACGGAGCCAGCTCGACCCAGCGCTCCGGATGAACAGCCATAATTTACTGTACATGTGTTACAGCTCAGTCAGGGCCTCACTTGCCCGCTGACGCAAGGCCACCCATATCGTCACAAACGCGATTCGGAAAGCAGGGGCGCCAAACCTACTGTACTGTACTGACATCCGCCGTCGAAAGGCGAAAACCCTCCCCACTCGTAACATTTGAGGAGGGGAAAGTTTTGGAACACAGAAATTTTACGTTGACAGCATGGTGTGAACTACGTGTACCAGTTCTTCTCAGAGCAACACGCGGGTCTCCATTTCAGGTTCTGGAATGATGGGTTATACACCGCATGCAATGTTCACAAAAATGTTTCTGACCGGCATCAGGTGGTGGTGTCCACCACATCCCACATAACTACTGCAATCCGTCTCACTGTGGTGCCCCAACCACAGCACTCATCTCTCCTCCGAGCTGGTTGTTCCTCAAGTCTCCTCACAGAGCAGGAACACAAAATCACGCGCCAAGGATAGCGGCAGAAAAACACCCGCGAAACAGAGCGGCAGCCTGAGCAGCACACCCCAACAGCATCACCAGTTTGAAGGAGATAGGGTTTGACATCCAATGTCCAGACACACCACCCATTTACTTGGTAGCTTGTTTTTAACACAGGCTTAGAATCGGTAAACTCTAGTTTCATGATTTCAGAGTTCAAAGCTTCATCCATAATTTCTTCTGAACGACCAACGAGCTTCAATCGGACGACGCTGGAGATCGACCACCATCATTCGCCCCCATCGCCAACCTGCAAACCGCCTCCATCCGCACACCGCCTCCCGCCCAGCCCACCCTTGGATCTCCAGAGGTAAGCTGGAAGTTGATGGCTGCTTGTTTTTCTTCACCGCTTTTCTAAATCATTGTGTTATAAGATCTTCATCTTTACCTTCGAGACTTACTCTTCTCTGTTTGTAATGTTGCAGGTTCAAAACACCTCGTCCTTTTCAAGTCCCATGACGACTACATACGATCTGCTGCTCTGCAGCCATCAAACAAGACATTTCGTGGCTCTTCAATCTCAAGCCGTGCGTGGCGGACATCCTGCCGCCCGCTTTCATCACGCTGTGCTGCTCTCCGTCGTGAAGTCGTGGTCTGACGCAATCTGATGCTTCACAAGGACGACCCTGGAGACCTTCCGCTACCATCCGCCCCCATCGCCGACCAACAAACCGCTTCCATCCATCCATTCACCGCCCTCCGCCCAGCCCGCCTATCGATCTCCAGAGGTAAGCTCAAAATTGTTATGTTTGCCTTTTTTTAATCTTCTTAAGCATTAGGTCTTGAATGTCTTACTTTTGAGTTTCTCCACGTATACCTATGATTTCTAATTCTTTTGTGTTTGCATCTTTGCAGGTACAAAACACTGCAGTCCAATGACGAATCTCCAGTGACGAACTTCTCTTCCGCACCGCTGCTGCCTGTGGCGGAACAAACGTATTGTTGCCGTTTGAAGAATCTGCTATCGAACTTCAGAAACTGAAGAAACCGCACTGCTGCTCCTCAGTTTCAAGCCCTGCCTGGCGGATGGACCATGCACGGATAAGCTGTTTAACTCCAGAGGTAAGCAAGTTCAGACTTTTGTTTTGTCCTATAATTCAAGTTTATTTGACTTTTGTCAAGTTCTGTTTTTTTTTTTGTTTTGTTCAAGTTCTGACTGTTGTTTTGTTTTAACATTTGCAGGCTTAATCAACTTGGCCGACTGCCAGTCCATGAGCACCTGATCTGCAGCTCAACCGTCCATTGATGGGCGCTCTGCTGCTTCTCCGCCAACGAAGACAGACTGGGAAGTGCCGTTCACTTCACCCTTCCCTCCTTTCGTCGCTTTTTTTTTGTGTTATTCCGCCAATCCGCCATCGTGTGCTTCGACGTTTTCGCCGTTCCTCTGACGCAGAGGCTGCAGCTGGCAGATGATCCTCCGCGGTTGGGTATGGCTTCGGGTAGCATAGATCCTCCCTCTGCTGGCTGCAGCCCGAGCGTCACGAACGATCCATCGTTTTTCCGTGTCGTTTTGTTTGTTTTCAGTTTCGCTTTTACTGTTTTGTCTTCGTTTCCTCTTGCTTCCTTTTGTCTCTGTTTACTAACTTCGTGCAACTTCCCTGCTTTTCAGGAATCATGTGGTTGCTTCGCGGGTTCCAACCAAGCCTTCTCCTGGACTTCAACGCTCTCTGTGTGGCGTGCGAGGGGCGCCGGAATGATGAACGCGCGGCTGTTTCTCCGTCAAACGCGACCGACGATTGGGAAGTGTCGTTCTCTTCCCGTTCCCTCCTTTCATCGCTATTTTTGCAATCGTGTTGTCAATCCGCCAATCCGCCACTTGTTGTTGATCGACGTTTTCGCCGTTCCTCTGACGTGGAGGCTGCAGCTGGTAGATGATCCTCCGCGGTTTGGGTATGGGCTCGGGTAGCATAGATCCTCCCTCTGCTGGCTGCAGCCCGAGCGTCACGAACGATCCATCGTTTTTCAATTTCGTTGTCTTCGTTGTTATTTTCTCTTGTTTTATACTTCTCGGAATTCCGTTTACTAACTTCGTGCTTGTGTCTGTTCTCTCCCTTGCTTTCAGAGTTTGCTTCACGGATCTTCAAGGTGTCGATCTTTGAGCGCGGTTTCCAAGGCGCGGGTCTTCTAGCACTCTTGTAAGCCCTCTTGCAGCCTCAATCGCTTTCAGCAATTACTTTGAGTGTTCTTCTCTTTTTCTCCGTTATACAGACTTTGAGCGTTCTTCTCTTTCACTCATGTTTCACTCATTTCGTGTTCTTCTCTTTTTCTCCGTTATACAGACTTTGAGCGTTGGAAGTGGACTTACAAGGGGACCTACACGGCGGCTTTATGAGAGAAGAAGCTACATGGCAGCTTCAACGAGCGGATCTACACAGCAGCTTCAACGAGCGGATCTACACGGCAGCTTCAAGGAGAGGGTATGTATACTGCCTTCTGCCATTCAATCTACTTCAGTCTTCGTCTTTATTTTCTTCCATTTTTCAGCAATGGTGCATCCTCGGTATCTTGTACGATTCACTAATGTAAAGTTCCTTGTTAATGTACAGGATCTACACGGCAGTTCCGAGCGGATCTTCACGGCAGCTTCAACGAGCGGATCTACACGGCAGCTTCAAGGAGAGAGTATGTATACTGCCTTCTACCATTCAACTCCTTCAGTCATTGTCTTAATTTTCTTCCATTTTTCAGCAATGATGCATCCTCGGTATCTTGTACGATTCACTAATGTAAAGTTCCTTGTTGATGTGCAGGATCTACACGGCAGTTTTAACAAGCGCATCTACATGGCAGCCTCTACGAGTGGATCTACATGGCAGCCTCTACGAGCAGATCTCCATGGCAGCTTCTACGAGCGGATCTACACAGCAGCTTCAACGAGCGGATCTACACGGCAGCTTCAAGGAGAGGGTATGTATACTGCCTTCTGCCATTCAATCTACTTCAGTCTTTGTCTTAATTTTCTTCCATTTTTCAGCAATGGTGCATCCTCGCTATCTTGTACAATTCACTAATATAAAGTTTCCTTGTTAATGTGCAGGATCTACACGGCAGTTCCGAGCGGATCTACACGGCAGCTTCAACGAGCGGATCTACATGGCAGCTTCAACGAGTGTATCTACATGGCAGCCTCTACGAGCGGATCTACACGGCAGCTTCTACGAGCGGATCTACACGGCAGCTTCATGGAGAGGGTATGTATACTGTCTTCTACCATTCAGTCTACTTCAGTCATTGTCTTAATTTTCTTCCATTTTTTAGCAATGGTGCATCCTCGGTATCTTGTACGATTCACTAATATAAAGTTGTGGTGCAGGATCTACACGGCAGTTCCGAGCGGATCTACACGGCATTTTTAACGAGCGCATCTACATCGCAGCCTCTACGAGCGGATCTACATGGCAGCCTCTACGAGCGGATCTACACGGCAGCTTCTACGAGCGGATCTTTACAGCAGCTTCTACGAGCGGATCTATACAACAGCTTCTACGAGCGGATCTACACAGCAGCTTCAACGAGCGGATTTACACGCCAGCTTCTACGAGCGGATCTACACAGCAGCTTCAACGAGCGGATTTCCACGGCAGCTTCAAGGAGAGGGTATGTATACTGCCTTCTGCCATTCAATCTACTTCAGTCATTGTCTTATTTTTCTTCCATTTTCCAGCAACGGTGCATCCTCTGTATCTTGTACGATTCACTAATGTAAAGTTCCTTGTTAATGTGCAGGATCTACACGGCAGTTTTAACGAGCGCATCTACATGGCAGCCTCTACGAGTGGATCTACATGGCAGCCTCTACGAGCGGATCTACATGGCAGCCTCTACGAGCGGATCTACACAGCAGCTTCAACGAGCGGATCTAACGGCAGCTACTTGTAGAGGGTTGACACGGCAGCTGGGGTATGTAACCACTCTTCCACCCTGAATTTCTTTTGCTTTTCAACATTGCTGTATTGTCAAGTTTGTTGCTGTAGCTTATGCTGTATCTTTACCGTTCACTTATATCACGTTCTCGTTCATGTGCAGATTACCATGGAAAGAGCGGATCAGCCTTCAAGGAGCAGCGGACGTGTCTTTGCCTTGAGAGCGGACGCGTCGCCAAGAGTAGCCGTCAAGGGACCCGCGAAGCCGTCAAGGGATAGATCCGCCGTCAAGGGACCAGATCCGCCGTCAAGCGACCTGAGCAGCCGTCAAGGGACCAGAATAGCCGTCAAGGGACCAGAGAAGCCTCGCGAGGAACCAGAGCCGCCGTCATGGTTCCAAAGCCGCCGTCAAGGAACCAGAGCCGCCGTCATGGTTCCAAAGCCGCCGTCAAGGAACCAGAGCCGCCGTCATGGTTCCAAAGCCGCCGTCAAGGAACCAGAGCCGCCGTCATGGTTCCAAAGTCGCCGTCAAGTGACCAGAGGCGCCGTCGTGGTTCCAGAGCCGCCGTCAAGTGACCAGAGCCGCCGTCAAGTGACCAGCGAATCCGTCAAGTGACCAGCGAAGCCGTCAAGTGACCAGCAAATCCGTCAAGTGACCAGCGAAGCCGTCAAGTGACCAGCGAAGCCGTCAAGTGACCAGCGAAGCCGTCAAGTGACCAGCGAAGCCGTCAAGTGACCAGCGAAGCCGTCAAGTGACCAGCGAAGCCGTCAAGTGACCAGCGAAGCCGTCAAGTGACCAGCGAAGCCATCAAGGGACCAGCGAAGCCGTCAAGGGACCAGCGAAGCCGTCTAGGGACCAGCGAAGCCGTCAAGGGACCAGCGAAGCCGTCAAGGGACCAGCGAAGCCGTCGTTACGGAGCCGAACAGCCGTCAAGGTAGCCGAACAGCCGTCAAGGTAGCCGAACAGCCATCAAGGGACCAGAACAGATGACAGTGAAGCGGAACAGCCGACAGTGAAGCCGAACAGCCGTCAGTGAAGCCGAACAGCCGTCAGTGAAGCCGAACAGCCGTCAGTGAAGCCGAACAGCCGTCAGTGAAGCCGAACAGCCGACAGTGAAGCCGAACAGCCGACAGTGAAGCCGAACAGCCGACAGTGAAGCCGAACAGCCGACAGTGAAGTCGAACAGCCGTCAGTGAAGCCGAACAGCCGACAGTGAAGCCGAACAGCCGAAAAACCGTAGCAGTGAAGCTGACGTAGCAGGGATGGCGGAGTAGGGATGGTGGCAAATCAATCTGGTGTAGCAGGGCTGCGGCGCACAGCAGATCGGTGGCGAGGGGCTGACTGGGTTGTGGAAACGTAAATAAGCAAGAGGCGACTGAGAGTGCATGCTCAGTCGGAGAGGTATCCTAAGGCAGTGGCATGAGTGTCAGGTGACCCCCAATAGTGCCGTGACGGAGCCCAGGCCGGGCGGCCGACTGGGTACCTGCACGCTCTGAGTAGCGGCACTATTGGGGTAAGCCTTGCACTCAGTCTGGACTCACCGGGGTGGGTGAGGGAGACAAATGCCACAGGACCAGGCCGCACCGGGGTGGGTGCGGGAGTGTCCGACCTCTCAAAGGCAGGTCCACACTGGGGAGGGTGTGGAGAGTCCTTTACTCTTGCCTCTTTACGTTTCTTCCACACAGTTAACCCTTTTAAACCGTGATGCTGTGCAGGGGTGGAGGAGTGACGGCTGCAGTGAAGGGGTGAAGGCGTGGCGGCTGTAAAGACGGGTCCACGGAGTTATCTGCTCACAGGCGGGTCAAGGAGCTGCGGGTCAAGGCGTCTAGGAGTTGCTGGTTACAGGCGGGTGAAAGAGTTGCTGGTTACAGTCTCAAGGAGTTGCTGGTTACAGGCTCAAGGAGCTGCTGGTTACAGTCCCAAGGAGCTGTTGGTTACAGTCTCAAGGAGCTGCTGGTTACAGTCTCAAGGAGCTGCTGGTTACAGTCTCAAGGAGCTGCTGGTTACAGTCTCAAGGAGCTGCTGGTTACAGTCTCAAGGAGCTGCTGGTTACAGTCCCAAGGAGCTGCTGGTTACAGTCCCAAGGAGCTGCTGGTTACAGTCCCAAGGAGCTGCTGGTTACAGTCCCAAGGAGCTGCTGGTTACAGTCCCAAGGAGCTGCTGGTTACAGTCCCAAGGAGCTGCTGGTTACAGTCCCAAGGAGCTGCTGGTTACAGTCCCAAGGAGCTGCTGGTTACAGTCCCAAGGAGCTGCTGGTTACAGTCCCAAGGAGCTGCTGGTTACAGTCCCAAGGAGCTGCTGGTTACAGTCCCAAGGAGCTGCTGGTTACAGTCTCAAGGAGCTGCTGGTTACAGTCTCAAGGAGCTGCTGGTTACAGTCCCAAGGAGCTGCTGGTTACAGTCTCAAGGAGCTGCTGCTTAATGAACAGCAGTACTCTGCTGCTGTGAAGGAGTTTACTTGCTGCTTAGAGGCGCTGACTGCAGGAAAGCAGTTAGGATTAACTGGTGCAGGGAAGGAGTTGGCTGCTGTGAAGGAGTTGCTGCTGTGAAGGAGTTGCTGCTGTGAAGCAGTTGCTGCTGTGAAGCAGATGGCTGCTTAGAGGCGCTGGCTGCAACGAAGCAGTTGGAGTATTATGGAGGTTTTTAGCCGAATGAACGGCAGTACCCTGCTTTTAGGGTCTTGGTCTGTCAGCAAACCCACTAGGGGGGAGCGGCGGGAGCCCACTTAAAAAAAAAAAAAAAAGTGGGGAGGGTGGAGTCACATGTAGCTGTTAGAGCTGGTGGTGTACATAGGAACATGTAGTTGTTAGAGCTGGTGGTGTACATAGGAATATCCACCTGTTATAGCTGATTGTATACTCATTGCTCAGCGTATATTTGACCGACCAGTTCTATGAAGTATCAACATCTGAAAACTGTGTAGGCCTATGCACTTTTGAGAGGGCCCAAGGTGGAAACATCACACCACACCACTCTCGAATGGCATAGCCCCATACCTACCAACCAGGATATCATGTTCCCATACCTACCAGGATTGATTCATTCCACACTATGTTCTTCTGTATAAAGCATTGCAAGGAGGCAAGAAGACAGGCTCAGCAAGGCCGCATCTTTCAAAAAAGGCTTCTAACAATGGCCGCTGTAGTAACTGTAAAGAAAGTTCTTCACACTGTACAGATGTTATCAATGTGGTAGTAAACAGAAAGCTGAGCACGAAGAAGAGTTCGGCGCTTATGATTTCGGCCGATTTTGCCGCCAAGTGCCTAGAAAGCGCGTGAATCCCTTTAGGCGTAGGGAAATGCATTCAACAACCTGAATTTTATGGTTTAGGGTTTAGCAACAAAGCTTGACGCCAAGGAAGCACGGTCAGAAGGGTGAGCAGCAGAAGGCCATGTTCTTGAAGGGTACATGGGCAGTGTGTGCTGGGACAGCACACACGTGCACGATATGTGTGAGTCAGCAAAGAGGACGACATGGGTGGGTGAGCAGGAGCAGATGATGTGTGTGTGGGCCTGATATGCCAGGAGGTTGTGGCAGCAGAGAATGGCATGGTGGGAGTGAGTGAGAACCATTAGTGTGAACCACTAGCGCGACTAGCAAGAACCACTAGGGCAATGGATGCCACATTGCTGCATGTAACCATGTTGCACGTGACCATGGGAGCGTGTCACCATGCGTCCATGAGCGCATTGACTGCCAGCAACACGTTTGGCCTTCTCAACAATTCCTGTACACACATGTTCAGATGAACACACACGCACATGCACACATGCACACATGCACACATGCACACACACATGCACACATGCACACATGCATGCATCCAAATCCACATGCAGACAAACAGCAAGCAACGACGAGAGCAAGAAAGGAATGAGTGGGATAGATGTAGCAGCACAGCTCCCCATGCAACTGTTCATACCTGTTGCATGCATGATGTGACGGATGATAGGCACATACCTGTCGGATGGCATGTGAGGGCACATACCTGTCGGATGGCATGTGAGGGAACATACCTGGCGGATGGCATGTGAGGGAACATACCTGTCGGATGGCATGCGAGGGAACATGCCTGTCGGATGGCATGTGAGGGAACATACCTGGCGGATGGCATGTGAGGGAACATGCCTGTCGGATGGCATGTGAGGGAACATGCCTGGCGGATGGCATGTGAGGGAACATGCCTGGCGGATGGCATGTGAGGGAACATACCTGGCGGATGGCATGTGAGGGCACATACCTGTCGGATGGCATGTGAGGGAACATACCTGTCAGATGGCATGTGAGGGAACATACCTGTCGGATGGCATGTGAGGGAACATACCTGTCGGATGGCATGTGAGGGAACATACCTGTCGGATGGCATGTGAGGGAACATACCTGTCGGATGGCATGTGAGGGAACATACCTGTCGGATGGCATGTGAGGGAACATACCTGTCGGATGGCATGTGAGGGCACATACCTGTCGGATGGCATGTGAGGGAACATACCTGTCGGATGGCATGTGAGGGAACATACCTGTCGGATGGCATGTGAGGGAACATACCTGTCGGATGGCATGTGAGGGAACATACCTGTCGGATGGCATGTGAGGGAACATACCTGTCGGATGGCATGTGAGGGAACATACCTGTCGGATGGCATGTGAGGGAACATACCTGTCGGATGGCATGTGAGGGAGCATACCTGTCGGATGGCATGTGAGGGAACATACCTGTCGGATGGCATGTGAGGGAACATACCTGTCGGATGGCATGTGAGGGCGCATACCTGTCGGATGGCATGTGAGGGAACATACCTGTCGGATGGCATGTGAGGGCACATACCTGTCGGATGGCATGTGAGGGAACATACCTGTCGGATGGCATGTGAGGGAACATACCTGTCGGATGACATGTGAGGGAACATACCTGTCGGATGGCATGTGAGGGAACATACCTGTCGGATGGCATGTGAGGGAACATACCTGTCGGATGGCATGTGAGGGAACATACCTGTCGGAAGGCATGTGAGGGAACATACCTGTCGGATGGCATGTGAGGGAACATACCTGTCAGATGGCATGTGAGGGAACATACCTGTCGGATGGCATGTGAGGGAACATACCTGTCGGATGGCATGTGAGGGCACATACCTGTCGGATGGCATGTGAGGGCACATACCTGTCGGATGGCATGTGAGGGCACATACCTGTCGGATGGCATGTGAGGGCACATACCTGTCGGATGGCATGTGAGGGCACATACCTGTCGGATGGCATGTGAGGGCACATACCTGTCGGATGGCATGTGAGGGAACATACCTGTCGGATGGCATGTGAGGGCACATACCTGTCGGATGGCATGTGAGGGCACATACCTGTCGGATGGCATGTGAGGGCACATACCTGTCGGATGGCATGTGAGGGCACATACCTGTCGGATGGCATGTGAGGGCACATACCTGTCGGATGGCATGTGAGGGCACATACCTGTCGGATGGCATGTGAGGGCACATACCTGTCGGATGGCATGTGAGGGCACATACCTGTCGGATGGCATGTGAGGGCACATACCTGTCGGATGGCATGTGAGGGCACATACCTGTCGGATGGCATGTGAGGGAACATACCTGTCGGAAGGCATGTGAGGGCACATACCTGTCGGATGGCATGTGAGGGCACATACCTGTCGGATGGCATGTGAGGGCACATACCTGTCGGATGGCATGTGAGGGAACATACCTGTCGGATGGCATGTGAGGGAACATACCTGTCGGATGGCATGTGAGGGCACATACCTGTCGGATGGCATGTGAGGGCACATACCTGTCGGATGGCATGTGAGGGCACATACCTGTCGGATGGCATGTGAGGGCACATACCTGGCGGATGGCATGTGAGGGAACATACCTGTCGGATGGCATGTGAGGGAACATACCTGTCGGATGGCATGTGAGGGCACATACCTGTCGGATGGCATGTGAGGGCACATACCTGTCGGATGGCATGTGAGGGCACATACCTGTCGGATGGCATGTGAGGGCACATACCTGTCGGATGGTATGTGAGGGCACATACCTGTCGGATGGCATGTGAGGGAACATACCTGTCGGATGGCATGTGAGGGCACATACCTGTCGGATGGCATGTGAGGGCACATACCTGTCGGATGGCATGTGAGGGCACATACCTGTCGGATGGCATGTGAGGGCACATACCTGGCGGATGGCATGTGAGGGAACATACCTGTTGGATGGCATGTGAGGGAACATACCTGTCGGATGGCATGTGAGGGCACATACCTGTCGGATGGCATGTGAGGGAACATACCTGTCGGATGGCATGTGAGGGCACATACCTGTCGGATGGCATGTGAGGGCACATACCTGTCGGATGGCATGTGAGGGCACATACCTGTCGGATGGCATGTGAGGGCACATACCTGGCGGATGGCATGTGAGGGAACATACCTGTCGGATGGCATGTGAGGGAACATACCTGTCGGATGGCATGTGAGGGCACATACCTGTCGGATGGCATGTGAGGGCACATGAGGCAGCACCTCTTCCACCTGAGCCACCATCGCTGCCATTCTCTCCTCATCCACCCCCATCCGCATCCCCATCCCCCACCCGCCCCCTCCCCCTCGCGCACCTTCCCCCCCTCCCACTCGTGTGCCTTCCCCCCCGCCTCCCCACAAGCTCCACCCTCTCCGCCTGCCCCTCACCTCCTCCCCCCCTCCTCCTACCATTCCCCCTCCTCCTTCTTCTCCTCCTCTCCCTCCTCCAGCTGCTGCCCCCAGTCTTGCTTCCACAGGCGGCCCCCCTTCCCCTCCTGCTCCCCCTCCCCCTGTCCCCCGTTCTGCCCCACTGCCTGCCCCCTCTTCCCCCGCATGTCTGGTCCTCCCACTCCCCCCTCTGAACCGCATTCCCCTCAGCGAAATGGAAGAGGAAAAAAAACGGCCTCCCCCAATTCCCCTCTCTCCCCCTTCCTGCCGCTCCCCTCCCCCCATCCCCCCACCACCCCCCACCCCACGCTGCCCCTCTCCCCCCTGACCTCCGCCATGCCCTCCCCTTGCTCCCTCCCCCTGGCCTGCATCCCCACCCCACACGCGATCCACTCCCCTCCCCACATCCCCCCCTCCCCCTTGCCCCCACCCACCCCCCCAAGCAGCCTCCTGAGCAGGCTGATTCGCAGCACCCCCAGCAGCAGCAGCAGCAGCAGCAGCAGCAGCAGCAGCAGCAGCAGCAGCAGCAGCAGCAGCAGCAGGGGGGGGCTGGGGCGGAGGGGAGAGCGACGAGAGCACGTTGGGGGGGAGGCTATCAAGGGGGCGGCGGCAGGTGGGGCAGGAGTAGGGCGCTTGCGACCCATGCTCCAGCCAGCTGCGCAGGCACGACAGGTGAAACAGGTGCCCGCAGGGGAGACGCTTTGCAGATGACAGCGGCTCACGGCAAATGGCACAGTCGTCTGCAAACGCGGTGATCTGAGCAGGCGTGGCGTCGGGGAAGGTGGAGCGGAGGAGGCGCAAGGCAGCGTGCCAACGAAGGAAGCCGGCGACGCGCTTGGAGAGGGCGGCGAGGAGCGTGCGTATGTTGAAGACGAGCACGAGGTCGACCACTGAGAAGGAGAAGCCGCGGATGAGCAGCACGAGCGCGCAGTGCGCGAGGGTGAGGAGGGTGGAGGAGGCGTCTGCTGTGAATGCCACGTTGAATAGCAGCCAGGAGCGCAGCTCCGCCCACTCACAGGAGGCGAGGAGCGCTGTGAGGGAGAGGGCATGGGGAGACGAGGGAGACAGGCAGGGGTGAAGGGAAGGAAAGGCAATTAAGGGGGATAAGAGGAGATGAATAAAAAGCGGAAGAGATAAGCGAGATGGGAAGAAAGGAGGGAGGGAAAGAGATGGATTCTGAGTGATCTGAGAAGCTGCTGCGACCGAATGCTGCGACCGAAGCAATCAGACTTTCCAACCACCCTTCAACACACCATCTAGCCACCTAGCTCCTCACAGATGGACCTACAATCTATCACAGCATCGTTCAGCTCTCCCTCTCACCACCCCAGCTCCCCACAGGTAAGCCACGCCCATGACGCCCTCACATCGCATCACCATGCCAGCACTCCCTCCACTAGCCACCCCATCCCTCCACTAGCCACTCCACTAGCAGGTAAGACACACCCACAGGCCCTCAGAGCATGAGGCATCAGGCCTTACAGGGGAGCGGCAGGGCGGGCGGCAGGTGTGCAGCGAGCAGGTCCGAGTGGGCCTCGAGCAGATGCACGCAGTAGTGCAGCAACGTCTGGTCGTTTCGAAAGCGGGGGGGAAATGACAGGGAGGGAGTATGGGAAAAGGGTGGGAAACGGAAATGGAGGAGTGCGGAAACATCTGAGAGCAGGTCTGAGTGGGCCTCGAGCAGGTGCACGCAGTAGTGCAGCAACGTCTGGTGTTGGGGGGAAAAGGTTTGGAGGGAAAGGGAGAGGTATGGGAGGGGAGAAGTTGGGGCAAAGAATTGGGGATGAATGGGGGAACATGAGCGAAGTGGGTCTCAACCAGGTGCACTCAGTAATGGAAAGACGCCTGAGGATGGGGGGAAGGGGGGAGCGGAGATGGGGAGGAGACTGGTGAGCCTGGCGAGATGGGGACATCGGGGCATGGGCACGAGCAATGCTCTCACTCCTGGAAAGGAGGGGCTGCGGTCAAGAGCAGCCCCACAGACGGATGGGGCATGGGGCCACAGGGGACTAAGGGCATGGGGGCATGGGGGGATGGGGGGATGGGGGAGCAAAGGAATGGGGGAGTGGGTAAGGAAGGGAGGAGGATCGGGCTGTGCTGACCTGCGTGGTGTCAATGGCAATCACGAGCGGCTCGTAGGCGAATAGCAGCCCCACGGAGAGAGAGGGCACGGGGGCACGATGGCATGGAGGGGAAGAGCGCACTTGCACTGACCTGCACTGACCTGTGTGGTATCAATGGCGATGACGAGCAACTCGTACGCAAAGAGCAGCCCCACGGAAGGGGGGGGCCCGGGGGCATGGGAGCATGAAGGATGGAGGGATGGTGGCATGGGGGCATGGGGGCATGGGGGCATGGGGGCATGGGGGCATGGGGGCATGGGAGCACTGACCTGCGTGGTGTCGATGGCGATGGCTCGTAAGCGAATAGCAGCCACGGAGAGGCGCGGCCAGGGGCGGTTGGAGAGAAGGGTGAACTCATGTGTTGGAATAAGCAATGAGGCCCGTTGGCAATGTGTTGGAATAGGCAATGAGGTCACGTTTGCACTGACCTGCGTGGTGTCGATGGCGATCACGAGTGGCTCATACGCGAATAGCAGCCCCACGGAGAGGCGCGGCCAGGGCGACATGACGTTGCGCGATGCGGAGGGCGAGGAGGCTGGGGACGCCGGGGCGAAGAAGGGGAGTAGACACACGGCCCTGGGGGAAGCGGGGAGAGGGAGAGGGGGTGCGGGAGGAGAGGTGAATAGGAGTAGGGAAAATGTGACGCGGGGGCACATGGTGCAGCAGCAGTGCGAGCGTGCGCAGGTGAGGGGGATGGCTGGGTAGATGGTGATGACGTCTCAAAAGGCAAGGAGAGAAGAGGAGAGGGAGTGCGAACTGAACTCACAGAAGCAGGTTAGCGAGTAGCACGAGCAGCAGCAGGGCAAGCGTGCGCAGATGCGAGGAGGGCTGTGCAGAGGGTGATGCACTGAGGCGCTGCGACCGCTCCTTGCCCACCACTCCGAACATCTGAGATGGGGGAGAGGGGGAGGGTCGGGGGGGCGGGGAATGGGGAGCGGGGATTGGGGAGTGGGGGATTGGGAGGGCTGTGCGGACGGCGATGCACTCAGGCGCTGCGACTGCTCCTTGCCCACCGACGAAGGGGAGGGTTATAGAAAACGGTTGAGAGGGACGAGACGGCTGATATGGGTGAGATACTTGGGGGGGAGGACAAATGCATGCGAGAAAAAGACAGGGGGGAGAAGACGAAGAGGGGAAGAAAGAAAGCGACACAGGAAAAGGGAGGAGAGGCGAGGCAGTGGGGAGGGGGGCAGGGAATTCTTGTGATAGCTGGGACAGGGGAGGAAGTGCGCGTGAGGGGACGGGATAGATTCACCTTGATGGCGGTGACAGCGGCAAACCACAGCAGCCACACGGGCTGCACCACTAGCACGTCCACCAGCGATAGCAGCAGCAGCAGCTGATGGGGGAAAGGGGGGAATGGAAAGGAAACGGAGCAGGCGTGTTAGGATTCGCTGGGACAGGGGAGCGCCTATTTATGAGGCGCCTTCAAAGCAGTCACACTGGCTGCACCACCAGCACGTCCACTAGCGATAGCAGCAGCAGCAACAGCTGATGGGGGAAAAGGGGGAGGGCTGGGGAGTGGGGGTGGGGATCGGGAGTCACACGGGCTGCAGCACCAACACGTCCACTAGCGATAGCAGCAGCAGCAGCTGCAGCTAGGAACGAAAATGGGGGGATGGAAAGGAAACGGAACAGGCGTGTTAGGATTCGCTGGGACAGGGAAGTGTCTATTTGTGAGGCGCCTCAACAGCAGCCACAAGGGCTGCAGCACCAGCACATCCACCAGCAGTAACTGCCGAGAGTGGGAGGGCAGGAGAAGTGGGAGGGAGCGGGAGCGGGACAAGGCATGTTAAGTTTCGGTGGGACAAGGAATTGTCAATGACGCATCCACACGCGCTGCACCACCGACGCATCCACCAGCGATAGCAGCAGCAGCTGATGGGAGTGGCGGGAGCGAGAAGGGGGAGGGCGCATGAGATGGGGCGCACGGAGGAGGGGACGGGGGAACGGCGGTGGTGACAAGGGTTGAATGGCGATGATTCGGGGAAGAAGTTAGACGGAGCGAGACGCGAATGGGGCATGTCAAGCGCCCTGCGGGTGTCATCGTGAAAGCAACGCGAGAGAGGGGACTGACCTTGAAGGAGAAGTGGCCGATGAGTCGCACCTTGAAGGAGAAGTGGCCGATGAGTCGCACCTTGAAGGAGAAGTGGCCGATGAGTCGCACCTTGAACGAGAAGTGGCCGATGAGTCGCACCTTGAAGGAGAAGTGGCCGATGAGTCGCACCTTGAAGGAGAAGTGGCCGATGAGTCGCTCCGCCAGCTTGTGCATCTCCAACAGCGACAGCTCGCCCAGAAACAACTCCTGCGCACCGCACAGCACCGCACCGCACAGCACCGCACCGCACCGAGGTTAGTCGACAGGGGCACAGGGTGGGGAGGGGGTTGGGAACCAATAAGGAAGAGTTAATCATATTGCTCTCCCGCTGGCACCTCTCGTCTCTTCCCCACCCTCTCTCTTCCCTTTCCTGCCCTCCTTCCCCTCTCCTCCCCTCTCCCTCTCCCCCTTTTCCACCCCCTTCTCCCCCTCCCCTCCCCTTCCCCGCACCTTAGCGCCGACGACGCCGAGCAGCAGCGCGCAGAGGAGCAGGTGGTAGAGCGCCGCGGCCTTTAAGGCGCCTCAAAAGTTCCCCCACCCGCCCCATCCCCCTCGCCTTCCCCCCCCACCTTAGCGCCGACGACGCCGAGCAGCAGCGCGAAGAGCAGCAGGTTGTAGAGCGCGGCGGCGGACTCCACGGACCCCCTCATCCCCCTGTCTCCCCCCGTTTCCCCACCCTCTCCCACCCCTCCCTTCCCCCCCCCCCCCCCCCCCCCCCCCCCCCCCCCCCCCCCTCCCCCCCCCCCCCACCCACCTTAGCGCCGACGACACCTAGCAGCAGCGCGCAGAGCAGCAGGTTGTAGAGCGCGGCGGCGGACTCCACGGAACCCCTCATCCCCCTGTCTCCCCCCGTTTCCCCACCCTCTCCCACCCCTCCCTTCCCCCCCCCCCCCCCCCACCCACCTTAGCGCCGACGACACCTAGCAGCAGCGCGCAGAGCAGCAGGTTGTAGAGCGCGGCGGCGGACTCGACGGACCCCCTCCTCCCCCTGTCTCCCCGTTCCCCCACGCTCTCCCACCCCTCCCTTCCCTCCCCCACCTTAGCGCCGACGACACCTAGCAGCAGCGCGCAGAGGAGCAGGTTGTAGAGCGCGGCGGCGGACTCGACGGACTCCGACATGTGACGGAACGACGCCAGCCACAGCGCCGCCGCGTCCACCGCCGGCCCCTCAGACGCCGCCACGTGTCCCAATCCCGCCTGCTCGTTCTTCTGCTTCGCCGCAGTCACCTCGTCTCCCTCCGCCCGCGCGCCCTCCCGCCCCGCGCTGCCGCTCCCTGCCGTGGTCGTCGCCGCCGCCGCCACCGCCGCCGCCGCCAAGCTGCTCCGCTGCCGCCTCAAAAATCTGCGCAGCGGATGCCGCCGGGGCCGGCGGGTGCGGCTGGAGCTGCGCCGGCGGGAGCGGCGCAGAGGCGGGCCATTGGCGGGCGAGCGAGTGCGCGCCGTGCTGCAGGTGCGCGTGCATGATGTTGAGGTGCAGCCCGAAACACACGGCGCTCAGCGCCGCGTACGCCGCCAGCGCGCCCGCCACCCACACGCGCGACATCGCTCCGCCCTCCCCGCGCCCGCTCGACTCAACTCCCTCCACCCCGCGCCGTGGTGCGTCCACTCGAGTGCCACCCGCTCAAGTAATGTCCGACGACCGACCTAATACCCGCTAATAGCTGCTAGTGGTTGCTAACTCGTTACACGCAACTGGGCTACGAGCCGACATTTCGCTGCTGAAGGCGGCCTCTCCACCATCGCTCGCTCGCCTCCTCGGTTCGGCAGCGACCGTCAAAGGCAGCAGTGATTATTCCGAAAGGCTATCGCTATGATGAACACGCGACAACAGGCGACGATGACGACCGCGAGAATACAAGCGACCTTCGACGACTCAAACGACAACGCGCGCGTGATAGTATGACACAATCACTGGAACCGCGGCGAGCGGCAACGGAGCGCACGACACGAAGGAGACGGACGAATTGACGGTACGCTACTATTTGCTATGTACAACGCATCTGCACATAGATGTCAAGAGCGAAAAGCACAGACCCGAAGCCAGATATTCTGTCGGTTCTCGGGTGTGTTCGGTTCGGATTTGGATGGAGGTTGGCGCGGGGAGCCAGTGCTGCAGCGCAAGCCAGTTCGTTCCCCCAGCCTGCACGACTACTGCACCTCACCCCACTTCCATCCATCTCGTTCCCCGCGAGCGATCGATGTTGGCGGACACGAAGCTGCGGGGCGGAGGCACCCCACCCTTGACCCTGGGAAATCGCGCGCTAACCTCTTCCGCTCCTCTTCTTTCCCCCCACCCCGCCAACGCTTTCCGTCAGAGCCAAGTTCCCGCGAACCCACGAGGCAGGCATGCGCTCGGTCCCGCCCGCCCGTCCTCGGGGTTGGCTGGTTGGAGATTCCGCCGTGCCGCTCAGCTATCAACACACGCACTGCTCCTGCGACACTCCCCTTGAGCGACTAATGTCTGGCCCAGTCACGAAGGCCATGCGACGTTGCAAAGTAGCTAAACCTATTGTCCGGATCGTCGACATTCGCACGACCACTCTGCTGAAAGGACCGTGCGTTTCGTCAGAGATCTACATTTTCGGTGGAAAACCTCGGACCGAAGCTCGGTATAGACAGCAAAATACGGTAAGTCAATATCAGACTAGAACAAGGCCATACAAAATAATGTAGTGCTTCATACTGAAGCACTAGCACTACTACCTAACACACTACTGATTTGCAATATTTATGCCAGCAAGAGAGGTCTAAAGCAACGAGCGCGTTGCCTAGGTGCCTCTAGGTTGGAGATAAGGTGCTGGCATATGCGAGCAATGCATGAATGAATGCGGGTGAGCATGTCATTGTTAGACGGGGCAGACGACGAGAGTGTCGATTGGCAGAAATGAAGGATCCCACGCACGTCGGATGCTGACAAGTCAGTGCGTTTGCACGCAGCCTGGTGCACAAGCGATGCAGAGCAGAGAAACACAGCAGTGAGTCAGAAAGCAAGAGACACACAACGCCAGTGCCTTGTACATAAATCAATGAAAGAACACTCACGAGAGTCAGTCCAACAGGCAGGCAAGGGCACGGAACAATCACGGCAATCACAGTAGTCACAGTACCTGAACGAGCAGCAGAGAGGCGAGGCAATGCTGCATGACCGTCCGCACATCCCCCGCACCAGAATCCCGAACCTGGCCCTCCGCACCTCCACTGCCACATCCTTCCATCTTCTTCCCTTCACCCCCCACCGCCCTCTCCCCTCCCCCCACCCCATCCACCACTGCTGCTCCATGCAGCCCCTCCTTCCCCGCCCTCCCCTCCCCCAATCCACCAGTGGTGCCAGCAGCACACGCAGCGCTGCCTGGAGGGGAGGTGGGGAAGCGGGAGGTGGGGGGCCGGAGGGTGTGAGGGGGCGGTCTGGCCTTGGTGGTGGAGGACCGGTGCGGGCTGATCACATGCCCTGCTGTGACTGGTGCTTCACCTGCTGCTGCTGCCGCTGTTGTCGCTGCTGCTGGTGCTGCTGTGGGTGGGGCAGGGGAGCAGGTGGAACGGGGGAAGGCAGGCACGGTGACAGGCGGGGAGGAGGGGGGGAGGGAGGCTGGACTGGCGGAGGAGTGGGGGGAGGGGGAGACGAGCACGCGGTGGTGGTCTGGGGAGACAGCAAGTGAGGGAGCCTGCACAGCAGCTGGGGCGGCCGGTGAAGCGGCAGGTGTGGCAGGGTCAGCAAGGCCGCCTGTTTCCTTCTTTTGGGCTCCACCACTGCCTTCCCTCCTCTGCCCCTCTTCTGCTGCTGCCGCTGGAGCTAGCCTGCCATCACCACCCGCTGCAGCACCTGCAGCAGCACTCATAACTGCCTCAGCTGCGGGAGCAGCAGCAGCGGCAGCAGTAGCAGCAGCAGCAGCAGCGGCGGCGGCAGCAGCGTCAGCACCAAATCGAGTACGAGTGTCGACAGCAGCAGGTGGAGCAACAGCAGCAGCAGCGCGGGCATCAAGGGCATGTCGGCCAGTGGTGACAGCATCGGCGTCAGAGCCCCCTGTGGTGCCCGTCGTCACTGACAGCCCCCCCTCCTCCGACGCACACAGCAGCCCCCTCGCCCCCACCCCCCCCTCCTCCCACCGCCCCCCTGCTCCCCCTGGCCCCCCTGCTCCCCCGTCTGCCCCTGGCACGGGGCAGGGGTGCTTGCCGGGGCTTCTCAGGGCGGGGCCCTGGGGGGTGAGCTGCAGCAGGCGGTATCGTGAGGCATGGGGAGGCGGGGTGCTGGCAGGGTGGGGCGCAGGGCACACAGCGTATGGAGGAACCGGTGCAGGGTGTTGTGATGCTGTGTAGTGCGGTTCCGTGCGGTGTGCCATGTTGTCTGCATCACTTGCAGGTAAAGCCGATGGGTCTGGAGGGCCGGCAAGTGAGGGTAATGGGAATTGGAGTTGTTGCTCTGGTGCCTGCTGATTCGCCTGCAGTGCTCCTTGTGGTTGCAATGGCTGCATCATTGGAGCAGCAGCGGGCGGAGCAGGAGGCATGGTGGTGGGAGGGGCGATAGCAGGTGGAGGGATGGAGGTGGGTGGAGCTGTGGGGAACTGTGGAGGCGGAATATGTGGCGGGGGAAACTGTGGAGGGGGAAGGGAGGAGAGAGCATGGGAGAGCAGCAGCGAGGGGTCAGAGCCAGGGGGGCAGAGGGAGAGGGCGTGCAGGGCCGCGCCCACCATGGCATGTGCCTGCTGCTGTGCCTCTCCAATCATCTGCTGCACACCTGCTGACACCGCCCCACCTGCTCCCGCCTCCTCCTCGCCACCCACCGCCCTCCCTTGCCCGACCATTTCCCTTTTTGGGAAACCTTGCCCCTCCTGCTCAGTTCTCCCCCCTTCCCCTCCGCCCGCACCCCTCTCGCCCCCTTGTCTGCTCTCTGCTTTTACCCCTCCTGGAGCCCTGCCCGGGCCATTCCACCGCACCTCAGCTCTGCCCTCCTCCTGCACCCCCCCCATCGCTTCTCCCATCTGCCCAGTCCCGTCCACTGCTGGCGCAGTTGGCACTGCTAGCGCTGCTGCCATTCCCACCATTGCTGGTGCTGGTGCCACTGCAGGCGGTGGTGCTGCTGCTGCTACTGCTGGTGCCGCTGGTCCTGCTGCTGCTGGCGGTGCTGCAGGCACCAGAACCGGTGCAGGGGCAGGGGCTCTCAGGAAGTGCGGTGGAGGTGGGGCAGGTGCAGTGGGGAGGGTGGGCGGCAGGGAAAGCGGAGGAAGCGAGGGGGCTTGGGGTTGTGGCGGAATGAGAGGAGGGAGGCGCAGAGGCGCGTTGGCAAGGGCAGTGTGGGAGGAAGAGGCAGTGAGGAGGCAAGCAGCGGAGATGAGAGGGGAGGGGATGGGGGAGGAGACGAGAGGGGGGGCAGCAGGGGAGGGCAGGAGGCGGTGAGTGGGGTGGGGGGAGGGGAGGAGGGAGGGCGAGGGGCGGGGGAGGGCGGGATGGAGGAAGCGGTTGCGACTCCTGAGGGCTTGCAGGGCCTCGTCCAACTGTGGGGGGCACGAGAGGGGCATGGCGGCACGACATGGGATGGGGGACATTGAATGAGAAGAGATGCATTGGGTGGTGGGGCAAGGTGCATGGTGGGTGCATGAGGACAGAGGGAAGGAGAAGGGTGAGCGAATCGAAAGGAATGTAAGAGACATTTGCACACATGCAGCTATGACCACGGCTCACCTGCTTGTCCGTGTCCCTGAGCTGCAGCAGCACCACAGCATACTGGCGCTGAAACGACTCATCCAACCCCATCCCCCCCTCCGCCACTCCCCCTGCCTGGGCCCCCTCTGCCTCCCTCCCTTGCACCACCCCCAGCTGCCCCGCTGCGTGCGCGTTGAGCCACTGCAGCTCCGCCAGCAGCGCCGCCTGGGGGAGAGCAGTGCGGTGAACAGAGGGAGGAGGGACGGGACGGACGACACAGATGGCAGTCCGCACGGGAGAAAAGAGCAGAGGAAGGAAGGGGAGAGAACAACAGGGGAAGAACGGGATTGAAGTTAGTATGCACATCGGTTAAGGATTCCAAGCTCTTGCTGTACCCCCCCACTGCCACACGCTCACCTTGTTGTGCTATAAGGAAAACTCTAACGAATCCCGTCAGTATTGGCCCTCACCTTCTTGTTGCAGCACCGTACCACCTCCACCACAGCGCGGACATCGTGCTCCGTTGTTGAAGTGATTAACCCCTGATAAAATCCCCTCTGAGAATCCCCTATATCTCACTCACCTTCTTGTCGCAACACCGTGCCACCTCCACCACGGCCCGCACATCCTGCTCCCTCGACTGCCCCGCCTCCCCCGGACTCCCCGCCCCCACCGGCGGGGCAGGCAGTGGCCTGTGCGTGGGCGTCTTGAACGGCTCTCCCACGCCAGCCGCCGCAGCAGTGGCAGGAGCAGACGCAGTGACAGCAGTGGCAGCAGCAGGGGCAGCAGGCGGAGGGGAGAGGCAGCCGTTGAGATCCAAATGACCTGGCCCGCTCTGCCATGCCTGCCCGCCCTGCCATGCCTGCCCGCCCTGCCATGCATGCGGCGAGGGGTGTATGCCATCCATACTCTGCACTGCTGGGTGTGAGCCATGCATGCCCTGCATGGGCACGTTCATCATATGCATGCCTTGCTGGGACAGGTTTATCATGCCTTGCATGTCCTGGTGTGGCAGGTTCATCACGCCCTGCAGGGGCAGCACATCCACGTCCACATCAGGCACGGCATGTGTGCCCAGCCGCCCCTCCTCAAACCGCACCACCACCGCCTCGCCTCCCGCCCATGCCTCCCCCTGCCCCAGTCCTCCCTCCCTGCCCCGTCCACGCCCCACGCCCACCACCCTGCCTGCTGCCACCATGCCCGTGCCTGGGTGCACTGCCAGTACCGCCTCCCCCACTTGCACCGCCCCACCCCCTTGCGCCCCCACTCCTGCAGGCGCACCAGCAGCAGCAGTGGTGGCAGCGGCAGTGGCGAGGGCAGCACGGGCGGCAGCACGGAAGGCGTTGAGGTTGGCCCTTTCCTCGGATAGGAAGGCAGGGGAGAGACGACGCGGCTTGCCCATGGCGCTGGGGGGATGAGAGACGAGGGGGAAGGGGAATGGAAGAAGGGAGGGGATTGTGTGCATGGAAAATGATGTGAGAGCGAGAACGAAGCCAAGGGGATGGAGACGGGTAGAAGAGTGAGGGGCAAGCAAGGGAGGGAGGCATTGAAGCGAAGCATACACCCGAGAGCACCGCAGTGCTCACAGCCACCAGCGCCATGTGGAGCGCAGGAGAGGCGCAAGCACTCACCAGCGCCATGTGGAGCGCAGGAGAGGCGCAAGCACTCACCAGCGCAGCAGGCGCCAGAGCGTGCGCGGGAGGGCGGTGGGCGGCGGGGCAGCGAGCAGCGCGAGGCAGCGGAGGAAGTCGCTGTGTTGGAACCAGGGGCGGTCGATGGCGCTGTAGACGAACTCACACCGCGCCCACCGCTGCACTGCCACACACATGCGCGGTGGTGGAGGGAGAGAACCATCCACTTCATCCCTGCCGTCCCTGCCCTCCCCGCCCTCTCTCCCCACCTGCCACAGCTCCACTCGCCTCTTCCTCCTGCCTGCCCCCCTCGCTGCTACGCGTGCCGCTCTGCCCCACGTTTCTCCTCCCCCTGCTGTTGCTTGCTGTTGCTGAGGTGGCGGCACGTGGTGCGCAGGCTGATGTGGCATGGGCGGCCACGTGGCATCCGCCCTCTGCTCCCCTCCCCCCTGCTGCGCGCCCCCATGCTCCACCTGCCCCCCTTGCACCCCGCCCATGGGGAGGGGCAGGCGCAGAGGAACAGAGTGCAGGGGGAAGGCGGTGTGGTTGGGCGGGGGGGGCATGGGGAGCATGGGAGGCGTGGGGGTTACGGGCGGTCCAGGGGGTATGGAAGGGGGCATTTGCAGCAATAGGGGCCCTGGCGCGGTTGAGAGGTGTGGAGCGGGCGGAGGGAGGGATGCAGAGGGGCGGGGGGAGAGGGGCAGAGCGGACGGGAGGCGGAGGGACAGAGAAGGCGAGGAGGAGGGGGAGAGAGGATAGGTCAGCAGATTTGTTCTAGAGCCCATGGTAGGAGCGGTTGCTGCCACTGCTGCTGTTGCTGTGGTGGCGGCAGTGTGCTGGGAGGGTGGCAGCAGTGGCAGCAGCTGTGCCGTAACTGGTCGTTGCTGCTGCTGCTGCTGCTGCTGCACATGCCCCCCTGTGTCTGCTGCGCTCGAGTCTTGAGCTATCCCAACATAACCCACCGGACTCACACCGCTGCCTGCACCCTCCGTGTCGTCCCGTCCCATCAAATCGAGGACCACCCTCTCCTCCACCACTCCAACAACTCCCCCCTCCTGCTCCTTCCGCCTCTCCCTCATCCCTCCCTCCTTCCCCTTCTTCTTCTCCCTCGTCCCAGCATCCTTCCCCTTCTTCCGCTCCTTCCCCTGCTCCCCACCTGCCCCGCGAGTCCCTGCAGCAGCAGGGGCAACCAGGGGAGGCACGGGGGGAGGGGCGGGGGGAGCGAGGGCGCGAGGGGGCAAGGCGCCATGCTCCTCCGCGCCCTGTCCTGCCCCCTCCTTCACCTTCCCCTGCCCCTTCTTCTCGCCCTGTCCAACCTCCTCCCCCTTCCTCCTCACCTTCACAGCCCCCTTTCCCCCCGCTACCACCTTACCCCCCGCTCCTCCTCCCCCTCCCTGCTGCCGAGCCACCTCCCCTCCACCTGCCCTCTTTGAACCTTCCACGCCCGTCCTCGCCTCAACCCCCGCCTGCTTCACAACCCCTCCGCCTTTCCCCGCACCACCCACCGCCCTGCTGCTGCTACCCTGCACAGCACCACTGCCAGCCACCACAGGCACTGACCCCCCTTTGCCCGGCCTGGTGCTGCTGCTGCCGCTGCCAGGCCTGCTGGTGGTGGCAGCGCTGGCGTGGGCGGCTGCAGTGGCACTGGCGTGTGCAGCGGCAGCGTGCTGGAAGCGCCGCAGCATGTCGTCTAGAGGCTCCTCCTCCGCCCTCGCTGCTGCACCCACTGCTCCCCCTGCTCCCACTGCTCCCCCTGCAGGTGCACCAGTCACTGCACCGCCTGCCATGCCTGCAGCCAGGGCACCGCTCATGCCACCTGGCATGCCAGCTGGCACGGGCGGCAGCACCACACTGAAGGCGCTCGCTCGAGGGGGCCGCACTGCCGCTGCTGTTGCCACTGCTGCTGCTCCCACTCCGCCTGCTGCCGCTACTCCTGCTGCTGCGGCTGCCGCTGAGGGCACGGGGAGAGCAGGAGTGCCAAAGGGCAGGGCGGGCGTGGGAGGGGCGGCAGGGAACGTGAGAGGGGCGGGCAGAGGGGGCACAGGTGGTGGCGCATGCAGAGGGTAGGGCGTGGGAGCAGGGAAAGCGGCGGGAGGGTGTGGCCGCCCTGTTGCCTTCTCCGGCTGGCTACTTTTGTCCTTATTCGCCCCGCCTTTCTCCTTTGTCTCATCGCCCCCTCCTGCCCTGGTCTTCTTACTCTTCTTTGCCTTCCTCTGCACGAGCCCAGCCCCTCTGGGTGTCTCCCTGCTGCCCTGCGCCCCTTCTCCCGCCCTCGCCTCACCCCCCTGCTTGCTTCCTGCTGCGCGCTGCTTCCCTGCACCTGCCCCTCCGCCCTCCCCCTCCGCCTCCTGCTGCTGGCTGGGCTGCGGGGGAGGTGGCAGGCGGTCTGTCGAATCCATGACATGGGGGTGCAGAGAGGGAGAGGAGACAAAGATATCAAGAGAAAGGCATCAACTGCCCTCCATGTGCGTGGAAGAGCATGTGTCACACCAATGCTGTGCGAGGAGGAGCAACGGGAAAGCAGCAACGGCGGGAAACATAGTGCAAGAGCACAAGGGTGGGAAACATAGTGCAAGAGCACAAGGGTGGGAAACATAGTGCAAGAGCACAAGGGTGGGAAACATAGTGCAAGAGCACAAGGGTGGGAAACATAGTGCAAGAGCACAAGGGTGGGAAACATAGTGCAAGAGCACAAGGGTGGGAAACATAGTGCAAGAGCACAAGGGTGGGAAACATAGTGCAAGAGCACAAGGGTGGGAAACATAGTGCAAGAGCACAAGGGTGGGAAACATAGTGCAAGAGCACAAGGGTGGGAAACATAGTGCAAGGGCACAAGGGCCTATGTCGTACCTGTGGGAGCACCCCCAGCAGCACCAGAAGCCGGGCCGGCAGGGGCAACCGCAGCAGTGCTGGCAGCAGGGGCAGCAGCAGTGGCATGAGGGGCGGCAGCATGGTTGTTGGCACGCGCCATAGCCGTCAGAGACAGGTCTGCCAACGTGGCCAGGGCATCCAATCCGGAGCTGCCACCTGGACAAGGGAAGGAAACGAGGAATTCATGTGAATGGTCGTGCATGCGGCATGCTGCGTGGTGCATGGTGGAAGCTGGGAGGGGCTGGAGCCTTTAAAGAGGCGCCCTTTCACTCGTCCTGTGCCGGCAAAGCATCCCGTGTGCTCCCCTCCCCTCTGCTCACATCCTTCACTCACCATGGAAAAGGCTGCTTGCATGCTCCCCCCCTCCACTACCCATGCCCTCCTGCACCCCCTGCCCCGCTGCTCCTGCTTCTCCCCTCGTAGCCCCTTCTCCCCCTGCATCTCCATCTTCCCCAACTCGTCCCCCCTCTCCTGCATGCTGCGCCGCCTCCCTCTCCCCCCCTGTACACGCGCCTCCCTCACCCACCGCCTGCTCTGCCTGCCCACCAGGCCCGCCCCCCACCTCTGCCCCGCCTGCAACCCCCTTCCTCTTTGCCTTCGCCTTGCGCTTGCCCCCCTTCCCCTCCTTCACTTCCTTCCCGTCCTTCCCCTCCTTTCTCTGCTTCCCCTCCTTCCTCTCTTCACCATCCTTCGCGTCCTTCCCCTCATCACCGCCCTTCCCCTCCCTCCTCTCCTCGATCCCCTTAACCTTCTCCTCCTTCCCTGCTCTTCTGTCCTCTCCACGCCTCTGTACCCCTGCCAACCTACCACCTGCCTCATCTGCTCTGCTCTCTTTCTCCTCCTCCTCCTTCTCAGCCCCTGCCTTCTCCTCCTGTTCCTGCTGCTGTGGGCGCAGTGACACCCGCATACCAGCACTCATCTCGGAGCGTCTCTTCTCGTCCTCCTCTGCCTCTCCTCGCCCTCTCGCCCCCACGCCACCCACCACAGCAACGGCCGATCGAGCCTTCTTAGGAGTGTGCGACCCCACGCCCCTCTGCCTGCCTGTGCCTGCTGTCAAATCCCCAACCCCCTGCCTCCCCTCGTGCCCTACCCCCCTCTCCCCCTTCCCCCGCTCCCCTTGCCCGCGCCCCTCTACTTGCCTCCCTAGTGCCTGCTGCCTCACATCCCCGCTGCCCTCCTCCCCCCCACCCCCCCCTCCGCCTCCATTCCTCCTACCCCCGCCCTGCTCTTCCTCCTCCAGTTGCCTCTTCCTCTGCCCCACCCTGCCGCCTCCCTTCTCCTCTCCTCCCCCTGCTCTCTCCCCTTCCGCCCCTCTCCCCGCTTCCCCCCCGCCCTTGCCCCCGCCAGCAGGCATGTGCGCCCTGCGACTGCGCTTGCCCCGCGACCACAGGGGGGCGGCTGACGGCGGAGGCAGGGGGAAGGGGAAGGGGAGCGGGAGAAAGGGAGGGAAGAAGAAGACGGATGGGGAGGGGATAAGAGGTAAAGGGTTGCCGCATTGAGAAGAAAGGAAAAGAGAATTGGGGAGTGGCATCGAGAAGCATGGAGACACACACACACCTGCTGACTGCTTTCCACATCCTGCTGCTGCTCCTGCTACCACCTCCAGCGTATCCCTCCCTTTTTCACCGCCATCGCCCCCCCCAAGCCCCGCACTGGACCCCGTGCTCCTCCCCACGCTCCACTGCTGCCCCTCCTGCACCTCCGCCCCTTGCTCCGCACTCCCCTCCTCTGCACCCCGCTTCACCTCCCTCCTGCCCTCACTCCGCCTTCCACTGCCCCTCCCACTGCCCGCCACATCACTCCCCTCCGCTCCCTCCCCTGACCGTTGACCCCCTCTCTCCCCCCGGCTGTGACCCACACTGTTGGTCCTGCGTCTGGTAAGAGGTCGCTGATACTGCACCCTCACCTCGCTCCCACTCTCACTCCTACTCTCCCTCTCCCTCTCACTCTCACTCGCTGCCACACTCGCACCCTCACTGCCGCTGCCCCTGTCACTCCGGAACCCAACACTCCCCCCTTCCGCCTCCCCCTCCCCCTCCCCCTCCCCCTCCGCCTCACTCCCGCTCTCACTAAGAATCCCTCCGCCCCCCCTGCTGCCGCGCACAGCGCGCCCGCGCCGGCGCCCCACAGGGGGAGGGGGAGTGGCGGAGGCGGCCTGGCTGCCGTGGTCCTGCCCGCCCGCCCCTGCTTGCACTGCCTGCCCCGCCGCCTGCCCCTCGTCCGCTGCCTGTGGGTGCTCTGCTGCCGCCTCGTGCTGAGAACGCAGTCAGGGGGGTGGTGGGAGACAGACGGATGAGGGGGGAGCGGGGCAAAGAAGGGGGAAGGAGCAGTGTTGGGAGGTGCAAAAGTGGAAGCTGGCGAGAAAGAGAGCACGTAAAGAGTGGGAGCAGGCGAAGAGCGGTAGTTGGGGAGGCAAAAGAAAGTAAAAGCGTGGCAGGACGCGGGCAGGAAGAGGGGCAAGCAAGGGTGGGGCAGGAGAGGGGCGTACGAGCATGGAGTAGTGGTCGGTCATCATAGCCACCAGCCCCACCGCCGATGCTGCTCCCTCGGGCAACGACAGGTACGCCTGCATGTGACGAGCAGCACACACACATGCCGCAGCAGTGCAATCGAGGCAGAGCAGGAAACTTGAGAACTTGCACTTGGAGGGGTGCGAGGCGAGCAATGAATAGCAGCCGGGGACTTCTCAGAGCGTGATGGTACGGGTGAGGGCGAGCGGCAGGTCGGGTGGGACTGACCCTGTTCATGTTGAAGAGCGCCTCTGCCATCTCCTCCGTTCGCCCGGGTAGCTCCGCCACCACCTGCACGCACGGAGCAAGGCGCATTGGGCCGGACAACCATTGCACCGCACAAGCATCGCCAAGGCACAGCACCCATGGATCACCAAGCATTAAGAACCATCAAAAGAGGTATTTGAACGGCCCTGAGCATTGCGGCCAAGAGGCTAAATCAGGAGCCTCATGGGTTCAGGGGCAAGATTGGATCAGGGGCATGGCTGATGATGGTGATGATGTTTGCTGTGCGGACGAATGTGACCGTGATACTAACGATATGATATGACGTCATCCATCCACGTACATGCCCATCCGTTCCCTCCCCGCGACGCCCTCCCCATCTTCCCCCTTACCTTCCGCTAGGCTTCCCCATCCCCTCCCCCCTATCTCCACACCCCCATCCCCTCCCCCTCTCGCCCACCTTGCGCCAGTTCTTCCCCTCGGCGCGCAGCAGGCGGTAGAAGGCGCGCAGCTCGCCGTCGCTCCACACGGGGCCCAGCCGCTCCACCAGCTTGCGCCGCTGCGGGCGGCGGAAGGGGAAGACGCGGGAAGGGAAGAGACAAAACGGCGGAACTCGTGACGCATGTGCGAGGCTTGCGACAGCTCGCGAGCTAGCGACCGTCGAGGGTAGCGGGAAATGGGAAGGGGAGAAGCGACTGACGGCGTGGATCATGCGAAAGAGACCTCGAACCAGACGAGCTCGCAGCGAATCAAGAGCCGTAAGCGATGAATCGCGAGATGCGAACGAGACGCGACGAACGCCAAGGAAAAATCGGGGCGTGAGCGCTAAACTCGGAGGGCGTGAGCGCTAAACTCGGAGGGCGTGAGCGCTAAACTCGGAGGGCGTGAGCGCTAAACTCGGAGGGCGTGAGCGCTAAACTCGGAGGGCGTGAGCGCTAAACTCGGACAACGCCACGCAGGTGACGTTAAGGGCGACGAAACAGTCACTTCTGTAGCAAACCGAAGTTAGGCGGTTGAATTGCTATCTTGCCTTGTGTCGCTGGGCATGGCGAGCGTCGGCGGCGCGCGGTTGCGCGTGGGCTCTCGACTGCGAGGAGGTCTTTCTGTGCGGCGCCATGGCTGCCCGCGCCCCGCTACCCACTAAGTCACGATCCACGGCGCGACATCGCGAGAGTAATAATCGTTCCGCTAAGCAAAAGGGTCTCGGATCGAAGCCTGAACGACAGTGAGCGATGCGCGGACTAAAGCATTAATTACAATCGGTGTGAGGTTGGGGCAAAAAGTTCAGCCAGGTAAGGCGAGCGCAAGGCAGAAGTTGGCTGAAGCGAAGGGAGGCGCGGCTACTGTGCTGTTCTGCAGGAACAGGCAGGGTAGACGTGATGGAATGGAAGTTGAGGGAAGGGGACAGCGGAGGAAGAAAGCGGAGGAAGACGCGGCAGAAGCAAGGAAGCAAGCTGGCAAGCAACCAAACACCCGTTTATCCCTCGGGATTGCCTTCCCGCCCTTCTCCTGCCCTCGGCAAATTTGAATCAAACCCTCAGCGCGCTCTGCCCCGAACCTGCGAATTCGCGGGAAATCGCCACCTTCGCTTTAGTTACATTGAGAAAACAAAATGGTGGAATACATAGACAGGGGCTCATTGTGAAACATTTTTCTTGAAATAGAGGGAGGGTGAAACAATCCTCTCTTTTTCATTAATTTCTTACAAAATCACAAGCACTGCAGGTGCTATTCGCATGCAAATACACAAACTAAGAAAACCCTTGATTTAAAAGTAGGGCAGACAATCATTCTTTAGCAGCTGCCTCTATCTCGTTGCGCCATCTCCGGTAGTGCACGCCGAGCTTGTCATAAATTACAGGGTGGTTCCACACATTGGCACCACGTCTCATCCTGTCCTGCTGCCCTACAACCAAACGCAAGTCCTCATCCAGCACCTGCTCAAGCATTGACAGACAAAGAGAACAGTCAATTTTGAGCACACATTTTCATTGTGAATAGAAGTTGAGCATAAAATCGAACCTCTAACACATCTACACATAAAACTGATAGTGAAAACGCCGAGGCAGGAACTCACCTGGTTAGCCAAGGATTTCCACAATCTGTCGATGAAGGGCACAAACTTGACCCACTGGGCGAAGTCAAGCCCCATACGGTAAAGCAGCCGCGTCTTGCCGCGTGACGACGGCAGGCAGGCGTGCAGCTGGAACAGATGCTGCGTGCACTCCTGTGCGCTGGCCTGCCCTTCCAGCTGGCCCGGCTTGACGAGCCCGATGGTGGACACCACCATGCAGGGCGGGCGGAACTCCATCGTGATCGGGTACGGGTCCCAGTGGCCCTGCAGCGCTTGCGCTGCTGCCGACTTGAAGCGAACCAGGCTGCAACAGGGAAGCACACAGGACAGGACAAGAGGAGAGACAATGTTAGCCTGAGGAGGAGAGGTCAAGAGGAAGGAACAATGTTAGCCTCCAGGCAGTGAGAGAAGGCAAGTGCAGGGGGTGTAAGGCACGGGCACACACTGACCTGGGGACGGACCAGCCCTTGGCGAAGGTGGTGGTGTGAGTGAAGGGCGCATGGGCGAGGTCCAGGAGATTCTCCACCAGCAGCCCGTGCTCCACCGGCAGCTCTATCACTATCTGCAGAGTGGCCGCACAGCAGCAAGGGGAAGGCAGGCAGGCAGGCAGAGAGGTGCATTTGAGCATCGCAGGCAGTGGTGAGACGGGCAGGCTATACCAGAACAGGACCAAACTCCATTCACTGAGAGTTTTCTCTGCTCTGACAGGTCCAGAAGAAGCGCAGCCCTCGGGCTCACCTCAGCATGCACGGTGTAGGAGGGGGGCGGCATGGTGGAGGGCAGGGTGTCGGTAGGCGTGGCAGTGCCGGGCCACACCCAGATCATGCCCTCGTGCTCCACACACGGCAGCGCTCGCACTCGCACGTCCGTGAGGCGCGTGGACGGCATCTTGGTGCACTTGCCACTCGGGTTGAACTCCCACCCTGCCAGCCCACAGACGGAGGGGCGTTGGCATAGGTACACGGTATGAGAGGGTTGGGCACAACAAAAAGCAGAAGACACCAGATTGTAAGAAGGGCATGAGAGAATAGCTGTGGGTGAAGAAGCCATACCGTGGTAGGGGCAGACAGCGTGGCCGTCAACTACAGTGCCGATGGAGAGAGGGCATGCCCTGTGCGCACACTCGTCCCGGATGCACCCTGGCTTGCCGTCTGGGCCTCTGAACACCACCCACGGCTCCTCGAAGCAGTCAAACGGAATCTGTCGGTATGGCAGCGGGTGATGGGGAACACGTCAGCCAATGGCGAGTGAGTGACAAGGGACGGAGGCTAAAAATCCGCATCTACCCCCATACGGCCATCTAGCATGTTTCCCTGCACGAGCGCCGGCCACGCACCAGCGTGGAGGCGTCGACGTCTTTGGAGAAGGCGACGGGGAACCAGAAGTTTTTGAGCGTCTCCGCGTACTTGGGCAGCGGCCCCGACGTGTCCAGCTTCGTGCGCCGCGGGGCCTTCCCCTTCCGCTTCCCCTTCGCCACGCGCCCCTGGGACGCCGCCGTCTCAGCCGCGCTCTGCAGCTCCGCGGGCTCCGCCGCCAGGATCGCCTCCGCCTTCTCCACTACCGCCAGACTCCCCTCCGCGCGCCCTGCGCTAGCACTCGGCGCGCTACCCTCCGCCGCATCCCCCTGGCTGCTGCTGGATTCCCTGGGAAGGGGGTCGACGACGCGCGTGGTCTGCACGAGCGACTCCAGCTCCGCCATTCGGTCCAGCGTCTGCCGCACGCGCGCCTCCGACGCGCGCACCTGCGCGCGCGCGGCGGCGAGCACTTGGCGCATGTGGTGCAGCTGCTCCTCGAGCGACACGAGGGACTCGGTGTCTGACGTGGACTCGAGCGACGCCACGAACACGCCCGCCGCTACCCGCCGAGCCTGCATGCGCACACGATGCCGTTAGCGCTACGCTGGGATTACGACTCTAGTGGCACAACGATCAGCGCTGAAAAGGATAAGTGTAATACTGCTGTCTCGCACCTCGTCCCGTTCGTCGCTCTGACCGCCACGCGGCACTCCAAACAGCTCCCCCGCGCTCTGCAACGCGTCCGCCACCGCGGATGCTGGCCAGTGCGCCACCTACGGTAATGGGAGCAACAAATGATTTACGCGGCGATCAGGACCAGAATTATCCGGACAAACAGCCTGGCGCAAACCGACTACGTAGATCTAAATCAGCAGCACTTGGAATGACAAATCCAGGTTACAAGGCGTCGAGCGTGCGATTGCAAGGCGGCGGGTCGGCGATACCTGTGCTGCTGCTTTGCCCCCCACTGCGCCAGATTGAGCTGAAATTAATCCAAACCGAAGATCGAAGCCCGCCGCCTGATCTGACCCATCCAAAGACCCCTGAAATCGAAAGAAGGCCGAAAGGGACAAGTCAGCTGACTGCTGTGAGGAAACAGCGATGCGGAGACGAGGGTTGAAAAAAAGGATTAAAATATCATTTATAGGGATCACGGGGCAGAGGGACTCACGTTGAGGGCAGCGCAGAGATCTGGTAATAGTCCGGCAGCCGGGACGGTGGCCTCGAGCCAGATATGCGATCCACGTGCCTGCAGCGGGGAGGACGATGAGAGAGGAGAGCAGCTGTGAGAGGGACCAGCATTCAGGAGACAACGGCCATTGAGAAACCTCACAACCTTTGAATATGACATGTCACCTCAAGATTCGCAGCAAGAATAAGGGCACGGGTGGTTTACCTGGATCTGGAGCGGCTCTTGGACGTCGGCGGGGTCGAGGCGAAGCACAGACGCTCGCACGGCCTGTGAGGGAAAAAAGACGAGTTGACGTAGGCAAAGAGGGGGAAAGATACGGTGTTTCACGTGTGCCATATCGCGATTTGTGCGGAAAGGGGCTGAATTGAAGCGAAGACATAATACCAACAAATATGAACACGGTTGAAAGACAACGTTAACCCACCCTAAGGAGCTGGCAGAAGTCGTGATACTCCCTGGCGTTCATCGCCAGACTCCATCCCTCTCCGCCGACCTGGAATACGGCCAGTCGGGTAAAGGAGAAACAAACCGAATGATTTTAAGTGTACGATGCGCCGGGCAACTACTCGAACGGCTAACGACGACTAAGTTTCTAGTATTCCCGAAACAGAGCAGCAATGCTTGGATACTATTCTGAAACACGGTCAAGATTCCTAGGTGGAGCCCCGCACCGAAGCAGCAAAACTGTCAGTTGAGTTGGGTGATGCCTCATAAGCCACACGCCACCCCTCCCCTTGAACCAGCCGGAACTCTGCATCTGGAGCAACATCTTGCGTCGAGCAGCCTGAAAAGGAGGGAATGCAACAAAAAGCGATTAAGAAGGGATCCCGGATTGAGACCACGGCGAAACCGAGCACGGACACGCAGTCCCGGGCTTCACCTGTCAAATCGCACTTCAGCCATGCACCGTCTGCGTGGGTAAGCTTGGACCCGCTGTCGAGTGATAGGACGAGCTTATTTGCTTGGCGAATGGAAGCCTTGTCTCCTGCATTTTGACTGCTGAGGCCCATCCGAACTACTCTAGATGAAGAAACATCCTGTTCTTTTGCGAATCTTTTGTCACTACGCAAGGTGCGACCTCCTAGACCAGAATGGCTCGACGACAGACAGGCCGTTCGGGACGCGGTGGTACGCTTCGAAGAGGTGAGACCGCCATGGGCAGGCTGCTTCGTGAAGCCTACTCGCTGAACCGTGGAAGCCGCTAGGGAGTTCATGGCTACACGCGAGTATGGCCTCCTCTACGCACAGGAGCAGTTGCCCTTCCTAAATTACATGAACCAGGAAAGGGATCCGAGCAAGTAAAATTATCTGAACAAATAGGTCTCGAGATTGCGACATGTTCAGTGAATGATGAGGGGAGGGAAGAGGCTGGTCCCGTCAAGGTGTGGTGTGGAATGTTCGGCTTGCAGCCTGCAGGAGAGGAGCACACACGGGGGAGGGGGGATGTTGGGTGGTGGTGGTGGCGCTGTTGCTGTACTTTGTCGCAGAGGGAGAGGGATAACCAATCAGAGGCCTGCTGCGAGGGGAACCATGCGAAAGTTGTTGGAGAAGTTACGATTTCTCGTGGACAGCAACGGATTCGTTGCTAGGATCTTTCGCCATCCCTGGGTGCGTGAATTCATCGAGGCGCCCAAGAACGTACAGTTGTTGACACGCGATCCCTTTCACGGGACATGATTGGATGGATGATTCTATCAGGATCCGGAGATGACCTCTCAAAGGAGTGAGCTCAGCACCGCGGATTGCTGACTTCCCAGCAGCATGGATGGGTGGGGCGAAGGGAATGCGTTGACGACGCATGCCTGTATACAAGCTGAAGAAGCATTTTCTATCGATTGTAGCAGTAAGTGTTCAAAAGCCATAATCAGCCGCTAAGAAGAAAGTAAATGGTCTAAATGTACGTTCATTGGAAAAAAGTAAGTTGAGTGAAATGTATTTCAGACTTGCCAATTAAACATGCTGCATAAGTAAATTGAGAAATTTATCAAATTATGTTTTTTTTTCTATTGAACCCATCGGCCTTACCGGTAGGGATAGCTAATAGTTTTTGAATATATATGACGATATTCTATAAAAAATTTAAATTCTGTACGATGCTTTTGGTGCCATGATAAAAATTCATGTTTAGTCTAGAAATACAATTAGGGGAAGTTGAAGGCAGAGTGATTTTTGGAAAGCCTGGTTATACCATCTCGCTCACTGCCATACTGTTAACCAAAACCGCATAACCTTCTAGCAGGGCACTTGTACCTGCCAAAACTCCTCCCCAAGCTTTGCCAGCCAACACCCAGGCCAGCAGAATGGCTCCGTCCGCCCCTGTCCAGACGGCTTTTACCAAGACTGCTTATGTCGGGGATGTCTCCGCAATCGCCCTTCTGCCGTGGCCCTCCTTTTCTGCCCTCCGCTCTAATTCGCGCCGCACACAGCCTGCCGCCGCTTTTTCTCATGAAGGGTCCCGTGCGCAGCGCGGGCGCGAGGACGAGGAGGAGGCGGTTGAAGTGGCGGCGCGGGAGGAGCGGGCTGACCGGGAGAACGAGCAACGCGCTGACGCCCATGCGTCCCACCGCCATGCGTCGGCCCTTGTGCTCGCAGGTGCCTCCCATGCTTGCCGATTCCGCCTCCCTTTCCGCGCTGCGTCGCCCGCGCGCCCTCCGCCTCCCCCGCGCCCCCGCTGCTCGTCTACCCCGCATGCCCTCCCCTCCACCGCCACGCCGCTCCTCCCGCCACCCCCCTTCATTCCACCCCCCCTGCCTTTCCTCGCTCCAGTCCACACTCACCCCCCCTCCCCCCTGCATTCTCTCCTACAGTCCCTCCCCGCTCCCTCTCTGCCCCATCTTCCCCCTTCCCCTTCCCCCCCATGGCTCCCCGCGCCAGCCATGGGGCCCACGCTGCGCTGCTACCACCTGCCGTCGGGGCGGCTGCTGGCAGCCGTTGATGTGTTTGACGGCGTGCGCATCCACGGGATCGTGCAACGTGGCAGCAGGGGAGTGGGCGGCGCTGTATGGACCCGCGAGGGCGGGGACAAGGGGAGGGGGGAAGCAGCAGCGGCGGTGGTGGTGGTGCATGGGGAGAGGCGGGTGAAAATGGTGGTGCTGACGGTGCAGCAAGCAGCACAGGGGGCGGCGACTGTGAGGGTGCGGCAGCAGCAGCAGGGCGTGGGGGAGCGGAGAGGCGAGGAGGAGCAGGGGGGTGTGGGGCAGGGAGCGGGTGGGGGGGTGGAGCAGGGAGGCGAGGGGCAGGAAAGTGGGGGAGTGCGGATGGCGGTGGGTGCATGTGTGGCGTGCAGGGACCACTGGGTGTGTGATGCCGCCCTGCTGCCCTGCCCTGTGCACGCCCATGCCATGCAGGTGACAGTCCACCCGGACACGTATGACTCCTGGAGGTTATTGCTTGCCCCCACCTGCCATGCTGCTTGTCATCGTTCTTCATTCCTTTGCCTCATCTAAACCAAACCTTCAGCTTCCCATCCTCCCTTCTCTCCCTGAAGCCCCCTCTCTCGTTCCCCCTCACTCACCCCCCTCCCCCACCCTTCCCCCCCACCCCACCCTCCCCACCCCCACTTCCCCCCTCCCATCACCAGGCGGGCATGCTGGCGGTGGGGCTGAGTGACAACAGCGTCGAGCTGTGGGCCACAGCCGCCGCTGGATTGGACGGGACGTGTGGCCAGGGTGGCACCGCGGAGTTCTCTCTCAGGCTGCTGCGCTCTGTGGCTTGCTCAGGCATGCACTGCTCCCCTCCCCTTGGCCCCATGCCCTGCCCGCTTGCACCCTGCTGCCATGCACCACAGCGTGCGAGGGAAGCAACACAGCACAGCACAGCGCCCTGGAGCCATGTTCTCAACATGCGTGCATGCATGAACCATGCTGCACGTAACGACACGACACAATGTGCTCCCCAAATCTGGATGCACACCGATAGTGCTGTGCTGTGCTGTGATGGAGTGATGGATGTGAGCGGAAATTGAATGAGGGGGAATACAAGTGATGGGGGATGGAAGTGGGGGGAAATTGAATGAGGGGAAATACAAGTGAGGGGAAATGAAGTGAGGGGGAAGAGAGTGAGGGGGGATGGAAGTGAGGAGAAAAGAAGTGAGGGGGGATTTCCTCTCACTCCATTCCCCCTCACTCACAGAAGTGGGGGGAAAACGAGTGAGGGGAGATATTAGTGAGGGGAAATGTAGTGAGGGGGAAGGGAGTGAGGGGGAATGGAAGTGAGGACCAAGAAACAAAGTGAGGGGGACAAGGATGTGGAGGGATGGAAGTGAGGGGAAATTGAGTGAGGGGAAATACAAGTGAGGGGAAATGAAGTGTGCGTGCGTGTGTGTGCTCTCCCCTGCACGTGCGTCAGACCGCAGTCTGCTGCTGTATGCCATGCGCCTGTCTGCGCACATGCCCACTGGGACCCCACTCCCCACACCCCAACCCCCCCTCTCTGTGCGCCCCTGCACGAGCGTCAGACCGCAGTCTGCTGTGCGCCATGCGCCTGCACTGGCACGCGCCCTCCTCACGCCTGCATGTGGCGGCCGGCACCATCTTCAACCAGGTGCTATTACAATTCCACACCTCTGCACCACACTGTCACATGTTGAGCCTCCCTAGACTCTGCTCTCCTCTCTCTGCGCCCTGCTCGCCTCTTCATCTCCCTTACCGTCTGCCCTCACCGCCCGGCTCACCCCGTGGGCCTGCAGCTGCTGCTCTCGTCCGTGCCTCTCCACGACTCTACCTGCTGTGCTACTTTGGGCGGCAGCACTGAGGAGCCATACCACGTGGCGCCCTCCCATAGGCTGGGAGGCCACGAAGGGTCGATCTACCGAGTGGTGTGGAAGGAGGAGAGTGACCAGGGGGTATGGGGGGAAAGGGGAGGGGGAGGGGGAGAGGGAGAGGGAGAGGGAGAGGGAGAGGGAGAGGAAAGGAACGGCGGAGGATTGGATGGGAAGGGTTCAAGAAGAGAAGGCCCTGAGAGGTTCACACTGATTTCAGTTTCGGACGACCGCAGGCAAGCAGGGGTGTGTTCACGCAGGGGTCACAAAACTGTATCTCCCTTGTTGTCACTCTGACTCAGTCCCTGTTGTCACTCTGACTCAGTCCCTGTTGTCACTCTGACTCAGTCCCTGTTGTCACTCTGATTCAGTCCCTGTTGTCACTCTGATTCAGTCCCTGTTGTCACTCTGATTCAGTCCCTGTTGTCACTCTGATTCAGTCCCTGTTGTCACTCTGATTCAGTCCCTGTTGTCACTCTGACTCAGTCCCTGTTGTCACTCTGATTCAGTCCCTGTTGTCACTCTGATTCAGTCCCTGTTGTCACTCTGATTCAGTCCCTGTTGTCACTCTGACTCAGTCCCTGTTGTCACTCTGATTCAGTCCCTGTTGTCACTCTGATTCAGTCCCTGTTGTCACTCTGATTCAGTCCCTGTTGTCACTCTGATTCAGTCCCTGTTGTCACTCTGATTCAGTCCCTGTTGTCACCCTGATTCAGTCCCTGTTGTCACCCTGATTCAGTCCCTGTTGTCACTCTGATTCAGTCCCTGTTGTCACTCTGATTCAGTCCCTGTTGTCACTCTGATTCAGTCCCTGTTGTCACCCTGATTCAGTCCCTGTTGTCACTCTGATTCAGTCCCTGTTGTCACTCTGATTCAGTCCCTGTTGTCACTCTGATTCAGTCCCTGTTGTCACCCTGATTCAGTCCCTGTTGTCACCCTGATTCAGTCCCTGTTGTCACTCTGATTCAGTCCCTGTTGTCACTCTGATTCAGTCCTTGTTGTCACTCTGATTCAGTCCCTGTTGTCTCCCTGATTCAGTCCCTGTTGTCACTCTGATTCAGTCCCTGTTGTCACTCTGATTCAGTCCCTGTTGTCACTCTGATTCAGTCCCTGTTGTCACTCTGACTCAGTCCCTGTTGTCACTCTGATTCAGTCCCTGTTGTCACTCTGATTCAGTCCCTGTTGTCACTCTGATTCAGTCCCTGTTGTCACTCTGACTCAGTCCCTGTTGTCACTCTGATTCAGTCCCTGTTGTCACTCTGATTCAGTCCCTGTTGTCACTCTGATTCAGTCCCTGTTGTCACTCTGACTCAGTCCCTGTTGTCACTCTGATTCAGTCCCTGTTGTCACTCTGATTCAGTCCCTGTTGTCACTCTGATTCAGTCCCTGTTGTCACTCTGATTCAGTCCCTGTTGTCACTCTGATTCAGTCCCTGTTGTCACTCTGATTCAGTCCCTGTTGTCACTCTGATTCAGTCCCTGTTGTCACTCTGATTCAGTCCCTGTTGTCACTCTGACTCAGTCCCTGTTGTCACTCTGATTCAGTCCCTGTTGTCACTCTGATTCAGTCCCTGTTGTCACTCTGATTCAGTCCCTGTTGTCACTCTGATTCAGTCCCTGTTGTCACTCTGATTCAGTCCCTGTTGTCACTCTGATTCAGTCCCTGTTGTCACTCTGACTCAGTCCCTGTTGTCACTCTGATTCAGTCCCTGTTGTCACCCTGATTCAGTCCCTGTTGTCACTCTGATTCAGTCCCTGTTGTCACTCTGATTCAGTCCCTGTTGTCACTCTGATTCAGTCCCTGTTGTCACTCTGATTCAGTCCCTGTTGTCACTCTGATTCAGTCCCTGTTGTCACTCTGATTCAGTCCCTGTTGTCACTCTGATTCAGTCCCTGTTGTCACTCTGATTCAGTCCCTGTTGTCACCCTGATTCAGTCCCTGTTGTCACCCTGATTCAGTCCCTGTTGTCACTCTGATTCAGTCCCTGTTGTCACTCTGACTCAGTCCCTGTTGTCACTCTGATTCAGTCCCTGTTGTCACTCTGATTCAGTCCCTGTTGTCACTCTGATTCAGTCCCTGTTGTCACTCTGACTCAGTCCCTGTTGTCACTCTGATTCAGTCCCTGTTGTCACTCTGATTCAGTCCCTGTTGTCACTCTGATTCAGTCCCTGTTGTCACTCTGATTCAGTCCCTGTTGTCACTCTGATTCAGTCCCTGTTGTCACTCTGATTCAGTCCCTGTTGTCACTCTGATTCAGTCCCTGTTGTCACTCTGATTCAGTCCCTGTTGTCACTCTGATTCAGTCCCTGTTGTCACTCTGATTCAGTCCCTGTTGTCACTCTGATTCAGTCCCTGTTGTCACTCTGATTCAGTCCCTGTTGTCACTCTGATTCAGTCCCTGTTGTCACTCTGATTCAGTCCCTGTTGTCACTCTGATTCAGTCCCTGTTGTCACTCTGATTCAGTCCCTGTTGTCACTCTGATTCAGTCCCTGTTGTCACTCTGATTCAGTCCCTGTTGTCACCCTGATTCAGTCCCTGTTGTCACCCTGATTCAGTCCCTGTTGTCACTCTGATTCAGTCCCTGTTGTCACTCTGATTCAGTCCCTGTTGTCACTCTGATTCAGTCCCTGTTGTCACTCTGATTCAGTCCCTGTTGTCACTCTGATTCAGTCCCTGTTGTCACTCTGATTCAGTCCCTGTTGTCACCCTGATTCAGTCCCTGTTGTCACCCTGATTCAGTCCCTGTTGTCACTCTGATTCAGTCCCTGTTGTCACTCTGATTCAGTCCCTGTTGTCACTCTGACTCAGTCCCTGTTGTCACCCTGATTCAGTCCCTGTTGTCACCCTGATTCAGTCCCTGTTGTCACTCTGATTCAGTCCCTGTTGTCACTCTGATTCAGTCCTTGTTGTCACTCTGATTCAGTCCCTGTTGTCTCCCTGATTCAGTCCCTGTTGTCACTCTGATTCAGTCCCTGTTGTCACTCTGATTCAGTCCCTGTTGTCACTCTGATTCAGTCCCTGTTGTCACTCTGACTCAGTCCCTGTTGTCACTCTGATTCAGTCCCTGTTGTCACTCTGATTCAGTCCCTGTTGTCACTCTGATTCAGTCCCTGTTGTCACTCTGATTCAGTCCCTGTTGTCACTCTGATTCAGTCCCTGTTGTCACTCTGATTCAGTCCCTGTTGTCACTCTGATTCAGTCCCTGTTGTCACTCTGATTCAGTCCCTGTTGTCACCCTGATTCAGTCCCTGTTGTCACCCTGATTCAGTCCCTGTTGTCACTCTGATTCAGTCCCTGTTGTCACTCTGATTCAGTCCCTGTTGTCACTCTGATTCAGTCCCTGTTGTCACTCTGATTCAGTCCCTGTTGTCACTCTGACTCAGTCCCTGTTGTCACTCTGATTCAGTCCCTGTTGTCACTCTGATTCAGTCCCTGTTGTCTCCCTGATTCAGTCCCTGTTGTCACTCTGATTCAGTCCCTGTTGTCTCCCTGATTCAGTCCCTGTTGTCACTCTGATTCAGTCCCTGTTGTCACTCTGATTCAGTCCCTGTTGTCACTCTGATTCAGTCCCTGTTGTCACTCTGATTCAGTCCCTGTTGTCACCCTGATTCAGTCCCTGTTGTCACTCTGACTCAGTCCCTGTTGTCTCCCTGATTCAGTCCCTGTTGTCACTCTGATTCAGTCCC